AGAGTTGGTTTAACTGGTTTGACAGTTGCTGAATATTTCAGAGATGAGGAAGGAAAAGATGTGTTACTCTTTATTGACAACATTTTCAGATTCACATAAGCATGTTCAGAAGTGTCAGCCTTATTGGGACGTATTCCATCAGCTGTCGGTTATTAACCAACATTGGCAACAGATTTAGGTTAATTATAAGAACGTATTACAACAACAAAGAAGGGATCAATTACATCAGTTTAAGCTATTTATGTACCTGCAGATGATCTTACAGATCCAGCACCAGCTACAACATTTGCTCACTTGGATGCTACTACTGTGTTATCAAGAGCATTAACAGAATTAGGTATTTATCCAGCTGTCGATCCATTGGATTCTTCATCTCGTATGATGGACCCAAATATTGTTGGTGAAAAGTAATTTATCTTATTTAAATTATAATAGACATTATACAGTCACAAGAGGAGTTTAAAAGTTATTGTAAGATTATAAATCACTCCAAGATATTATTGCTATTTTGGGTATGGATGAATTATCTGAAGATGATAAACTTACTGTATCTAGAGCTAGAAAAGTACAAAGATTCCTTTCTTAACCATTCTTTATGTCTGAAGTTTTCTCAGGAAGAAAGGGTAAATTCGTTTCACTTAGTGACACTATTGCTGGATTCAGAGGTATTTTATTATTTTATTAATCTTAGCTTTACTTGATGGTGAAGGTGATGAATATCCAGAAAATGCATTCTATATGTAAGGTACATTTGAGGATGTAATTGAAGAAGCTAAAAGAGTTGCAGCTGAAACAACAAAATGAAATATAATTTAATAACATAAAATTTAAAATATCATCATTATTCTTTAATAATTAACATAATTTAAGAAATAATGAATAATAATTATTGAATTTAAAATGATTAAAAAAAATAAAATTCAATATGACAAAAAGTAAAATTATCTCTACCTTAAATCAAAGAAGATATAAGTGTATTTTTTAAATTATAATTTAAATTCTAAAGGTCTATTCAATTAAATATGTAAATATTAAGAAATCTGAATATTCTTTAATTCACTTATAATATCAATGATTTTGGAAATATGAAAATAATTTATAAAAATGATTCATTAATTCGACTTTTAAATTTCAGATTAATAAATATGGTAATCATCTTCATAGTAAGAAGATTAAAATTGGGTTTCACCTTATATCTCATTTTCTACAGAATGAGTATTTAAAGATAAATTTTCAAGTTATATAGAGTTAAATGTTTAATGTTAATTTTAATATGTTTATACTTTCTTTTTTGGAGTGAACTCATCTCTGTAACAATCTATTGAATAATTGCTTTTATATTATTGTAGTTCACTTTCAGATCTTTAATAATAATGATCTTGGTCTAAAAAAGATTATGATTCCTGATGTTCTGCAATACTATTTAGCTTTCTTTCGCTTTTATTTCTACAGGATTCACTTGCCTTCTAATTATATTAAAATTATTGTTATTGCTATTATTATTATTATTAAGATTCCTTTATGATACTTTGTTTAGGATTGGGGTTTTTTTTTTATGACATGCCTAAATCATTCATTTAGATTATAAATATATTTATAAAAAATTTTTTTATTATGGATGTAGCTTTATATTTTAACTATGTTATTTATTTATTTAATATTATTATCACCATGATTTTTAAAGGCAGAAGCAACTCATTCAGATTTATAACATTTTTCAAGAATTTTAAAGATTTAAATTAATATATAAAAGAGATCGAATTTATTATTGCTTCAAGTGTTCATATTTTAATATGAAGTTTGTTAAGTAATTTGGAAAGAATTTTATATCAAGATATATAGTTAATTTTAGAAGTATATGAAAATTCATCATACTTTCAAATAATATGAAAAACTGGTAGATATTATAAAAGAGAAATGAAAAGAGTATTTTATAAAATTAGGAACAGATTTTGAAGATATATATCTTATTGAGCATTTTTTTAAAACAAAAATCTTAAAATTTGTAAATGATTTTCAGTTTTTAAAATTTTTGTAGAACAATAATAAAGTATAATTTCTGAATGAATTATAAATTTAGAATAAAATTAATAACTATTATGATATTTTGAATTTCAAATCTTTTACTTAAGGAAAATATTTAAAAATTCATTCAAATTATATTCCTTTAATGCTAAAAAATCTTGATCCTAAAAAACGCAATCGCAAATATCTTTATTCAAAAATCTTGTTAAGCATCTAATTTTTTTGGGGGCATCATCCTTATATTATTAGAATTTTGATCGATAAATCAAATATTGATAGAAGCAATTCAAACAAATTTAATGAGAACAAGTAGCTGTGAAGGATTTATTCCTAAATAATATATAATGATATAATACACTAAATCACAAACATTTGTGTGTTGCATATGATAAGGTTGATTTGATATTTTTTTAATTTATTTTTCAAATACTTTTTTGCATTTTTATGTTAAAGATTTTTCGTATTTATTAAAAAAGTTTTCATCCACCAAATTAAACATTCTTCCTATATAAATATCTTCGAATATAGACAACTAAGGATTTGAATACTCTTCAGTATAAAATACAAGTTGAGTAAAATGAAGAATATTTTAATGATTGTTATTAGTATAAACATCAGCAAATTCTGAAAATAATTTTGAATTAAGTGAACGAAATGCTATTTATAAGGTTTTTATATTTTTTACCTATCTGAATTTTATCCTAGGCTTATTTTTTATCATAAAAATGCCAATTAATATGATTAATAATATTTGAGGAATTTTATTAGATCATAATTTATAAGAATTTTTATGAATTGGGATTAGATTGGAATGTTTGAAGATGGGTTTGATTATTAAAAATGTCACATAAGAAATTTAAAAAAAATGTTCTCACTATTCCTTATTATTTCTATTATTTCATTAAGGAAGATATTAAAATATCACATTAAAAGTATATAGCTAATTTAAGTAGGGGTAAGTAATATTCTCTAATTCTATATTCTACTTTTCCAGAATATATGAAAGATAAAAATAATTCAAAGAGCTTTGAAGGTTCCTAATTCTCCAAATAAAAGTCTTCCATAGATCTTATTATTTCATGATTTAAATATTCAAATTCAATTTTTTTCAATTTAATATCGTCTAATATACATTTACGATATATGTAAAAATTAATTGGTTTACTCTCTAATAGCCTATATAAATTGTAATACATTGATAGGTTATTTGTATTGGTTTCATATTTGAACTTTGTTGGTTAGGATTGAAGCTTAACTAAATCATATAGGGAAGATTTATGGGCACTTATTTTCCTAAATCTATTACATCAGTTTCCATTAAATTTTTTTTAATTAATAAATAAATAAATGGAAAAAGAAACTTCTTCTGTTAATACATCACATTAACAATAATAATAACAATAAAATAAGGAAGAGAGTAAATTAAAAAGTCTATTGTAGGGTAGCTATGATTACATTCATAGAGAGACAGGTAAAATGATTTAGAAAGTAAATTCGATATAAATATTTCGATTAGAAACTTTATAAGCGAGCATTCTAGCTTTTAGAAAAGTTTTATCATTAAAGAAAAGATCTTGAATTAGGAGAAATGGTTATGTTGAATCGTAGAATAATTAATTGCATTAATAAAATACTAAAATAAGGATTACTCAAACCTGATATTGAATAAGACAGACCAGAGATTATGCTCCATATATTCCATAGAGGAAGTTAAGCTATATTTGAATTATACAAATACATTAATCTGTATATTTAAAAAGTAATACCAAATGAAATGAAAGGAATTGTGTAAGCCTATTAAATAAGAATATTAGTTTGGAGGATGTATCTCATTTAACAAGTTCTGATGAGGAAGACGAATAAAGAATTAAAGAACATGAAGTTACAGTACTATTTTACAAAATTAATGAATATGGTTTACCAAAAAAAGAGAAAAGTAAAAAATAAGTTAAGGAATTGAATCCTTATGAATAAGAGATTTCAGAATCTAGTAGAATTGCAAATATGGTTGTCAAAACTGTGAAACCTTTGAATATTTAATTTGAGTTAGATCAGTACTTTTATAATTTAATTGAACTTCAATTAATGGCTAATCTAATATTTAAGAAAGCCAATAAACCAAAGGTGGCTTATTACTATTTGGTGGAAGCTTAAAGAATTGCTAAATAAATATTAGATACTCCAAATCCTAATTTAGTAAATGCATGTGCTAGAGTCAAGATATATTTTGCAAATTATTTATATGAAATAAGTGAATATAAGGAATCACTTAGAAATGCTGAGGAAGCAATTGTAATTTTATGTGGAGAGATGAGAATAAGAATTAATTAAGAAAAATTTGTATAGAAGAAAAATAAATAGAGGTATATATAAGTGTTACTTATACCTAAATAGGGAGAGACGAAGAATGAAAAGATGTGTGATAACAACATTATCAGCATTAATTACAATGATGTGTAGTTATGAAGCAGAAAATAATTATCATAGGATTGTTGAAACTTTAACTACAGCCAGTTGGTTGGCTGAGAAATATATATAAGGAATTGATGAATTTAAAAAACATATAGTTAAATTGGCTAGTGAAGGTAAACATAGATTGGAATAAAATCTAAAGGATTTAGCAGATTTAAGTTATATTGCTGAATCAATATTGGATTAAGAATTACATAAGATTAGAAAGACTTAAAGAGATTAAAGAGAACAATCAGAATCTGATTATTTAAAAAAATTCAATAGTGATATGTTCAATCTATTTTAAGTTAAGTCATTGAATGAATAGTTATATTTTAAAACATAAGTAAGAGAAGAATAAAAAAAAAAATAATAATTTGATAATAAAATTATTGAATAATCATAACCTCATGGAACTGATGCTTCAATTAATATATTTGATAGTGATTCAAATAGTAAAGATAGTTTTTTTGAAGGTAGTTTCTTTGCACCATCTATTGATAATTTATAATTTGATTCAAAATTATTTGAAGAAAAAAGACCATAATCAGTTACTAGAAGACCAATTAATAGAAAAATATTTAAACCAAACAGATAAAAAGGTAAATCTGTAGGTTTAATTAAAATTGGATTAGAAAGACCATAAGATTATAAATCAAGGATATTGACTACTACTCAATATTTTAATGAATATTAGAAACCAAAAGTATAAGAAGAGAAGAATGTAAGTAATACAGGAGCTTTATTAAAAAGACAATTAGAAAATTTAGAATATAGAGAACATCCAGATAGAGATGAACATCACAAATAAGATTTGGATGTATATGTTAATAAAATGGTTAATGGAAAAATTCAATCTAATGAGATTAGAGATTATAATGAGTAAAATAATTGTATATTTTAGTATATTAGGATAGTTATTCAGTTTAAGAAAGAAAGAGGATTTTGATAAAAAAGAATTTCAATTTGGAAGAAGAATGTTAAATCTTAAAGCTAAAGAAGAGATTATGTTTTATAAAGAATCTTTTAAGACTCCTCCTGTAAAAGTTGAGATAGATACAAAAGTTAAAGATCAAGCACATATCATAGATGGTAAAATAACTGCTGAGAAAGAATTAAAGGACTTAAAAAGAAGAAAGATAGATAAAATGGTTGCTGGTAAAAAAATAGTTCAAACTAATGTGAATATTGATTTAAAGGATCCAGAAGAAACTAATTATTTAAAAAAAGTATTAGAGAAAAGTAAAAAGAAGAAACTAAAAGATTTAATATATAAACATAGAGAATCATTAGGATTAGCTAAATTCTTTGCCAATTAGTTAAGAGAAATGAGAGAAAAGGAAAGAATTTTAAAACTTAAATCAGCTTTGGAAAGAGAAATATCAGTAGATGTGGCAGATAATCAAAGCCAATAATAATAATAAATAAAATAAAAAAAGAATGTTAAAATAGTTGTACAATAAATAGATAAATAATAATAAACATAATAAGTTTCTTTATAACCTTCTTAGTTACAACAATCTCAAGCTGGAACAGAAGATCCTAAAATTTAAGGATAAATATCCTTAATTTAATAGAAATCAAATTCATAAACAACATTACCTAAAACTATACTAAAAAGACCTAAAGAAATTTCAAGTGTAAAAGAAAGTCCTTAAGAAAGTTAAACTTTGATTTCTATGGATGTTTAAGGAACTGATTTGATTTTAAGGTAAGAAAAATTATAGAAAGCAAAAAGAGTTGTAAAAGATCAGATTGATAAATAATAGAAAAAGTCTCATTAAGTTATTGGAATGATAATAGATGCAGTTGAAAGGAAAATGGATATTGAAAATAAAGAATTGAAAAAAATGCTTTTTAAATAGAAAGGAGGATCAAAATAATATGTTGATGATGATGAAAGAACTTATTTAAAATTTATGCCAAAATTTGCAGATATGAGTAGATCAACATATTTAATGTATATAAAAAAAGAATTAGCAGATAAATAAATTATTACTTTAGAAGATGTTGTTAGAGCTAATATGAATAGAAAAAACTAATTAGCAGATATGGCAGCATAAATGTTTAAAGATATTGGATAGCATAGTTGATTTATATAATAATTATTTTTAATAAAATAATACATAGTCATACGCAATATATAATGACGAAGTATCTTTGTTCGTATGTTAATTAAGCATTTCTAAATAACATAAGATAATTATTTGAATTGAATGACATCACAAGCAGTACTATTGACTATTGGATTTATGTTGGTTTTAGGAGCAGCTACATTCATGAATTATGAAAGCAATGTTAGCACAATAGATCATGGATTTACAGCTGATTTTGCATCTTTTATCAAATCCTTTGATACAAAATATGATTTCATTAGATCAGATATCACATGGTCAACATATGGGTATTTTAACAATCTCTAACTATTTTAAGTGGTGCTGAAACTAGACCTACTACTGCTCCTTCTAAATATCCAATTGTTTTTGTTCATGGAAATTCAGATATTGGTGCAGGAAATGGTGGAACTGTTGGATGGTAGACAGGATTCACTACACTTATAGAATATTTGTAAAATTATGGTGGATATACTAAAGCTGATTTGTATGTAACAACTTGGGGTAAGTTTTATAATAATAATTTTTTAGGCCCTGCAAATCCTAATTTAGCCTCCTAAAATGGTCATAGTGAGAAATATGTAATGACAACTAGAAGATTTATTGAAGGAGTTCTTGCATATACAAAAGCTAGTAAGGTCATTGTGATTGGTCATTCAATGGGAGTCACTTTAGCTAGAGCTGCCATTATTGGTGGAACATATTCAGAATCTATGCTTAGTAAATTTACTGTTGGAGATCCTATTACTAATTCTATTGCAGCATTTTTTGGATTAGCTGGAGCCAACTATGGATTAGTAGATTGTACTTATGCAACAGGATTACCAACTTGTAGTACATACAATGGATTCTCACCATCATCTCAAATGTTGACTGCTTTGAATTCTAAAACTCATAGAGAAGGTGCAAAAGTTTATTCCTTCTGGTCTCCAAATGATGATATCATTAAATACAACTGTATTGTTAATCAAAAAAATACTTGCATTGTCCCTGGAAGTGATGAATCAGTAAAATTGTTATATTAAATCTTAGTATCAATAAAGTGGATATACTCATTTTGATGTTAGAGATAAATTTGGAGCAGACATACTACGTCTTCTTTAGAAATTATGATGATATTTTATATATTTAAATCATATTAATATCATAATAATAAAATTAATTATTAATTTTAAATTATAAATAATAATAAGAATTAAATAATCTACATAAAAAGTCTTATATATTTAAATATAATAATATTATTGGTATTAATATTTAATAATATCTATCTCTATAAAAAAAATATAGCAAATACTTATTTCATTTCAAATTTAATGAAAATATTTATTTTAGTATTATAAATTAACAAATTAAATCAATTATCATCTAATCGAAGAATAATTTTCCTACAAATTGGACAATTTTTTTAAACATTTATCCATGATTCTAAGCATTATTGATGAAATGAATGTTAACAAGGAGTTACCATAATTTAGCATATTAATGATTTTTCTAAGGGTTTATCATCTGTATCAATAGGGTTTAAATAAAGATGATTCAAGCAAATTGGGCATTCCATTTCATTATTAACTTTTACTTTTTATAAAAATTAAAATTTTTTAGGTTTTAAACATTTTGGAATTAAACATCTTGAACCGTATTTGCTTTGCAATATTATAAGTAATAAAGAAAAAAAATATATAGCTATAAATTCTCCAACAAATAAGTAATCTGGTTTCAAACCCAATACATTAACTGGACAACTTCTTAAGTATAACTATGATTAAGTATAAGTTTACATAAAAAAAAAACTTAGATGATAATAATCCAAAAATATAAATTTTATTAAACTGATATTTATTTCCTTATCTTAAATTATGAATGATTTATGGATAAAGAATAAATGCCTAAGTGAACATGTAATAAAAGGACTATCCAAATATATTAAATAATATCATATTCACAATCGTAGTAATCCCTAATATATATAATTATTTAAAATACATATAATTAAATACATAATAACTAATTTTTTTTTATATTCTCTTCTCTCTACAAAAGCATTCTATAATCTTTGTGACCAAACTAATCCAAAAATGGCTTAATTCTTGAATATTTGTAAAAATTAAATAAAGGTAGGCAAAATAAATAAATAGTAATTGTACTTAAATATAAATTTATATTTATACAAAATTTTGGAAAAGTATTTCCACAAATAAATAGAATAAGCTTAATCCTTGAAAAAGAGAAAAAAATAATGTTAATCTAGACATCTAAATAAAATAAATGCTTAAAATTTACTTATTCAACTTCTATTAATCTGTATTTTAGTTAATCTAGTAATTATTTAGAGAGTAAATATTATACTGTTAATATCATTGTTGCCATCATGCAAAAGATAAGATTATTGATAAAAGAGAAATCATAAACTCTTTTTACATTGAAACTCATATCTATTTAACAATGTAAAAACGTTGGATTAGATTTTAAATCAACATCTATTTAAAGCTGATTAAGATCTAGATTTTCTAACTTCTAATTTAATTTGACTATGTATGTGCCATTACAGAAAGATTCAATCCAAGGTTATGATCTTGAATAACTTCCTTCTAATAATAATTTAGATTCTCCTATCCAGGCTCTAAATTATAGATTAAAAGTATTACTATGAACTTTCAGAATAATTGGTAAGTAGAAATTCACCATATACATGCTTATCTTCATAATATTTGGGATTTAGAGCAACAAATTAAATTGAATTACCTACAAATTTTACCTTTATCATTCCAGAATCTAAGGTTAAATAATTAAATTAGTAAATTGATGGATTATTTGACCACCATTTGCCTGAAAATAATTCCTTATTTAATAACAACATCAATTATTCAGTAGAATTAACATTCTAAAGGTTTACTTAGGGTAAATATAAAAGCAAGAAGTAAAGCGATATAAATTTCTACAATAATTCCATATTAATAATTAAAAAATTAATTAAATAAAAATGAGAATTATTATATAAAAATATAGCAAATGAATTAGATATCAATATTTTTGATAAAGCAATACATAGGCTGATCTATCAGATAATTATTTTCCATTAATTTTTGATACAGTTTCATCATCAAATAAATACCAATTATCATATCTTTCAGCATAGGCCTTATAATGTCCACCATTAATCTAACCCATATGGGTTATAAGTGCTTTAAGTTTATATTTAGTTTGCAACCCTTTAGAACAAAATCTATTATAAATTTAATTTTTACTCTTAAATATCTAATTTTTCAGTGTAAGAAATAGAATCATTAATTTTTTAAGATGTTGGAAAAGTAGTAAATCTTTTAAATTAAATTATTAAATATTGAGGAGTCTAACTTATAAACATCTTTCTTTTAACTGATTTATTGGTTTTTTTACACTTGTCACATTTCCAAGTATCATTAATAACTTCCTCTCTATAATATGATTTTAGACAGTCTATCAAATCAATTCCAGTATATGATTTACTTAAAATTTTATAAAATATTACCTAATTGGCAAAGACAAATCCCATATAGGATCATATCCTTCACAAACTTAATTACATGATTTACAGAAGGATTAACTTGTTGATTAACCTGCAAAAATGACATCAATAATATCTTAATTTTTGGATGTATAATCACTCCAAGCTTATTCAGCTGAATTGAATTCTTATTTGTTTTTGTATTTGCCAACAAGTTCTTCTTATATTTTACCCAAAAAGAACAAAAGAAATTCATGACTATCTTATTATTAATTAAATTGGAATTTTCCAGAACAAGTTTCCCAAACACTCTAGGCTGCAATTGCAGAAAAAGATCCTGTTCTTTTAATCTAAGTAAATTAATTTAAAACTAAATATAATACCGTTCTTAATAACTCTTAATATGCAGTTAAATATTTTTATCCATATTTTGGTTGAATAGCTAAAATACCCTCAGAAAGAGAGTCAATACTCAAAAGAACTTATAAGGCTGAATTTAAATAGCAATAATATCTTGGATTTCTCAATCCAATAATTGGTAATTAACCTGAAGAAATAGATGGTCTTTTTTATTCCTAATATCCTTTTCTATAATTTTAAGCACTATCATTTCTTGGTTGTGGCTCTATAATTTATGATGTTTATCTATCAACTGATTTTGGGGTTGTCATAACTGATACAGTTTAATTCATTGGTTTGTATTGAATAAATCTTGAATTTGTTTGTGTTTATATCATGGATTGTGGTTGTTTTGGAGGCTTAGAATAAGTATTAGAAAGACTAGTAGGTTAAGCTTAAGATTCTCGTTTAGGAGGAGGCATAATTTTGACTTCTGGACCTCCACCATACATTTGCATTACGAAGTTCCAAGCTGGTTCATTTAAGACCACATAGTCTTTATCTTATTGTAAACCACTTCTTATTTATTGATTGGGTCCTAGTAGGTTTTAGTTGTTTATTGATCTAATTTCAGTTTTTTTTCCTTTTAGATGATTGGTATAATTAACTGCCCATTTAAATTCAAGTGCAAACTACTATTGCATATTTTCTTTATTTATCAACTAGGTGATGTAATCATGTTCACATTCAACACTAAGAACTTAGGATTTAAATACCTTTTTTCATATAAACCACGATTACGCAAGTCGTTAATATTTTATATTTGCTTCAGCATTTCCTAATTTGAATTAATTTTAATAAAAACTTAGTCAATAGGTTTTGTAGGGGCAGGTGGTGGAACATACACTTTTTAGGATTCCTCTTCCTTCTTAATAGAATGTGTGTCGGAATTCGTGGATGGCTCCTCTGGCTTGGCACTCTTCCTAAAATTCCAAAAAACTACTTCGATTTCTTCTTTTTTGAACCGCAGCAGAACATTATAATATATAATAATATTTATTTATATTTATAAAATCCTCTTTCTAATTCACCTTCCAATCTATAGTTTGATCAATAATTAATGAAATTTATCAATTTTAAATCAAAGAATAAAACTTGGTTTTCTTTTTTTTGCTTGACTTTTTAATCAATCACCTTCAAATTCTTTAAATAGATAATCATCTAACAAATTGTATTAATATTTAAATGATGTAGTTATTAAATTTAAGTAATTTTATCTCAATTTCTATTATAAAATAGAAGTATCCAATTCATTATAGAAGATTCTTATTAATTCTTATGTAAGAATAAAAGATTACAATTAAAACTATTGTATATTCTTAAATTATCTTTGAGAATATAAAAGAAGGAATAAACCAAAAATAAAATTAACAAAATATCAACTCATATGAATCATTAAAAATCATACTATCGACTTAATAGATTGTTATTTTATTTTGCAATTCTTAAATAATAAATGATGAATATATTAATCAATTTTTAAGTTTATGTTTAAATTAAATATACACTAATTTGAATATATATTCTTAACCTATTTATTTTGATAATAAGAAATAAAATCTAATAATTTTTTATATCTTCCTTCCTATATGTTTTTTAATAAATTTCTTAATTCAATATTTTTGATTTCAAAATTGATTTGTTTTTATATATTTACTAAATAATTAAATATTCATTAACAAAATAGTTTTGATTTTTAGTAATTTTTTAATATAAGATGTAATGTAATATGACTAAAAATCTTTAAGAATAAATTCTAAGTGATTTGATAAATGAATTGATCAAATAGTTAAGTATAATAATTTTAATTAAAAATAAATGAGTACATTGGCAATTTCAAGATGCCCAATAGTTGTTCGTCATGATTTCCCAGATGAAATGGCGAATTATATTGATGAAAAGATGGATGAAGGACAATATAAAAAAAGGTTTCGATATGATCGTCCTGACAAGGTATGATCATATATAAGGGTTACTAGAAAAAAAGTAAACAAACAAAATCGATTCTTAATATGAATTCACAAGAGATCTTTCAAAAAATAGTAATGGGAAAGAAAGAACCAAAAGAAGAAAGGTTTCGTATCAAACCGAAATAAAAAATTAATACAACTGCGTTGCATGCAGCACTATTAAAAGTGAAGAAATAAAAAGAAGAGCTTGACATTTGTTTAGCTGTATTATAGAATTGTATTATTAGATAGCAGATAAAGCTAAATAATGTGTAAATGAGAATGATATTTGTATGTTAGCAAATGAAGGAGCAGTTCGATTTATAATGTCTTAAAATCTAGATATTGATGAAGCTGCATTATTAAGGACTAAGAAAGGGAACACTTTCCATCCTAAACCTAAGAAATCATAGTCTGTAAAATAGGTAGTAATGGATGAACCAGAGAATTTATTATCTGTAGAAGGTAGATCATACAACATGGCTGTTTCAACATCACTTTGTAAACATAGACCAACTTCTGCATTTTCAACTATGAGACCTGTTTCTTCAACGAAAAATTATTCTGAAAAAGGAATATCAGAACATTTGCTCTAATAATATGCTGATTTCAGAAATTAACTTTTTGAGAAATTAGTAGATAATAATGAAAATTAAAATGAAGAAGTGTAAATAAATGTTGGATATCCATAATATTTAACACCTGCTGTAGGTATGAAGGGTAGTAGAGTTCCTCCTGGATTTCTACCAAAAGGATTAAAACGAATTCATAGTGCAGCTGCTACTCAAAATATAGAATTCAGACCTTTCATAAATCCAGGAGAAATGTTATTTAATGAATAATAGCATATATCTGCTAAGAGACCATAAACGGCTATGATTAGTAAGATTTAATCAACAAGTAGATTGAATGATCATTTGAAAGTGATAGAAGAAGTTAGACATTAAGAAGATGTAAGAATATTTGATGTATGAAAATATTAGTTGAGTCAATTAAAAATGTCACTAGATTAATCATTTAGAGAATAATAACAAACTTTGAATGTTACAGGTAAAAAAAGAATCTAAAGTGCCTATCCAAAAACTAGAATTTGATTATAATAAATATTTAGAATGATTTAAAAACCATTTCTTTATGTTACAAATCCTGAGACTTTCTTAATATACAAATATCAATATTAAGATGGAAAATATAAAAAGATTGGACCACATATTCCATACGAATTTGAATTAATGAATGTTAGATAATAATAATAATATCGATAATGGAAAGCCTTAAAATTTATGATGTGGAGTATATTCAATAAAGATAAGATTTAAAATCCTATTGATTTTCGAATAATTCTATGCAGATTAATGGATCTAAATACAAATGTACTCTTGGCTATTGTTAGTACTTTTGGATTGAGATATTTCCTTCTAAAATTACAATCTCCATTTATGGATTATTATTTTGAAGATAGACTAATAACATTTCCAAAATTCAAAAAGTAATCAATTGCTATATTTTATAGAGGTTTGGCTTATTCTTACTTTGTTTTTGCATTGTATTTTGGAGTCAAAAGTGTAATCAATTAGGAACATATATTTGATTTAAGTTTAGAGTATGAGTGATTATTATTATAACATTTCTGTTAAATGAGAGTTGCAGTTGCACCATTATAAATCTCAAGATCATTGCCTCCAGTTCCATTGCCAGTAATGGCAACACCAGTAATGGTTGATAGAGGTACTAAATCTATAGATCTTTCATAGTCGTTAACATACATCATTCATAAGTATTTCACACAGATTCACCATTAAAATAATAAAGTGAGCAAAAATTGAAATAATTGGAATCAAGAGTGCAAAATCTAGAAACTTAATCTCCCAATAAGGGGAAAGTGGAAAAGTTACTTGAAGAAAATGAAAAATTATTGCAGTTGGTTCGTGAGAAGACTGAACATGCTTCAAAATATAAAGGAGAATTACTTACTGCCAAAAAGGAAATCACTAAGTATACTTATTATCTATCTTATAAGGTTAAAGAAAGTCCTTGATTTGAAGGAAGAAGCATTAACGGATATGAGATTAAAAAGTTAGAGTAGAAGTGTATCAAGGGCTAGTGAAAGAAAGGCTGAATAGATTATGTAAGAGAAACAACTTCTAGAATAACAATATGCACGTGAAAAACAATTTATGCAAAATCAAATAAATTAACTAAAAGAAGTCATAGAATCATAATCCTCTTAAAACCAATCTCTCTAAAATATAGATTATCAATAGTAATATTTATTTAACCCTAACCAATAAATTGAGTTATTTGGTCAATAACCATCGTAATCAGGTTAAATTATAAAAGGTAGTTAAAAAAGCATAAAGAAGCCATAATCAACTAATTAAATCTAATATGAAGTTCCTGAATATACTAATTCTTAATTAAGGAAACCTTAAGCTTAAGATCCTCTTAGAAAACTATCTTCAGCATTTTAGGATAAGGATTAAAAATAAATATCCCCTATAAGAAATGATTAAGCCTTAGATCAGCCTTAAGGATCAGCGTAACATTCTAAGCGTTAATCATATATGCAATCAGACTATCAAAGATAAAACATCATACCAAATGAAGTAGATGGAAATACTTAAGATTAAAGAGCTATTAGAAAAGATCAATAAAGACAATAATCTTATAAATAACCTGAGTAAGTTTAAAGAAAATCTATATCTCCACCATATGAACAATAATAACAATAATACTAATAATAATAATAATAACAATAATAATAATAATAATAATAATAATAACAATAATACTAATAATAAGATTAACTTAATTCTGTCAGATAAAATTAAAGATAATAGTCATATAAATAAGGGGATGTTTAACGAAAATCAATTTCTCCTACTTAAGAGGAGCCTATCTTTGAATTAAGAGGTGGTATTCGTGAAGAACATTAAAGATAACCATCATATGTATAAAATGTTCCAGTATCAGAATAATAACGAAATACTCATAGAAAATAGTCTAGTACTGTGGAATAGTTTTAAATTTAAATCAACTAATTGAATGATGAATTATTATAGGCTAGACATTTAGAAGATGAATTGAAATCATAAATCAACTCATTAAATTAATAACTTTAGGAACATAAATTAATGGTTGATAATTTGTAATAAGATAAGAAAAAATAATAAGAATAGATTGCTAAATATAAATAGGATCTATAAAATTAAAATTAAGAATTACAAAAATAATTATCAAATAATAAAGATTTATAATTATAACTTCAAAAGTTATAACGTAATGTTGAAGCTTAAAATAAATTGTAAGATCAAAAGCTTTAAGAAAATTTACGAAATCAATAATTTTTAGAAAAGTAATTACAAGAATCTCATTAAATAATAGAGAAGCTTGAATAAGAAAATTAAAGTATTACTCATAATTTTGAATAAGAGAAAGATGATTTAATAAAAGAGTATGAAGATTAATTAGAATAAAAGTAATAGGAACTTATAGAATTGAATTAGTCTGCTCTTTTGGAAAAAACATCTAAAGTTGAATTTGAAATTCAATTAAATTAACTTAAATCAAAAGAAGCTAATTTCAATTCTGAAATTGATAAAATACGCAAATAGAAGGATTTAATGAAAGCATAATTAGAAGAAACTCAAAAAAGTCTTAATTAAGCCAAACTTTAGATTAGTCAAATAGAATCAGAACATACAGCATAAGTTGAATTAAGAGAACAATTAGAAAATAATTATGCTATTTTATAAAAGGAATATGGTGAATTTAAAGAGAATTCAATATCTTAATTTAATAGCAAAATGAATAGTTATTAATAAAAGGCTTAATTGGAGTATGACAAATTAAAAAAATAGAGTTTATAATAATAATCAGAATTAGAGAAATTATATCTAGAAAAATCAGAATTAGAATAGGAATTAAATAATACACAATAGGATTTGGGACATTAATATTAAGAAGTAACCTAGTAGTTATAAACTGCAAAATAAACAATAAATGAATAAAAAAAGTAAATAAAGTAATTAGGATAATAGAATTAATAATTAAGTCAGGATCATTAAGAATTATCAGTACATTATTAATAATAAGAAAATGAATTAAATTAAATTAAATAGGAATTATAAACTCAATAAGATCAATGTTAATCACTTCGATTTGATATTTCTAGAATTTAGATGGATAAGGCATAATTAGAATCAGCTAATAAATAATAAAGATAGATGGATTAATTGATGTTAGAGAATGATTCTATTTTACATACAAATGAACAATTATAAACTGATCGTAATTAATTAGCTGATACTCTTTAATAAAAGGAGAGTGAAATTGGAAGACAGAAAAAAAAAATAGATTAATTAAAATAATTAAATTAATAAAATGTAGAATAAATTAAGAAATTACAATCAGAATTATCAGAAAAAGAAATAGTAGCTGAAAAATGTTAAAGTGAATTCAATAATTTTTAAAGAGAACTTTAAATATTGAGAAAGGAGAATGAGAGATTGTCAGCAGATACTTAAAAATATGTTGAATAACTTGAATAAGAGAAAATTAATTCAGGAAAGAAACTTGATCATTTGTAATCTTAATTGTAGTAATAAATTCTATAGAGAGATTAAGAATATGAAGATTTGGATAAATCAAGTAGATCAGCCTTTGTTGAATTATAATCTAGAAAGTAAGAAGCTGCTTAATAATAAAGAAGATTAGAATAATAGAATGATCTTATTAAATAATTGAGTGAATAATTAGAAAAGGTTTCTTTATAACATAAAAATTTATTAAATGATTCATAATTGAATAAATAATAACATGAGTAATAATAATAAGAATTTGAATTCACTATCAAAGATTTATAAGCTAATCTATAAAAACAATAATATGTTTAGGATGAATTATAAAAAGAAATTCAAAAATAAAAATTATAAGAAGCCAAATAAAAAGAAGCTTATGAAGTGGAAAAAGAAAAAATGAATTAAATGATGTTAAAGTTGGAAGAAAAGTTGGAGTAACACAAAACTGATACAGCAGCTGATTTATAAGAATATGAAATATTTAAATAGACAAATTCATAATTAAATGGAGAATTAGAAAGAGTTAGAGGAGAAAATGCTGATTTACATGAAATAGTTATATAACTTTAAAAAGAAAATGTTTCATTAAGAGATCATCATTAATAAATGATTTCTCAAATTGAAGAAAATCATCAGGCAACTGAAAGGTTGAGAACTCTATGTTAATAATATGAATAAGAAATCATTTTGTTAAGGAGATAGGTAAATATTCTTATATTTATATATTTTAGCCTGATTATGGACTATATGAATAACCAAAGGCAGGTTTTATTAAAACAAAGAATAGTAAGAGAATAGAGGAGATGGAGAGAGAGAACATAATTTAATAAAAAGAGATTTAAAGACTAAAATCAGTAATTGATGAAATCTAGAATAATTAAAATTATAATTCAACACCTACTCCAGAGAGGAAATAATTAAATTAGTAGTAAAGTTTATCTTAAAAAAAACATTTGTTTGAACAAAAGCCTAAATCAATTGATAATACAATAAGGAAATAATTATAATGAAATACTATGCATTTTTATATATTTAAAATTAAATTACTTACTATTGATTTAGATAATTGCTGTAAATTATCAGTTTGAAAATTATATTCTTTTTGGATCATCTAATTAATTTTTATTTTTGATCCTCTCTGACTAGATATTGATTTTATATTTGATTTAGAATATACATTTAGGCTTTTTTTATATAAAACAAAGAAAATTAATATATCATCCGCTTCTAATAATATTTACTACGAGCTTTATTTAAGAATTTTCTAAGCTAAATTTAGCAATAAATTTGTTTCTAAGAGATTGGTAATATTTATATAAGTTATCAAATATTAGAATAATTGTCAAAACTTAATTTCAAATTTGATAGTTATATTTAAATAATAAATATTTATGGATAAAGTTAATGCTGAGGAAGAGGGATTAATTAATAGAAAGTAAAATAAAGAGTTTTCTGCCTGTAAAAATTACATTCCAGTTATTGTTGAACCATACCCTTAAACAAAATTGAAAAAGATTGATGATAATAAGTAATCATGATTGAAATTTGAATTAAGATGGTTGTTTAATAAGGATTCTACTTTATATCCTGTAATGTATAAAATTCATGAGACTTTAAACGGAGCTAAAAACATGTACTTTTATGTGAAAAGGTAAAATGGACGATATGCATTGCTTAAGCATGGTATTGTTATTTTTTGATAAATTTAGAAAATAAGTTATAGTTAGTTTTCAAAAAGTATAAATCAAATGATGGATTTTTGCATGTTTATTATCACAATGATATGATCAATAGAAGCAAATTATTAGATTATTGCTTTTATTTTGCTTAGATTGTAATTGCATTTTATTTGGTCTTATTTATATATGGATATTTAAAGATGCATGAATACATATGATTTATATTTAAATTAGTATATATTAAACTACGATATTGTTTCATCAATAATTATCTTTTTAACTTTTGTTTCTCTTAATACATAACTTAATTTGATTGAATTTAAATAAAATAAATCAATCAACTTGTTATCAAGATTATGAGAATGTTATATTTTTATTTAAGATAGGATTTAATAAGATTTAAATATGTTATTAATTTTAATAAAATATGATATTAAAAATTAGGATTCAAAAGAAAGTATTGTTGTATTCCTAAGTTTGGATCTATTTTTAATTTTACATGGTTTAGTGTTGCTATGAAATTATGAATTAAAATTTATAAATAATTGATTGTATATTGAATATATATTATTAATCTTTAAAAAGTTAATTAATTAAATAAATGGAACCTCTACAACAAAAGTTAATATTTATTTAAAAAAATTTGAATTTAAACCATTATAGTTATATACTTTATAAATGATTTTGATTTTTTGATATATTTATTACATTCATTTTTTTAAATATACTAGAATTCTGGAAGTTTTAAGAGATGATCCATCATATTTCCTTATTTACTAAATAAAATAAATCAATTATTAAAGTGATTCTTGGTTTATTAAATCTTATTAACTTAAATAAATTTAATATTCTCAAATAAAAATATTATATATTATTAAATCTACTTTATTAAATTATATATAGTAAAATTCAAAGAAGCATAAATCAATATAAGGCACCAAATATTTGAATTATTCCCAATATTGCACCTGCCACTCCAAAAAATAATACTGTTCCATTTATTATTTCTATATATAACTTCTATCTCCCAAAAACTTTCTTATATAAATAATATGGCATAACAAATCCCAAATATACAGATGGGATACATCCAAGTAAGGAGATTATTGTACTAAAATTAGTTAAATAATATCCACCAAACTAATAAATTTATTGATATATTATACCACACATCCTGATATATATAAAATACGAATTCCCAATTTAAACCATATACTCAAACTAGGTTTAACATCTGATTTCTTAAAGTCAAATGGTAATTCTTCCATCAATCTAATACAAACAACATTTTATAATAAAATTGTTTAAATCATTGATAAAACATACATCATTTACAATGCATAAAAGGCATTTTGAATACCTAATCCTATATCTGAAACCACATTCAACAAATTTGATGTTATTAATTCTTATGTAGATTCTCCAAATGCCAAATATCCACATACTCCAAATAATGTATAAATTACACAGCAAATTAACATAGATGATGCTAAATTCTTTCTAAATCTTTCTGGATGTTTCATTTCTTCTCTAATTTCTGTAATTATACCATTAATATCATATGAATAAAGTGTAACACCAAAAAAGAAGGGAAGTTCACTGAATTTAATTCCATAATATACAGTAGGATTATTCTCTGTTGATCCAGAATTCTTTATTTAATATAGACAAACACAAGAAAAGAAGTACATTACAATGAATACCAAATAAGAACCTATATTTGTTGTTTATTTTAGAGTTTCCATTCTTGTTATAAAAGAAAATATCATTATGAAAGATATTGTACCAATTGCTAGATAAAGTGTATTCAAAGGGTTATCAGAAAAATTAGGTATTATCTAATCAAATGTTTACTTACAGAATATTAATAAACTCAAAGCTTAACCATAAAATAATAGAATCGTCATTATTTTAGATATGATAACCAAAACTCTACCAGTTGGATCTATGACTAACATGACACCCATCATATTCATTTTTTCGAATTTAATGCTTTTTTTAGCAAGTGGATTATTAGCCTATTTCCGATATTCTTCTTCTTCTTACCTTATTTTTTTATTATCTTCATCTTCAATATCATCAATAATGTCATCACCTATTATTTCTTCGAATTCATCTTCTTATTTACCATTTTAAGATAGAGATCTTTCAGATTATATTTATGGTAATTACTATGTTACCATCTCTATTTCCATAACCTAAGAATTATTTTAAGCTTAAGCTTATAATTTTTCTTATTCTTCCTTCTTCTTTATTTCAGCCTTCTCTTCAATAACTCTTATCAATAATGTCCAGGAATAATACTGGAGTAGTCCACATAGAACTAATACTAATATTCCACCTGTGAGGTACACCTTTTTAAATCCTTCAGGAAATGCTAAAACAACTGTTCCTACTGAAACTTTCAATAATTTGCATATAGTTGACATCTGTGAAGCTTATCTTCTATAGTACTGTTTTCTTTATTTAGTCATTTTGTTATAAATATCAACGATATTAGTTGGAAGAGGAGGTAATTTATACTTAATTTCCATTTCAATTTTATAATCTTTATTAAATTTAATACTAATTGTGATCATTTTAAAGATAAAGAAAACCTTTACTTTTGATACATTATTTTTGTATTTTAATTTTAAGATGAAGTTGTATCTTAAAGGGAAGGAATTTATTATTCTTAAAACTAGATGGTAATAAAAATATTATTATTTAAGAGTGTTAATAAATAATATCAATGTCTAAGATTATAACATATATAATATATAAACTATAATATTTAATGCAATTAAATGTATTAATTCAATTTTTAAATATATATTTCTAACAATTAGAATTTTTAGAATATCTTATTAAGTATATTTAGTTAAATAATAAAAAGTTAATATTTAAAGATCCATGAAGATTTGTTTATTCTTATTCTATATATACATATACAATTAATCAACTTAATGAAATAATTATATTTATAAATAAGAATTAATCAGTTAAATTATTTTCTTTTATTAAGAACCTACATTCTATTTAGGGCAATCTTTAATATTATTTATTTTAAATATGAATAAGAGAATAGTATATTAAGGTGAGAAAGCTACTGTTAAATATGAAGGTCCTTTAATGCATGAAAATAGAGGAGATGAACTTTGGTTGGGAGTCGAATGGGATTAAGCTGATAGGGGAAGACACAATGGCACTGTTTAAGGGTACACTTATTTCAAAACAACTGGTGGAGCTAATTCTGGTAGTTTATTAAAGAAGGAAAAAGTGAGTTTTGGTAATAGATTGTGGGAAGCATTATTTTTGAAATATTTCAAAGAAATCCCTCCATAATTATTAAAAGAAATGGAAGTGTAGGAACAAGTAAAAGATGAATTTCTTTAAGAACATTAAGATCTTGCAAATCATTAAGATGAGAAAAGCAAAGTTATCACCCTTATAAATTAAAAATAAGTGAAAATTGAATTTGATGACACTGCATTTTTTGAAACAATGAAAAAGAGAAAAAAGATGGTTGAATTTTATGGATTTGATGAAATATATAAAAAACTTAATAATTTAGAGACTTTGTAGGAGTTATCTTTAGAGTGTTAAAATGTAGCAACAATTGGACCATTTGGTTTTGTTGGTAGTATATTTAAAAATCTGAAAATTTTGGGTTTGGAAAATAATTTATTTCATTCTTGGCATTAAATCTTTGTTTTAGTATCATAATTACCAACATTAAGGGAATTGTCAATATCAAGTAATAAATTATAAAAACTTGAAACATTTGGAAAACAATAATTTGAAAATTAAATATTTACTTAATAACCAGATTATTTGATTTATGATTATGAATAAGGAAAACATTTAGAAATTCCAGTAGATGGTTGTGGTAAACATGTAGAAATTTTGGTTTTAATTGGAATGTAATTAACTTGGTAGGATATATCTTTAATTATTCCAGCATTTCCTAAAGTTTAATAATTATTATTGTGTAGAAATATATTAGTAGATTATGAGAATTTATAATATAGAGATACAGATTTATAAACATTAAAATTATTAAATTTAGAATAAACTGAATTAACATAATTTGAATGCATTTAAAAATCATTTGGTAATTTACCAAATTTAGAAAGACTTATATTAAATAAAAATAATTTAAAGGATTTACCTTTGGTTACTGAATTTTAATCTCTTAAACATTTAGCTTTAGATCATAATCATTTTGCACATCCATAGTTTTTTAATAAAATAGGAAATTTATAATTAAATTCTCTATCTATTAAACATAATCCATTAGTTGATAAATTAGGAAAATTATATGTTAGATAAAGAGCTATTGCAGAAATATCAAGTGTTTAAATCATTAATGGTAGTGAAATAACTAAATTTGAAAGAAAAGATTCTGAGATATTTTACTTAAAATCTTCATTTGAAGAATACTTTTTGTTAAAGAATGTCAAACATTATTATTATGATTATGATGATTTTATCAATTATGCTAAATCAAATCATCCTAAAGTTATTGAATTAATTAAAAAATATGGTAATCCTTATGAAATTGATCCAACTGTTAAAGGAGGATATACATAAACAAAATAATAAATTTAATAACCTTAATATTGTACAATTAAAATTATAGATCATGTTGGAAAACTAAAAGATAAACCTACACCAAAAAAATTGATGGGAAATACTGGTTTATAACCAGTGAAAATGATGATTTCAAAATTAGTAAACATTCCTATCAAATAGATATTATTATCAATTTAAGTATATATATATATAATATAATTAAGGTAACTGAAGATGCTGAAATTGTTTAAATGGAAGGAAAAGATGTGACTTTGAATGATTTTGGTGTTTAGGATAATAGTCTCATTCATGTTAATGTCATACCAGAATGATTATTTTATCTAATAATAAATTTATTTATTATGAAATCATTTAACCCTTCAAAATAGCAATCTTAAACTATATTAGATTAATATATAAAGATGACATGAATAAGTAATTTAGATAAAAACCATTTTGTTAATTTAATTTAACAATTCTAAGATCTCTTAGTAAATTAATAAATTATTGAAAATAGAAAGTAATGGTATTTCAATACTTGAATTTTTTGTATTTTAATGACAACATCAGGCTTTAAATGATAAGAAATCAAAAGAAAGTTGGATATAGAATTAATATAATTTATTTACTTGGTGTTATTTAAAAATAATTATAGAAATTATTATGGAATTTCAAAAATAAGTATCTCTTATCATACAATCAGAAAATCAGTTTATTTATTAATCAGAAGCTTTGGATCTCTATTCCATAAAATATTCTCCAAATTTTGATCAAAATGATTTTTTTGCAGTAGCTCGTTTTCTGATGTAACAATAATAAAAATGTCTTGAAAATCTAACAATAGAAACATTATGCAGATCTTCTACTAATTTAAGAATTCAAAGAAATTTTGGATATAATAAATTAAGGAATAATATTAAAATCAACATCATAAGAAAAAGTAATTTTAATAAATTACAATGTTAACTTTGGAATTAAGTCTGAAATTATTCCTGATATTCTTAAATAATATATTCCAAAATATATAAAAAACGATATGCTTTATTAATAACAGAGCCATTTTATTATAAAGAATATGTAAATATAATGGAGGCAATGCATTTTGGTATATATAAGGAAGAGGATGAAAATTGGGAAGTTTATTTGGTATAATACAATTTTAAATGTTCAGGTTATAGAGAATAAATTTCCAGATTTATAAGGATTAGATGGCATAATTTTAACAGGATCAAGTAGTGCAGCATATGATATAAGTGAAGATTGGAAAGAACCATTATTTAATTTTTTAAGAAAAGCTGATAAACTTAAAATAAAAATGTTTGGTATATGTTTTGGACATTAAGTTTTGGCTCATTGTTTAGGTGGAGAAGCATAAAAGATGATTCATGTAGATAGAATGTAAGTAGGTAGAACTGTTATTTAAACTTAATTCAAATGGAAAGATTATTTAATAAAAAATCTAAATGTATATTAAATTCATATAGACTATGTAAATAAATTGCCAAAATGTACTTAAGTTATAAAGAGCAAAATCATTGTGAAAATTATGCATTCAAAAGTGATCACATTTTAGATGTTTAATTTCATCCTGAATTTAATGCTTTGATCTTATTGTACATTTTTAGAAATTCCTCAGATCCTTTAAGAGATATATATATCAATGATTGTTATGAAAGGTTTAAAGAAGGATATGATCATTAATAAATCATTTGGGAATTTACAAATAATTTCTTAAAGAATAAATGATGAACAATTAATTGATAATATTATTGTAAATTTATTATTTAAATATGAATTGGGATAAGAAATAAAATCATTATTGTTTCTATTATTTGTGATAAACTCCACTGGTTATAGATTTAAATATCTTTAAGCGATGCCTAAATAATTACAATTATTTTCATACTTTTTTTTAATTGAGCCCACTTCTATTTTCTCAACTGAAGTCCAATACTTAAGTTGAGGCATTTAGTATTAGGTTAGTGTATGTGAAAATTAACATCTCTGACCATATTTACAGCAAATTTCTTAGAAATTTTTACATTCTTTTGTTCTATAATTTTTAGGAAAGTCTTTTGACAACAATTAATCTTCACCATGTGCGAAGTAACACTAAGAATTTAGTAATATTTTATTACTTTATTGCCATATGGACATATTTTTCCTTCAGTCCAATATTTACAGAATTCTGTCTTCAATTTTACATTCAATGTTCCATAATCATCCTAGGTTGATGTAGAAGACAGATAGTCTTCACAATCTGCATACATTAGATAAGTTTGAGTTTTATTAAATATATTTATATATAATAATTCACTATCAACTCAAATGATTCAAAAATATGTCATGTGACTTATTATATATTAAACCAGTTATTAATTATAAATTTTAAATTCATATTTATAGTCAAATTAGATTCAAATATTCTCCTGATTGAGTCCATTTAGCCATAATTTATAACTAGAATTAATAAAATTAATTAATTACCCTTCTAACTCTTGTAAGTAGAATCTTAGCACGTTCATTTTCCTCTAGAATACTTTTCAAATCTGTTATTGCAGTACTCCAAGGATAGGCTCCATTAATCAATAAAATATGTGCAACATCTAAGTGATCTTCTTTAATTGATAATATTAATGGAGTACGATATAAAATATCAACTCCATCAATATCTGAATGATATTTCAATAAAATCTCAACCATCTAAATATAACCTTTTTTACAAGCCCAATGTAATGCAGTCATGTTATAAAAATCATATTCAAATACCAAATAAGGATTGATTTAAAGATAGTTTTCAATTTCTTCTATTTTATTCTATTTTGCAGCATGTATAAATTCTTTTGAATATTTTTTTTCATATGGTTTTTTTGAAAATATTTTATGTTCCATAACATATTTAATTGTAAGACCCAAAGCTTTTATTTTCTTTAAAGCCCTCAACAGAAATTATCTTAATTGTTTTTTTGTTCTTGGAGGATAAGGTAATACACTTTTAGGAATTTCAGGTTTTATATATGCTTGAGGTTAAACAACTTTTAGAGGCTAGATCTATTTTTTACAAATGTTTGATGTATCTACATGCAAAGGTGAATAATTAAGTTTTGTAATTATACTATATATTTCTTCCTAATAATGGTCGCTTTATTTTAATCTAATTGATTTATGTACACTCTTGCATTATAAAGATGATTTCTTGCTTGGCTCAGTAATAACTCTTGTTGAAGGCAAACAGAGTGGTCTTCTTTTAACTGGAAATAATTATCGTCCCACATTAATATATTTAGGAGTTGGAATTTAAATCGATGGTCTTTGTACTTTCATATCTAATGTACTTTGAAGAGTTTCACCAAAATCTACTATTTTTCTCAAAGAGTGATTATGTAAAAATTCTTTTATCTTTTCATTGGGAGCCGACAATTTATTTTTTTTTAGTAAAGTAACCATTTTATTTGGAGGAAGCATAAAAAACTTATATTCCTCCCTCTTGGTTTCGTTTGATACTCTTTTTGGGTACCAAGGTCTATCAGTCTTGATTTCCTTAGGAGTTGGTTTACATTATTATTTTATGAGTCTCCTATAATAATCTTCAACAAACATTATATTTTTAATTAAATCAATCTGAGTCAATATTAAGTACATTTATTACATATAAATAATATATATAATAGATATTTAATCACTATGATCTTAGGAACAATATATCTTCTAAATTAAAAAGATTCCAATTGAAATTCTAATTATTACTCATATTTATAGATATTAATCAACAATAGATAAATCAAATAGTATATAAGTTTATATTTCTAATTCATATTATTTATAATAATTAGTATTTTATTTTCACAAATCAAGAAGAGAATGTAAGTGCATTTCTCAAGAATTGTTAAAAATCGATTAAATATCTTAATGAAATATTAAATGGAGCAAGTATTTCTAAAATGAAATCTAAAAAATACTTTTTAAATATTTATTCGTATTGCAATTTAATAGTGAAATTTTAAACGAAGAACCATTTATCAAATAAGACATAGATATTAAACAAAATTCTTTTGGAAATTAAGAAAGCAAATTTAAGGAAAAATATATAGATTATATTTTAAATTATTATTATATATTTAGAATGTATGAAATTTCAAAATGATGTTTACTGTTAAAATGAAACATTTATAAAAAATAAAACATAGATGTTAAAATGTAAAATTTATAGTTATAATAAAACATTTATTTTTAAAATTGAAAAAAGCTGATAAATTAACTTACATTGAGTTTATGATGATTAAGTATTATTGAATATATATTATCTCATAGTAATAATGAGATTTTAAGATTGTCATAATTCTGATTATTCTAAACTAAATTGATTATTTTACATAGTAAAATTAGAATACATTAAAATATCCATTAAATTTAATTCAGATTGAATTAATTTGTTTAATAATATAAATAAATGATGATATTCTAAAATTTTAAGTTCAAAATTGCTATTGAAAACCAGTGTCACTTATTAAATAAATATCATAATTAATAAAATTATAATATATTAGAATCAATATTTATATTTGATAATAAAATATTAAATTATTAATATTATAAATAATAAAGATATTTCAATAAATATTTAACAAAATATGTTTTAAGGACTAATGAATAGAGATCAATGTAAACAATTAGCTTAAAAAATCATGAAACTTTATGATCAGGATTAAAATGATTTAATGGAAGTAAAAGATGCTGGAAATTTATAATCTGATTGCTATAAATATATCAATATTGATTTTATTCCTTCTCAAAATGATGTTAAAGGATATGCTAAAATTTTTGATAGTAAATAAGGTTATTTAATATGATAGAAGATGGAAAAGGAAAAATATCAGTAAATGATATCGAATGCTTATGTTTTAAATATTTTGGAGGAGGAACATCTAACACTGAGGTGCTAGAATAGAAACCATAGAAAGCAAAGACTATAGAATTAAATCCTGTAAAAACTGAAGATAAAGTAGATACACCTTCAAAGTTTTAATACTAATCTCCATATAGGAGATGGGGATCTTAAAAATCAACTTAAAGTTCTTCAACTTCTATATAATCTAATAAATAACTTGCAACATAATCTTGTGTTGTACCATCTATAACTTAAAAAGAACCTCAAAAATATAGTAAATTAGCTGAAGCTAGATTACAAGTAGCCAGAAGAATTTTTAAAATGCTGGATTAAGAAAATAATGGATATATAACAGAAAAACATGTAATTCCATTGTTAGTAGAAACGTATAATAATATGGGAATGAAGATTGAACCAACAAATGAAGATGTAGAAATGTGGATGGAAATGGCTGATGAAGATAGAGATGGAAAAGTTTATTTAATTGATTATGAAGCTTTAGTCTTGAAAAGTCTTAGATCTTAAGGTATAGAAATAGATTGATAAATTCATGTTCGTTAAATTTATAATTTCATATTGTCTAATTTCTTAATACATTATTCATATTTCTTGAGATAATAGTCTAAAAAAATAATAAAATTTAGTACTTCTACATTTTAAGTCATTAAATCCATACTCTCTCTAACACAATAAGAAATCATCATATCTATCATGACATTTTTTTTCTTTTATTTATACTATGAATTAATTAGTTTAATACCTTTTTCTTAAGTAATAACTACATTATTTCCCATAAATATAAATATAAAAAATAATAATAATATATATTTATTCATTTTTTAAGCATACTTTCTTATACACGAGATAAAAAAGACTTTCTTGTTTTAAATTATTCTTAAGGTGTTCTTTTAATAATTTAATCAATCGATTTAACAATTAAATTATTTTTCTCTCTTAAACTTTTAGAAATTTATGATTATTCGATAGGTTGCTCATGTATTGTAGGTGCTTTAGATAAATTTTATTCATAATCTGAAACTAATGATTTAAGATTCTAATAAATATTATATATTAATTACCATTAATTCTCCTTCATTAAATATAGACTATTTTTTAATGATTTATTAAATTTAAAATCTCATTTTATCTTCTATGTCTTATGTTCCTTATAATACCAATCTGGCTTTATTAATACCTTCTAAATGTTCTTATTCTTTGGATATATCAGATATAATTTTCATTATGTTCGAATGTGTTGCTACTCTTTAATGAGTATATTTTTGAAATTTTAATAGTTTTTTTCCTACTATTAAATCTGATTAGCAAACTTTATCTATTTCTTCTTAAGATGATATCTATTATTTAACAGATTTTAAAGATTTTATTTAATTTGCACTTTCAAAAGAGGAGAGAACCTTTTATTGATAATATAAATCTAATTCTTTTTTAGCCTTTAAGGAAGAAAAGGTTTCAATTTCCCTTTAAGGCAATCTCTTTAGAATTTAATCAATATCTGAAGTGAACTTATAAGATTTACTTTTCTGATGTGTTATTATAACAGGAGTTCTATGAGAATGTTAAGGTGAAGGATTATTAGTAGTTTACTTACTGATCTTTACATCATCTAATGAATTGAATGTTCTACATTTTTCTTATTAACGAGGAGTATGAATATTGGATTAGATTGTAGTTTCTTATTCAGTTAATCTAAATAACTTTTTATTATAAACAGATTCATCTGGTTATTGTAAAATGGAATATAAGTTTAAATTAATCTCTTTATTATATTTTCTATAAAATCCATCATTTATTTTAGTCCAATAATCATTACTTGTATCTTCATTTTGATAATGATTAGATTATGGAAAAATTGGTGCTAAAATTGAATTGACTTCCTTTATTTCTAACATGAAATTTCTATACTAAATTAATTATATATGTAAATCTTACTTTGTTAGTGTATTAATAATATTTTTCATCAATAAATGCGGTTAAACCAATATTATTTGTTATTTATGATAACCACAATGCAATTTTATATGTTTCTAATAATTTAGTATAATCTGATTGTAATTCAAATATAAAACCAAGAATATAGAGTGTAACAACAATCCATGAAATTACTTTAAAATATTAATCTTCCATCTTTTTAAGGTGATAATCTTAATTAATTATATCCATCAATAGAAATTAACATTCAGTTATGGCTTCATAAAAATAAGAAATAGCAGGCTCAAATAACTTAAATTAAAAATGCAATTGTCCAACTAATAAGTTATACTAAAAATTTAATTTATTGAATCGAGAATCCTTATAATAACAAATTGGCTTCCAATATAGTACACATCTAACATCTTCATGTTATTTTGATAATTAAAATGTCAGCATTTAAATTTAAGAAAATCTATATAGAATATCCTTCAAATAAAACTTTTCTATTAAATTTCTTATTAATTTTTACTATATTCCTTAGCTTAGTTTTGTAACATTTCCATATAAAACAAAAGGAATTGCTGTAACTTTCTCACTAAGTGTATTTAACTTTCTTATTTGTTCCCATCACGAGAATACTACTTTAGAATCTTAATAAGACACACTATTCCTCTTCTAAGTAATTGAATACGAATTCGCCATCCTGTTTGCATAATCAATGATCTTTCAAATTCTTTGTTAATTAATGCAAATCCAGCTTTATATTTACCTTAACCTATAGTTTTAATTATCTTAATACGTATTAGTTTTGTTATTTCTAAGATTTAGTTTTAGAAATGATTTTCTTATATAATCGTTAACTATTTGGCATGACTTCTCATAATATAAAAATTATAAAATCAAAAAATAGATTATTATCAAGTCTTTAGATTCCCAAATGATATAACAAAATTAACATAACAATGGTATCTATATCTTTGATCAATTAATATAAAAATCCATTTCATTTAATAAAAAATTGAGCTGATTTTACTAATAAAAATGCTTTTTGTATATCAATTTGAAATATTAAAAATGTCTATCATATACTTGTTTTCTTATTTAAAAGTTATTATCTGAAAATAAATCCATAAATCGTTTGAAATATCTAAAAAATATTATTATTTAAAATTAATCAAAATAAAATTCTAAAAAAATGGAATTATAATATTATTTTATGTTTAATTTATTTAGTAAGTTATAGTAATAATCATTTATTGTGAAGAGAATTTTTCAATCTTGAAGTACTACTATATATGTTTTATTAATTTAACGAAGATAAAGTGTTAGCCCGTTCTTATAATGGCTTTGGCTGTTAAACATCAACTTAAGGAGTAGTTCCATGACCATTTGTACCACTAAGCATCTAACTTAATATTTCCTTAGTGTATTTAAGTCTTTTAACCATTTAATTATTTTCACTTTCTAAAGCAGTATTCAACATATAAGTTGATTTAACTAATTCTTTATCAATATAAGTAACCACCTTTAATTATTAGGTCAATATAATTTATGTATTATCATGAAAAATGACTTAAACAGTCTTGTCAGACAATCGAAAAATGATAGCATGTTTTGCTTTCATCCATTTTTTAACATAAATTTTTTACCAATATTATTATTCAGTTTCACTAACAATTTCATTTTCTATTAAATATCCTTTAAAATGAATCATCAAAGTGGATTTCTTTTACATATCTGATGTTTATTGTTACAAAGATCCTTCCTTTTCTTCTCCATTTCTATCAATATAAATATATTTGCTATAATATTAAATGATAATAATTACTCATCATTTAACATAAGCATTTTTGAACAATCATTATAAAAGACTCCACATTATAAATTATTAAAAACATACCCCAATCCATATTTACTTGAATAATCAACCCTAAATATTATATATAAATAAATACCATTTTTTAACATAGATTTATGGTTCTTAGATGACATAATTTTAATTAAGACAACTTTCAATATTAGAACGAAGAGGAATTCTATCCATACTTGCATATTAAGGACGTTATTTGAGATCAAGAGGTCTTTTTTCAGTATTTTCAAATTTTGGTATACTAGTAGATTATTATTTTTGATATTATCTAGTGTATTATGAAGATGGTGGACAAGCTAAAGTGCTTAAAGGTAATAATTAAGGTATTAGACCATGAAAGAATTCATGATCTTAAATTTCTTAAAGTGTTAATCTTTTGGATGGTTCAGTAACAAGGATCTTACTTATTAACTATCTTGCTGCATTGCTAATGATACAAGATTCAGGAAATTAATAAGCATTCATTTTGATTCTTCTATAAGTAGTTTTGACATCAGTTGTTTCAAAAGGTGGTTTACCAACTAAAAGAGTATAAGCAATAACACCAAATGACCAAATATCTACTTCAAAACTATGACCATTTTTAGATTCCAATATTTCAGGTGCAATATAATTAGGAGTACCACAAACAGTACGTTTTCTTTCACCTTCAAATTCTATAAGAGTAGCTAATCCAAAATCTCCTAATTTGACTTCCATTTTATCAGACAAAAATAAATTGCCTAATTTTAAATCTCTATGTATAACATTATGCTTATGTAAATATTATAGTGCAATTAGTATTTACATAAGATAACATTACACTTCAAGTTCAGTTAATCTTTTTCTTCTTTTTAATAGTTCATTCATAGTTTAATTAGTACATAATTCTAATAAGATGTATACATTTTCATCATCTTCAAAATATCGATGGAATCCAACAACATTTTAATGTTATAGACTACGATGTATTTTTATTTCAGACATCAATTTTTATCTTGCTCTTGATCTTGTTAGACTTGCCTTGCTAATAATTTTGCTAGCATAAGATTATTCTCCATGCTAAAATTCATAGCATTTTGCAAATCCTCCTTTCCCTAAGAATTTACCCTTTACATATTAACGCACAGTTTTATCTTTACATACTTCCTCTACAATATCCATTTTTTTTTAACGATTAAATTTAATATCAGAATTTATAATCATTAGGTCTGACCAACAATGCTTCTTGGTTCCACTCTTACATATGTTCAATTACTTAATTTATCATCCCTCTAAATCCCAATTTATGATTGTCAGTATTACTTAAGAACTATCTATACTTTTTATTATTCATCTCTCCATTGAATAGATTAATTATTGGTTTTACACACATTTAAGTTGAAACTTTACAACCAGTAGCTCTCTTTTCTTCTACAAATTCTGCATATAGCTTAATTATATATTATTAATTCTTACTATTAATATCTCTTTTCTATTATAATTTTAATTTTCTCCTCCATAATAACGTCTATCAAAATCACTAAATATCCATGGATTTTCATGGGCTGTACGACCAATCATAACCCCATCTACATTTGGCATAACTTAATCAATATGCTCAGTACATTTAATACCCCCATTTAAAGTAAAATTAATTTAAGGAAATTCTTTCTTTAATTCATAAACTATTTTAAATGTATAAATAATATACCCCAATCATATTTCAATGGTGGAACTGTTCTATTTTCATGTGGATTCAACCCTTTTAAAAATGCCTTACGAGCATGCATTATAAAATGATTGACTTATCCTTCTTTGTTTACTATTTCAATAAAATTTCTAACAAATTCATATGTGTCTAAGTTATCAACTCCAAGTCTACACTTCACTGTACATGGTATTTTTACAGCTTCTTTCATTGTTTTCATACATTTAGCCACTAAATAAGGCTCTTTCATTAAACAAGCTCCAAATGCACCATCTTATACTCTTTCAGAAGGACATCCAACATTAAGATTAATTTCATCAAATCCTGCCAATTCTGCAATTTAAGCAGCCTTAGCCAATTTTTCAGGGTCATTACCTCCCAATTAACAAACAACTGGATGTTCAACTTAAGAATAGTCTAATACAAGTGGAAATGGTTTTAAGACTCGACTTAAATTAATAGCATTTTCATGAATCATCTCTGTATAGAGAACACAATTCTTAGTTAAAAGTCTAAAAAACACTCTGAAGTGTTCATAAGTAATATCTATCATAGGTGCAATAGAAATTTTATGTCTGAATGCTTACTCCATAAATAATTTAATAATGTAATCTATTCGTAAATAGCGCATGAATAAAATCATGCAAGTTTAAGGTGAAGTTGGATAACATAAAGGTTATAAAGCTATAAAAATTGTATCAAATGCACATGAACTTCTAAGAAAGAGTAAATCACTTACAAATTTTATTGGAGAATTAGCCATTCAAGATGTAAGTAAAAAACTGTTGCAAGATCAATTTAACTCTATTAAAAGTTATGATATTCCAAAAGGTGAAGATAGACCAGGCATTTAATTCAAATCTGTTCATAGTATGTATGACTTACAAGCATTAAAGATAACAAAACTATACAAAAAGAATGAAAGAAATGAGATTGAAAAACAAGTTAGATCTTAATTAGCTAAAGAGCCAGATAAATAATTACTTCTATCTGAAATTTATGAATAGTTGGAAGACAATTCAGATGGTGAAGTACTTAAGAAGAAATAAAAAGTTAAAGAGGAATCCTTAGCAAGTCAATCAAAAGAATATGATGATTCTAAAGATTAATTGACAGATCTTAAATAATGGACAAAGAAAATGAAAGAATAAAAGAAGAAGTTATAAAATAAAAAAGATGAAAGTGATACACTAGTCCCTCTACCAAGAAGTAAAGAGAGAGCATTAACTGAAATAAAGAAGCCTTTAGTTCGTTAAAAAGGGACTAGACATTTATAGATTGATAAATCAAATTCACCTACGAATTCTCAAAATACTCCTAAATCTTATAAGGATATTATGAAAAATGCTGTTTCTAAAACAAAATAACTTAAGAGTTTAAATGAAGATCTTAGTGTAGAAAGATCTGTTGAATAATATCTATAAAAAGCATCTACAGTAGCCTTAAATGAACTTAAAGAAATAGGTGAACTTAATGTTGATGAAGAGAAAGGTCTTACAACTAATTTTGATTACACAAATGAAGATATCTAAAGAATGTATAATACTCTTGTAAAAGTTCAAATGTCATAATTCAAATCAGAAGCTGAGAAGGCTAAATTTTATAAAAAATAAACGTAATTAATAGCTAATAAATTAATTCAAAAGATTAAATAAAATGAATCAATTATTGATGCTAGAGTTACAGCATAAGAGAAATTAAGATTAGAAACTCATGATTTTCATGATAAAGTTATTTAAATTAAATAATTATCTTAATAATTGTAATAGGAAATATAAGATATGAAGGATCCTAAATTATCAAATAGTATGTAGATAAGTAAATCTAGAATGTCTTTAGTCAACCAATTTATGAATTAGTAAAACAAAGAAAAAGAATTATAATAAGATTTGAATGTCTTAAAAGAAAGTCGTATTGCTTATAAACATAAAATTCTTTTTAATAAAAAAACATTAGAATAAATAGATTCTGATATTCAAATTAAAAAAAAAGAAAATAAAAATTTATAAAAATGTCTTATAAATTTTTATTTCTAAGTTTTAAAAAATGGTTAAGATGTTAGAAATACAGGAATAGCTTGGGTAATATCAAGACTAAATTAACTAAATGAGAAATCTTCTTATTCTTGTTTTCCAGAATATTTAGATTAAAAATCAAAAGAATTTTTATTACAAGTATAATTTATATATAATAAAGAAAGCTCTAATGTTATAAGAAATAGATTAATTAGAAAAAGAATTGAGTGAATCTTTTAAATAATATAAACAAGAATAATCACTTGATAATAGTTTAGCAATAATACAATAAAGCTTATCTCATAATGACTCTTTAGAAGTATCATCATTACCTTCCATATTCCCTTATGATAGTCATAAATTATCAGCTATTGATTTAACATAGGCAAGATAAGAAGCAACCAAAAGTAGTCGAAATACTTATTAACTTGATAAGTTAGGTCCAATTACATTAGGTTTAACAAATGAAGATGTGGAGAATTTGGAAAATATGTTAACAAGATTAAATTAAAAGAATTTACCAGTTACAAATGGAACTCTAATTTATAGAGAAACTTAAAAAAGAATAAAACAACATATAAAATAATAAGGATCTATGGATGTGTCTTAAATTAATGATTAATCAACAGTATTAAAAGAATAAGCCATTCATTCTTATGATAAATGTAATTCTTAATTAAATAAATTAAAAATAAAAGTAAATCATAAAATAAATTAAGTTATCGCATTTAGATGATGAATAAGTAACTAGAATTGTAAAAGAATTTGACTATAAGAATTATAGTAAAAGATTTAGTATAGATCCAATAACAGTAATATCTTGTTTAGTGGGAGGACCTCGATGTGATAGAGAGATTGTGAAATAGGGGATGAAGAAAATTCATTATGATTGAATTAGAGTACTTGATTAAATTAATATAATTACAATAACTAAAATTATAAAAATTAAATTCAACTCCATAGTTCATCATCTGATTTTTATTTCATCTTCTTTTACTAAGGAATAAGTAGATTATTTGATTTAGAAGGCTTAGAAATCAATTTACTAATGATTTCTTAATTTTTTAAATTAGGTGATTCTTATTAATTCTTTTAAATAGTTCTCTTAGGTGATCCCTCTTTTTCTGATAATATATTTTATAGTTTTTATAACTCTTAAGCAACCATAGATAAAGAATTTGCATTAGCAGGTTTTGTTAATAAGACTAATATGATATCAACAGATTCTAAAATATAAAGTAATTATACTTTTTGCTTAATCAATTGTATTATCATTTTCATATTTTTATATCTGATTTTAAAGAGAAGTAACTTCTTTTTTATATCTCTCTTATTCAATTTTACTAATTTTCAAGTCTAATTGTAATTTAGTATTGATCTCAATTAAATTTTTTAATTCATATTATGACATTGCATCTGATTAATGATGAATAGTAGATTATTATGGTAATGTTTAAATATAACTATTTGAAGAAGGATCAGCAACTAACAACATTTTAGATGATGGCATTTCAGATAAAAGTAATTATTGTTTTGTATTAATTGTGTTAAGATTAGTATTCATAATAAAATTATTAGGAATTTCTAAATTATTTTTATTAATAATATCTTCTAATTATTCAACTCTAGATTATTTTGTTTAAATTATATCTTCTAATTCTTTTTATAGTTTTTCATAAGCATCTAATTCTTCTTGTAATTATAGAATAGTTTCATCCCTTTCATTAAGTCTATTTGTCAAAGCAATCATAATATCTCTTTACTTTAATAATAATTATTTATATTTGTCTGTCTAAGCTTTATCTTCTTCAATATTTTATCTCTCTTTTTCTAATTCTTACAATTTCTCTTAATATTATTCTCTTATCAATTTCTATTGTTTTTCTAAAGCATTTTAAAATTAAGGAGTTTCTTCAATTTTTTATCCTCCAACAAGCATTTATGAATTTAAAGAAGAAATCTTCTCTTCTAATTATTTTCTCAATTATCTCTCTTAATCTAAATCTTTGCTTCTTTATTCATATGCACTTTAAACCTCTTATTTATCTTCTAAAGCTTTCTGTCTTTCTCTTTCTAATTCAGAAACCATATTATCAAGAGGTAATTTACTTCTTTCATCTAATTCTTACTTTAATTTCTATATTTCTAATTAATATTTTCTAAGTAATGCTCCTTGATCTTAATCTTAATTAACCATAGGTGTATTTTTTATGTTTTTAGCTCTGTTTGCAAATTTTAAAGTTGATAAAGATTCACTGAATGCATCAATAGCTGGAGATATCATTGCCATAAAAGTAGTTTTACAATTTCCTCCTAGTGAATCTTCTAATAATCTTGTTATTTTAGAATCTCTATATGGAATATGTGATTTTGGTTATTTCAATTCTGTTAATGCAGCGATAACATTTCCTAAAGCAGAAAGGGATTGATTAATTTTTTTTGATTCCTCTAAACGAATACCTGTTGCTCCAGTAACTCTTACTCTTTCACTACCTGCTAAATCGACTAAGTTTAATTTTCCTACTTTTGCTCTTTTACCATCTGGTGTTTCTTCAATTTATTCAACTGTAATAATGAAAACTGCATGACTACGAGATGAAGTATCATTCATTCTTGTACTTGCAGTAACTCTTTTAGCATTACCTCTTCTCATTAATTAATAGATTTCAGGTGGTGAACGTACAGCCCATTCTGATAAATTTTCTACAAAGACTCCTCTTTTTTTATCTTCTCTAATATTTAATTATTAATGATCAGGTCTCAAGAGATCACTGATAGATTCATTATAAATTTATAAATATGATGCTCTAACCATGAATGTAGTACTAGAATTAGATTTCATTTAAATATGGGTGAAAATACTATGGAGGGATCGAGGTATTATTCCTAATTAATCAGAATTGGGAGTAAATGAAAATCCATGCATTGTGTAAGTTTTACCAGTTCCGGTCTGACCATAGGCCATAATGGTGGAATTATATCCCTTCGATAGGAATTCCATACTGTACTTAGAGTGTAGAATCAACAGACAAAGCTGCAGTAGTCTCATAGACTTCCACTTAAGTGCTTTCTTAATCATAAACATAATCAAAGGTAAACTGATGGATAGTGTAGTTGGCTGGATTTTAAACAAAAGCTTCTAAATCTTCATCTGGTACTAATTCGATAGAATGATAATCAAAGATGCATAACTATTGATTATCAGGTGCTGCTTGGACCTTGGATTAGTTAAGAGATAGAGTTACAGTGGATATAAATTTGCCATCTTTGATTTCTCTTGCCATAGGAGGTCTAACTCTAATAACAACTCTTAAATTTTCATTTGAGCCTTCCTTATCTCTTGGTTTCATTTGAATTGTCCTATTAATAATTAATAATTAATAAATTTTATTTATATCTTTGATATATGACAGTTATAGTAAATTAAGATATTGAGTAAGCTTAAACTTAATAATAATTAAAAAGAAAACATAATTAAATGTAGATAGGTAATTATAAAAGCATTTATATATCATCATAATTATTTTATTAATTTCATTTATTCTTTAACAAAACCTTTTTACCTAAAAAGTATCCTCCTGTTAACATAAATGCCAGGAGTGTTATTACACTAGCTAATTCAACAATGGGTAGACTATTTTGTTTTTTCAATAATTATATTTAAGATTCAGAATAACCAAATGGACTATTATAAGGATAATGGATACTTTTAATGTAAGATATCATTGATTTAACTAATTTAATCCCAGAAAGATTTCTGATCATTATAAGATAATTTTGGAATAAGTTGAGCAGTTTCAAATTAACAATTTTGATCAATAAGTAAAAAGTCTATTATACTTAATCTTCTTTTTTCAATTTATTATTCAGCTTCTAATTCATCATATAAACTAATAGCATATGTTTTATTTTGAATAGTTGTTATAATTAGTGGTAGATTACCAAATTATTTTTCAAGTTAACCCTAAGAGATAAATAAGAGTATACATGTTTTTTTCTGGTCACAATAGCAATATGGAACACTTTTCTATCAATACTTTTTTAAACAGAAGACCAAGAATTCTTTCTATTTTATTCCTTAAATGTATCAGATAATTTAATTTCAATTCCAATATAACACAACAACTTGTATGCTTCTTTATAATTAAAGAAGGAAAAGGCACTTGGATATCATGATTTGAATACTTCCACATTGCCAACCATTAGGTTAAATTAATAATATCTTATTCTTATGGATAATATTAATTTAGATGAGGAAAATTAGTTCTATACATTACTGGATAAAAAATATCATCAAATTATTTCTGATTTAAAGTATTTTTTAATTAAGATATGGAATTGCATCTTATTTCAAATATCTATTTCAATTTAGATAAAGCAATATCACTTAATTCAACAGTTTAACCTGCATCTTAATCAAATATTAATCTAATTTCTATATAAATTAATACTCATTTGTAAATATACTCTCATCTAAAGTTAAATCATCTTTGTATCTAAAAAAGCGTAAAATAGTCCAGCAAATTTAAATCTTCATTAATTCAATTCCTCTTTTTTGTAATGCTATAAATCCTTCTAAAGTAATAACTTTTTTATTTGAATTATCATGTAATTCTTCTTCAATCATATCTTTTATTCCAGCAATATCACTATAATCTAATTATCTTTTAAACACTTTTTTTTAGAATTTCTCTAATTCTGCATCACTCCATACTCCATCTCCATCTCTATCACAAATTCTAAATATTCTAGTCAATGCTTTTTTAAATCCTTCTGTTAATGACTTTTCTGCAATACTATAAATTGGAGCTAATGGATAGAGAAATGATCTTTAAGCACAATTTATTACATCATATATACCTTATTATTTTATAGATGAACATTCAATTCCCATTTCAACAGACTATATTAATTCAATTTTAATACATTGAAATCCTTTACTAATTATTTGATAACTTTAAAGATTCTATGATAATCTCGATCATCTTCTAAACCTAATAAATCAAGCTTATTTCCAACTATTATTACAGGCTATTTATATTCTTTATCTCTTAATTCTTTTAGCCAAAATCTTTTCAATCTTTCACTTGATCCGTCATCATCAATTGCATACATCAAAAGTATGACATCAGCTATCTAAACTTCCTGAGGTAATTAATGTGGAGCACATTTTGTATCTATTAGAGTAGTTATACATTCAGGATGGTTAAGCATATCAGGAGGTAAGCTGATAGGTTGATGTTTATCTAAAACAGATGCTTTGTTTGATATTTAATTTAATAATGCAGAAACAAATGATGATTTCCCAACACCACCTAATATTAATCAATTTCTTACTATCTCCAATTAAAACAAGTTTGAGATCTCTCTTTTTCATTTTTTAATTATATATATATATATATATTAATGAATATACAATTATTAACCACCTAATTAATTTATATTTATGATCCATTATATTCTAAATATACATATTTATAGAAATAAGAAATTAATTTTACTAACCTTTATTAATAATTCATATAATTAATCAACCAAAAATTACAATCATTTTATATATTTATAACAATTAATACAAGAATTACTCTATTGTTATTAATTAAAAACATAATATATATATATATTCATTATTCATAAACAAATAATAAATCAGAATTATTTAATAATACTCTATTTCAAACTCAAATTATTTAGATTTATCTACTTATTTAACATTTTGTATAGAGATATAAATAATTTGAATTATTAAAGATGTCTATTTTAATTCATTACTTTGATTTTTTAAATATAATATTATGTGTGAATTTCTTATATTCATAAAATTATGATTAATAATATGATAATAAAAAACAACGAATAAAGAGCATCGATAAATAAATCTCAAATAAGTATTGTCAGCCCAATTAGAAAGTAATAAAGATTTTTACTCTCTCTAGATCTTCATCTACATTTTTGTTAACATCAAATTAATACATTAAGAGCTTTAAAGAAATCAGTCCAAAACAATAAGAATTGAATCGGGTTCTAAATTACAATATAAATTAATCACAATCTGCCAATTCATCAATGTATTCTATTGAATGTACTACAACCTAATCTAAAAACAAAAATCGAATTAATTTAGGTGATATTAGTTCAAAATTTATGTAACTAGATGATGAAATAATAGAAGTTTATAGTGAATTTGAAAAAAACTATAGATCTATTAATTAATTAGAGAAGTTAGAACCTATTTCTTATTAGAATAATTAGTATTTAGAAATTAAACGTAAAAACACAAATTAATTAATTCAAACTCATGATAGTTTAATATAATCAGATCTAATGCATGGAGATTAAAATCGAATTAAAATAACTAGATTTAAATTTAATTATTTTAGAATGAAATTAAGAGGCAAAGTATCTCCTATTCATGTCTTTTTTAATGTTCCAGATAGAGTTTAAACATCATCTCTAAAAATATTCTTATCTACAAAAGCAGAATTTCCTACTAAATTCAATGCTGAATATATTATACATTCTCGCTTTGCAAAAATCTATTCAGAAAAAAATTAACATTATTTCAGTGAAGAATATTTATTTATTACTCTTTATTCAGAAATTGATTTTGAATTCTCTATTAACTTTTCATTTGGTAATTCATAAATAATCAAATCTCCTGTTAAATAATAATTAGAGCCTTCTGAATTAATTTAAGACAATTACCCTTTAACTCATAAACCTCAACCAAAAGATAAGATTTTAGGAAATCTTTCAGTAACACACCACTAAGTTAGCCATAGATTAAATAAGATACTTTCAGTATAATCAGAAAGATTATAAAAATAAAAAATGGCTAAATCTATGAGATAATCTCTTATAGAAGATAAATAATTAGATAAAATATCAAAATTATTAGTAAAGGATTAAATAATTTAATTTAGAGAAATTGAAAAATAAATTAAATAGAAAAAGGCATTAGTATAATTTGCTTAAAAAAATTGGATTCAAATATTTGGTTTATTCCTTATTACTGAATATATATATACATGCTTATAAGAATAAAGAAGAAAATAAAAAGTTGTAGCAAAAGGAAAATTATTAGTATGGGCACTTAAAACAAAAGCATTGATAGATGTTAAAGAATATGGTGAAAATGCAAAAGATAGAACAATATTTAAATGTAGATGTGTTATCAATAGCTTTACAAGTATAATTAGATCTAAAACAAAATAAAAAGCTGAATTTGTTATCACTAAATTTATGGATAGAATTCTTCTTTTTTTAACAATTCTCAACAAACATCAAAGTACACTTAATAAAGGTACAAAATTTTATAATATTTTATATAGTAATGTTTATATAAAGAAAGTTTCGTCTTCTCAAAACAAAAAAAAGATTATTCAGAGATAAATTTTGGAAATTAATCAAAGAAAATATTGCTGATATTGTTTATGATTTAAAAAGATAAAAAGAAAACTAATTCTTTTTTGAAAAACAACAAGTAGTAATTGATGTGTAAAATATATATCTCATTTCTTTAGACCTGTTATGAATTAAGTGATTGATGAATACAACAAAAAATAAAGAATTCTTTGGATTGAATACATTTAACATACATATTTAGAAAAAGATTAAAAAAGAGTATATATTTATTATTATTTAGAAAATCCATGAAACAGCACTTAATTTGAAAGAGCCTAAAATTTATGATTTACCAAATAGAAATGAGCTTAGTCTTCTTATAGAATAATATGCCAAATTAAAAAAAATACTTTGATTATAATTAATTTATTTAAATGGGAAATTTTTGTAAAACACCATCACTCACAATAAATACTGAAGTTTGTGATGAATATATTGGTCATAAAACTATATTGTCTACAAATAATAGAGCCATTTTTAATGAGATATACAAGCAAGAACAAAATGAATCAATATATAAATTACAATAACCATTAATCACACAACTACCATTCATAAGTTTAGATCTAATAGAGCCAAATCAATTTATTCCTTAAATTAAAGTAAACAGAAGAACTCTAAGTTTTGTTAAAGAGAAATCACCCAAAGATGATAACAGAAGCAGAACTACTTCTTAAAAGATTAAAATTGAAAATTTCTAAAATTCTAATCAACCAATCAAATCATCTCTTAAATCACTAAACTCAAAATAAGGAAGCTCATAAAAAAGTTAAAAGTCAGTAAGATGGGGAAGTGATTTAAGTGTCATTGTTAAATTAATACATTACTAAAATTAATTGGTTTGAATTAATTATAAATTTTCCTTCATCAATACTAAATCAATTTATTAAGGTATAATTTATATTTATTGTATCTGAATCATTTCTGATACTATTTTAAATAAAAATGATTTTATTAAAAATAATAGTAATTTTTTTATAATATAAATTAATGAAAATTAATTTAGATTTTAATAATACTGCCTTAAAATTTTTAGTGTTTAATCTTAAAATAAAAATAACTAAAAAAGTTAATATTAATATCTGATAATTCTTATAATATTAATAATTAATTTCTGAGAATCTATGAAAATCATTCAATAACCAATTTAATTGATAGAAATACTTTAAATTAATATATATGATAAAATATTTATCAATTATTAAACAAATAATCAGAGTAATATATATAAATTGAATAAGTATTTTAATATCATAAGAATTTTAAAATAATCATTTTTTTTCTTAAGAAATAGGCTATTGTTTATTTCTTTCTTGCTACTCACAAATAGCTAAATGAATTTTCCAGTTTAATCCAATAGCTTTGTAACATAATGGACAAGTATCACCATGTGATATATTACATACTTTTTAATTTTAATGTTCAGCTAATTGATTTTCTAATACTGCACATCCACAACTAATATATAAATAAAAATAATAAAATTACGTTTCACATTATCTATAATTTTTAGCAAATTCACATTCTTCAAAATGATGATTAGTTAATTGAGAGACTTCTACAACTTATGCACATGATAAACAAGTTGTGAGCATGACACATTCCTTCCATAAATGCATATCAAGCTTTTAACTTTAAATGAATTCTTTATTTTCAATACCACAAAATTCACAAGCTTGTGTTATTTACTAAAAAACTTAATCAGGATTATTTTGTTATTATTTCTTTTTTGGTTATGGTTTTTTTTCTTATTCAAAAGATGTTTAAACATTACCTCCATTATCTATTTTATAGAATAATTCTTCTAGAATTTATTATTATGCAGGTCTAATTCCTTTTATGCTTTCTCTTACTTTATCTGCTTAATTTTTATAAATTTCAGTTATAATATAAATAGCACAAGTTCTAACTTATTCAGCAGAATGATCTAAATATTTAATAGCTACATCCATAACAGGATTATAAGGAACTCTTTCATTATTAATTTTATATTTTTAGATTAAGTTATAAATTAACATTAATCTTGCTTAAATGTGTCTAACTGATGATAATTATAAATTTGGTTTTGTAGTAATACCTTTTACTAAATGATTGATTACTCCAGCACTACCCATAATCTATGTTTCAGCTAGAGTTAATAAAATCTTTTTGCATTCCTCTTTATGTCTCTCATTAATATCACCCATTTTCTCCATAAGAATCTAAGTTTATGAACATATAATACCAATACAATATTATCTAAAATTATTGGACTTTCATCATTTAATTTATTTGGTTTCAATTTAAGTAGGGTTTATTACATTAGTTATAGACTTGCATAAACTACTTTGTCTGCTTTATCTTAAATGCCTTTATAAATTAATAATAAAGTAGCTTAAAAGGCTCCATCAATATTAGAAATATTAATTTAAGTTGGATTGTTAAATTGTTCAATTAGCCATCTTATACCTTCCTCTCTACGGGCCCAATTCTTAGAGAAATAGTTTTTACAGAAATCTATTCCATAATATGGTTTTATAGCCTCAACTTATTTTTAATTTTCAGAACTCAATTCTTCAATTTGTTATTTACTTTTATCTACTTCTGAATATTCTTCCTAAATCTAATTATTATTATTTTATTTGTTTTTTAAAGCTGGAATTACCATTTCATCATAATTTAACAATTTTTCATTTTTAAGTTATTAATCAAAAGAAGTAGGTTATTAATAACTTGTATTTGCATTCTCATTTTAATTATTTGTAATATGAGTAATGTTATTGTTATTATTTAATTATTCAATTAAATATGTTTATTCTTCTTAAGGCATTCTATCAAAACTATCCTCAATTATCTTATTATTATCTACTTATTTGATTGATGGTTTTGAGTTTCTTCTATCTTCATAATTATCTGTTTGTTCACCTAATTCTTATTGCCTAATCTTGTCAATATTTGGTTTATATTCATTGCCTTGTTCATCTATAAGTCCATTTTCAATTTTCAATTTATAAATTTATTCTTTAATTGCTTCTGCCTAATCATAATCTTCATTTTATAACACTTCCTTTTTTCTCTCTTCCAAATCTCTCAATTAAACTCCCAATGATCTTAGTTGAGTTATTCTATTTTTTAGTTTTTTAGCTTCTTAATAGTTTTCCTACTTGATTGCATAATCTTTGGACTCTCATATTAAGGAATACTTTACATGTTCAAGTGCAATAATATGTGCCAATAATTTAGTGTCAATCAATTTATCTTATTATGGATTGTATAATTCATCTAAGACCTTATCTTAAACCTTATTTGATTTTTTAGGTGGAGGAAGTTCTGCCTTTTCACCATAAATTCTAATTGCTACAATACCAACTTGATTAAATGGATTAAACTTATTTTCATGATTACGATGGACCAATAGTTTTAAATAGTTGCAATTAGATTCATCTATAGATACTGTTTTGAGCTCTCTTGCTTACCAGTTTGATTGTTCGTTGGAATGAAATGTAAAATAGCCAATTTTTTTAAAACTTGCATTTTCTAAATCCATTCTTCCTTATAGTCTTCCAATAAAAACTTCTATCTTTGTAGGTATTTTCTTCTCGTGAGATAGAATTTACATTTTATGAACAGTTATGGCAGATTAGAATTGCAATATTAATTCTTATGGATATTAGCAAAACCTACAACTCTGCCAACCTAAAGGAGTTGATGATATTTCTAATAAATTTGATGGGGGAAACTAAGGATCTTGACTTTAAGCATAAGGTATTGTAAAAGTTATGAATCTAGTATTTTTAGGTTAATTCATTTAATAAAATATTTATATTCATTATCAATTAAACACTTTTATTCCCTTATTGCATCTAAATCTTCCTCCTATAGATCATTATTTTAAATTTACAATAATAAAGCAAGGTTTATATATAATATTATTTACATCATTATTAATAAACACCAAATATACAAAGAATATGAATCTCATATTTATAAATTATAATATAAATATGTAGAAATTGAATTAATAGTAATTTTAGGATTCTTTTTATAAATGAACTAAATTATGATAGAAGTGGATATAAATTATTAAATTAATGCACAGTAATATTATTAGAAACCTTTTAGGCTAAAATTTGAAGATAAATTCTTATTTTTCTAATATTATCATTCTAATTTTTTAAATATCTGAATTGTAATGAAAGTCAGAAAAGTTAATATTTGTAACTAATTAGAAATTCAACATATTATGGATTTTATTTTATTCATTTAACTTTCATAAAGAAAAAAATCAATATTCCTTATTAAATTTAATTCATCAACAAAAATTTTGGAAATTTTTTCAATTTAATTAATTAAATGAATAATCTATAAGAACTATATTATTACACCTCATCATATGTAAAGAATGAATTGCAAATTTAATTATGTTGAATTTCATTTCTTATAAATAATAGATATTAGTATTGACATATAGGAGGCTTAATTTAAGACTTATAAAATATATTAATATTATGTATTAATAAATAATCAATCTAAGATTATAAATTATTATCTTATTTTAAGTTAAAAGATAATTTTTGTTTTTATATAATTAATTTATTATGAATTAAAACTAATAAGACAATTATATGTATGTGTAAATGTAAGATTAGTATCCTTTAACAATGCAAAATAATAGTTAATAGAACTATTAACAACAGTAATATCAATATTAATAATAATAATAATAATAATAATAACAATACTTACCATAAGATGTGACAAATTAAATGTATTTATAATAATAATACCCTGATGGAGCAGGAAGATTAATCATAATTGACTAAGCATAAACTTCTGGATACAGACCTAGCAATTTTTTAGTTTTATTCTTAATCACACTAACAACAACTCTTTGCATTGGTGTTATTATTTGGATGTGTTTGGATTGATATATAATCAATTATGAAATAAAAATAACTAAATATATATAGTTAATTTATAATATGAATGAAGATTAGGAAAATTAAAAGAGTATCAAAATCAACAATCCATATGAGAATGATGAAAATGAACTTTTATAATATGAAGATAGTATATTGAATTAATATTAAATTAGACCAAAAAGAAGTTCAAACAGATAAAAGCACATTTGTCATCCAAATAATTTCAATCATTTTAATAATCATATATTTTATTGGTATCCTAATTGCGATTATTGCGAATATTACAAAAAGTAAATGATGCTTAAAATTTTTGAAATTAATGAATAATTTTTTTCAATCATTAATTTATATAAAACTCAACATAAGTTAGTTCAGATATAGACTATATCTTATCAATATTCTAAAACAATTTCTTTCTTATGATATTTTATTGATTTGCTTAATTATAATATCAAACATTTTAATATATTCATTCTAATTCTAGCCATTCTTCTATTTTATAATTGTTTTTCCCTTATTATAAATTTTTAAATGTACCAGCTAAATGAAAAGTAATTACTTTCAACAATAAATCTACTAGATCTTGGTAACTTAAAAATTCAGCTAAATGGGTAAGGTCAAATAAGTCTTTTTTTCCAAGCGATTTAACTATATTATAATCCCTTTCTTCAATCATATCTAACTTCAAATAATCACTATTACCTTATAATCTATTTGAAAATAAAGGTAGTTTTTTTGAAGTATTTTCTTTTTAGGTATCTGATTTATGAGCATCGATATACTTTTAAAGATTCTCATAAACACTTTTTTTATATTAGGTTATAGCAGTCATTTCAAAAATAAGATTCTCATTGCCTATATTATTTATAGAACCTAATCGATTTCTTATATTATCATTAATCTAATTAAAAATACTATTACTCTAATTAGTGTTTCAATACCATCCTCAGTTATGAATTTAAGAATATATTCTTATTCAAAATTTATTTATTGATCTTAATTAGATAACATAGCTAAAGTTTTATGTAAATTAAATTTATTAGTATTAATATTTTTTTAATATTTCTTTATATGAAAAACTTTCAATAAAAACATATTCTATTGAATATTAAAATTCATTTGATTTTTTTATTAGAACTTCCTTCATTTTTTATTACATATACTTTTGGCTCTTGATTGTCAGGATCATTGTAAACAAATTGATCATCTTCAAGACATTTAATTTTTTCTTCAGCATCTTTTTCCAAATTATTTTATTTAATTAATTCATCAGTATATTGAACTACTTTATTTTCATAACGATCTTTCTCATACTTATATTCTGCCATCAATCTTCTTATCTAAATAAAATATAAAAAATCTATACATTGACAACATTAACTTATTACAAATCAGGATAATCATCATTATTATCATCTTTTTTAGGGGTTTAATTTTTTGAGTCAAGATCTGTCTTTCCAGGTTTTAATTTATTTAGATCATAACCATGTTATTTTAATAAACTTTCCAAATAAATAATATGAATTTTTAGTTCATCTATTTGTTTTTCTAACTTGTTTATTTAATCTTTATATTTAGCATCATTTTATTATCCCGGTTTTTTATCTGATTATCCTTATTTATCATTTCCTTGTTGCTCATCTCTATTTTTGGTTGGAGTCTTTTACTTTTAATCGTCAATTTATTTTTGAAGTTCTTTTATCTTTTCTTCCTATCTTTTAATCTTTTCATCTGTTTGATATTTTTCCTTTTCTAATTTAGTTATCTACTCTTTTAATTTATTATTCTCATTAGTTTAATCTTTTAATTTTTTATTATCTTCATCTTTTTTTTTGATTTCTTCTTGTTGTTTCTTTATTATTTCATTTTAGTTTTTTTCATTCTACTTTTTTTCATTATTTTCCTTTTAATCTTTTTCAATTTTTTCTTTTAATTTTGATATTTCTTCTTCTTTCTTTTTTAATTCTTATTCAATTTTATTATATTTTTCATCCTTTTATTTCTATGAATTAACATCTTTTTGTATTTTTTAAATCTATTCCTATAATTTAGAAATCTGATCAGTCTTTTAGTCTATTTCTTATTTAAGTACTTTTATTTATTCTAAATATTCTTTTTCTTTATTATTTTTTTCTGTTTTTTAAATATCTTCTTACAATTTCTTTATTTATTCATCCTTTTTCTTAATATCAGTTTCTTATTTTTTTATTGTTTAATTTTATTCATTTTCTTTTTATGTTTTTTATTATTTCTCTACACTATCCTTTTAATTTTATTCTTAACTTTTTTTAAGCAATTCTTCTAATTATTTTATTTACTAGGTTTTATTTAAATTATCTTAGGTCAATTTTTCTACCTCTTTTTCTAATTAGCGATATGTTTTTTATTCATTTTTCTCTTTCTTTGATTCCTTTTCATATTTCTTTTTAGTTTTATTATTATCATCTACATCAACATCTTCTGCATAATCTTCAATTACATCTTCTTCATCTAGAGTATCAGATTTTAAAATTTTATTTAATTTATTTATTTATTCATTCAAATTTGCTATTTATTTTTGTAAATCATCTATTATTTAATCTTTTTTATTCAATTTTTCTTAAGATCTCTCACTTATTTAATTGCATTATTCCTCTAATTATTTAAGTTTCTTTTCATTATTTTATAAATTCTTTATGGTTTGTTCTAATTAATTGTTTTATTGTTTTAGCTTTTATGCTTTATCTATTTGCTATTCAATCTCTTTCGAATTATTATGCTCTTATTTAATTATTTCTTCCTTAAGTCTTTAAACTTCTTATTCTAATTCCTTAATTGACTCCTTGTATTTCTTCTCACTATTATCACTTGTTTTCTTAATATCTTCTTTCTCTTTTTCTACTTTCTTCAATTTATCATAGCTTTCTTTAAGATCTTTCAATTGATTTTATAAATTTTCTATTTAAGAAGTTTATGATTGCAAGTCATTAAGTAATTCTAATTTCTATTCTTCTAATTAATCCAATTTCTTTTGTTGATTTATTTCTGAGGATTTGACTTTTTAACTTACATTTTCTTTCTCTTTAGAAATCTTAGCAATTTATTTTTAATAATCCTCTACTTATTACTTTAATTTTTAAATTTCTTATTCCAAATTTTGGATACTTTATTATTTTTCATCTAAATCTTATTCATAATTTTGTATTTATTCTATTGTTTATTTTTCATATTCTTAGTAAATTTTAATTTTTTAAATTTGATCAGTAATAGTCTTGTCCAATGTTTTTACTTTTTCTTTCTATCTATTATAATCATTTTCTATTTAAGTTAATCTTTGTAATTCTATGTCTTTTAGTTTTATTTAATTCTCTACATCGATTAATTTATCTATTTATGACTAAAGTTCTATTTTATCTTAAGTTAATTGTTAAACCTATTTTGTTAATTTAGTGATTTATTGTTAAAGTGTATTGATGGTTTGCTTTAATGATTCTTCAGCTTTCTCTTTTAATCTAATTTAATCATTTAATTCCTCTTTTTCTCGATCAATCAAATCTATTTATGAGATCTAACTAGTTCTTTCTGAAATATCCTATTTAAACTTTTTGATCTCTTCCTTTTTTTCTTTAACAGAAATTTCTAATTTTTTAATTTATTCTTATAACTTGTAAATAATATCATCTTTAACTTTGATATTTAAAAATGTTTACTCAATATCATTTTACAATTGTTTATTAGCTTCGTCATCTTATTTCAACTTTTCTTACAATTATTTTATTTGTTATTCTAATTATTTAATTTATTTTTGATAAATATTATTTTCTGATTAAAGCTTTGATTCTATGTTTTTTCTTGACTTTTACTCTTCTTTTAAGTCTTCAACCTCCTAAGTAAATTCAAAATGCTAAGCTTCTAATTTTTCTAAATCTGCAATTTTCTCTTTTAATTTTGCAATAATTTCATCTTTAAGTTTTGCTTATTAATTTAATTTATTTTCAAATTGTTTTTTTTCTTCTTCTAATTTTTTTCTTAACTATTCAATATCTCTTTCTAAACTATTTTTTTCATCTTCATTTATTAGTATATGTTCTTCCAATAACTTTATTTTATTTTCAAGTTATTCAGTGTTTTACTTATGTTCTTCAATCAAATTTGATTATTTCTTATATTTTTCTTCTAATTTTTTCAATTATTAAGCTTTATCTTCTAAAAGTTAATTTTCTTAAGATTTCTTTTTTATTTCTCTTCTAAGTTCTTCAATCTAATTTTCTTATTCTTCAATTTTATTTTGTTGTTCTATTATTTTTTATTATAATTGTTCCATTTCTATTAATTTAGATGAAAGCTTTTCATTTTCCTTTTAAATTTCTTTAATTTAATCTTTCAATTTTTTCAATTCTTAATCCTTTAACTAAATTTACTACTCTAAGAATTTAATCCTTTCTTAATTAATATTTTCATTATCTAAATACTCCTGTAATTATTATTCAGTTTCTATCAATTTTTTTTATATATTGATTAATTAATCACCCTTTTTTGTAAATTCTCTCTGTTATTCTTATAACTTTTTGATTGTTTAATCTTTTGATTAAATAATAGCATCTAAATTATTGATAGTTGAAATTTGATCATCAATTTTAACTTAATTTGTTTCATCTTTTATTTTATGTTCACTAATTAAGATTTCTAATTGAGACATTCTTTCTTACTTTTTTTAATAATCTTTAATAGTTTCTTACAATTTTTTGAAATCTAATTCATAATTTCTGATTCTTTATTATAAATCTGATGTATCTTCTCTAACTTTTATTATTTCTGTTTCCTTCTCTATTATTTACTAATGTAATTAATCTATTTCTGCTTAAATTTCAGGTGATTTTTGATTAACTAATTGTTATTTTAATTTGGTTATTTCAAATTCCTTTTCTCTGATTGTTAATTAAAATTTCAATTGTATTTCATTTAATTATTATTAAGATGTATGATATTAATCATTGATTTGTTCAATCATTCCTTCCAAACTTTAAATCTTCTCTTATTATAATCTATTCTCATCTTATAACTTCTTTAATTCATGTTCCTTTTATTTTAATTGATTTTCTAATTTTTTTATTAATTCTTTATTTTATTTATCTTATTATTATAATTCTCTTATTTATTATGTTTCTAATTCTTCAATTGTATTTTCCAATTTCGTCAAATTTTCTTTCCAACTTTCTTTTTCTTATTCATGGTTTTTTAGTTATTAATCTTTTTATTTAATAAGATTTTCTAATTTATTAATTTAATCTTATAGTTATTTGTTATTTTATTCAAATTTATTGATTTATTGATTAAGTTCTTAAATTTCCTTGATTAAATCATTTTCTCTGTTTGAATCTTATTAAATTTCTAATAATTTTTCTTATAACTTCTTTAGATCTTAATCTTTTAATTTAATTTATGTTTAAAGATGTTATATTTAAATTTTAAGATCTCCATTTTCTCCAATTTATTAATTTAATTTATCATATAATTCATCCAATTCCTATTATAACTTTGTAGTTCTTTCTGGAGTTCTTTAATTACCTTAAATATTGCTCTATAATTTTTTAACTTCAATTTCAAGAATTCTAATTTATTCTTATAATTCTTCATTCTAAATTAAGTATTTTCTCATTTCTACAGTTTTTTCTTCATTTATTTCTTTAACTTTATTTGTCATTTCTCTTGTTTATTCTTAATACTTAGTTAATTAATACTCTTTAGTTTTATTACTCTATTCTAATTTATATATATTCTCCTATTACTCCTTGTCAATCTAATTAAGTTTATCAATTTCTTCCTTTAATTTATTAATATTTTCTTCATAATCTTTTAATTTTAATTAGTATAATTACAAATCCCTATTCTTTTCTTTTAATTTCTTAATTTCCTATTCTTTAGTCTTAATTTCATATTCTTATTATTAAATTTTTTATTCAAGTTCCTCTACTAATTAAGCTTAAGAATTAGCTTCTTAATGCAACTTTTCAATTTAATCACTTTAATTATTGCTCTTTTCTAAAGCTTTGGTTAATTCCTTAATTTATTCTTAGAGTTTCTTAACTTCTTGATCTTTAACTTTAAGAGAATCTTATAGATCCTTCATTTAATCTTCAAAAAAGTTTATTTCATCTTGCATTTGTTTATTGATTTATTCAATCTTCTTTTAATTGGCTAATAATTCATCCTTATACTTTTAAAGTGCTTTCTAGTATTCAGCTTCTTTCTTTTATGAAGTTTTTTAATTTAACTTATTATCTGAATCGTTATTTTCAATTTCAAGCATTAAATCTTAAACTTTTTATTCTAACTCTCCAACTTTTTTTTCTAATAATTTATTCTCTTATTCTAATTTAAATTATTTGTTTAATTAATCTTTTAATTATCTAATTTCCTTTTCTCTTAATTCCATTAAACTTAGTTATTTATCTTATTCATTTATTAAAGCATCTTATTAATTTATTTTATACATTGCTTAATTTAATTCTTATTATAGTTTTTAATTTTCTGCCTTTAAATTAGCAATAATTTTTTAAAGATCTTTAGTTGAATCTTCATCATCTTTTTTTTTAGCTCCTTCCAAACCATGTTTCTTTTTCTTCTTCTCTTTCTCCTCATTAGGATCTTTCTAATCAAAATTATCTTAATTATCTTCCTCTTATTAGAAAACATCAGTAGCATTTTTAGTTGCTTCTCCTGGATTTCTTTAATTTTTATTAGCATTATTTGGAGAATTAGGATTCTAATTATCATTAGTTTATCTATTTTAAACTTTTTTGGTTAAATCTTTAATAATGTTTTATAAGTCCTCAATTAAATTATCTTTTTCTGATAATTCATTTTGAATATATTACATTCTAGTTTTATATCCTTCAATTTCAATTTTATATTATATCAATTAAACTTATAATGTTTCCATTTCAATTAATACATTTTAATTTTACCCTTGATTCAATTAATCATCTTTCTCTATTATTATTATTCTTAATTATTCAATTTTCTCTTATAATTCTTTTATTATTTAACCATAATATTCCTCAGTCTCAGTTATTTATTTCTTTTCACTACTTGGATCAAATTGTTTCACTTATTTAGAATTAGAAATTTGTATGATTTTCTAAGTCAGTATTTCAATTTCTTAATCTCTTTCTCTTAATAATTCTTCATAATCTACTGTACCTTAAGCATTATCTCTCTCTAAAAGTCTTTTGGTTATCAAATCTAATTCTTATATCAATTATTAGTTTTACTCTTCCAATTACTTTAATTTATTAGACTAATATATTTAATTCAATATCTTACATTTGCACCTTTATCTACAATATCTAATTTTATTTGTAAGTCTTCATTATATCTTATTTTAAAAGAGTTAACCTCTTTCTGTTTTTCTTGTAGCAATAATTTGAGTTATGTGATTTCCTATTCATAATCATTTATGGTCTTCTCATGCATTGAATGTTATCTAGTATTTCTTTTTACTTTTTCAAGTTAATCACAGAGTTCAATATTAATTTAGTTAAGATCCTTATTTTCTTTAAAGAGTACATCAATATTTCCCTTTAGCTATTCATTTTCAGCAAGTGCTTCTCTAACAACAGCATTCTAATAATGAGTTCATTATATACAAGTTTATCATTAGCTCTAAGTAGTTATTTGATTTTTTATTCGTAATCATCTTATGATTAGTGTGAAAGAGCTGGCGAGGCAGTTGGATCATAATTTCTGTACATTATAAAAATATTTTGAAATAAATTTATTAAATAAAACAAATGAAAAATGTATAGCTTGAGTTTAAATTAAAAAACAGTTTTATTTTGTTAAAATTCACAAAATTTTATCCAAAGTTTAGCAAAGTACCTAGAATTATTGTTCTTCTTCTAAATCCTCTTTATCAAATATCAATTATTTATAATCAGCTTCTGGTTTTCGGAGAAGTGATTAATTCTAAGCTTTTGTTATTTTTGTACTTTCAGCCGTGTTATTAAAAAAGTTATTACTAGTTTTTTGCATTTTCTCTCTACTTAAAAATTGATTATTATGATGAATGCGAAACTTCGCCTTTTATGTATAAACATCATTCATACAGTTGGTGTAATAGGATTCAACATTGGTTAACTCTTTTCTCTACTGAATTATCGAGAATTAGGAGCTTTTGGAATCTATTTCCGAATGAAATTAAATTATGATTATGTCGAAGCCATCATTATCTTTAATAATTATATTAATTATATGAAATCCACTTTTTACATTTCAATTTCTTTTATTTATATAATCTTATTATTCTATAGAGCCAATTCCATTTTCTTTCAGGGATTAGTTTCCATGAATTTTTAATCTAGAATTTATTATATTAAATCAAAACATTATAGATAAATATTAATGTAAAATATTTGTATACATATATATCTAAAGCATATAAACTCTTAAATTTCTAAAAGATTACTGTCATAACAAAAGAATATTTGTAGTTACTATTTATTATAGATTATAAAATCTAACAAATCATATAAATGAAATTAAATCAAATCAAAACAATTGAAATTCAATAATTTAAACGATATATTTGTATTAATTTTATACTCAATAATTCCTTAAAATAATAGAATAAACAAATTTTGTATCTAAAAATTTCACCAGTTATTATCAATTATAAAGAATCAATTTTCTTATTTTATAGCTTTTTTTAATTCCTTCTAATAAAGTAATTAATAATTTATTATTTCATTTATTTTCTAATTTATTTATTAAGTTAAGAGAGTTTTTTAAATATGTAATATATATTTATAATTATTTTCAGGCTCAGAATTAATTAAATTTTTCTTAATTACATGATTAAAAAATTGACTTTAATATTTATAAATTATCATAAAATACCTGAGTTTTTCATCTTTTAATTAATATATTTTTAATTCTAAACTGATTTTATTGATTTTTGAAAAATTTATCTATAAATTTAAAGGTAATATAATTTCTATTCAGATATCCTTTTCTAAATCTAGGTATATATTGAAAACATTCTAGAGGATTAAAATTTTTGAGGATGAATTTTCAATTAATTTTTTATATTATTAGATTAAATTTATAATATGCATGTATATCACAAAGAAATGGGGTTTGAGAAAAAGAATTTAAAAGAATAGTTGAACTAGTTTAGAAAAATATTATTTATCCTATTAGAAGATCCTTCATCAAGTAGATTAGCAGGATTAATATAATTTATAATTTGTTTTACCATATTGCTATCTTAAGTTTAAGTACTTTGTGATTCGCTATTTGACAAGTAAATGCATTAATTTGAACTAGTAATTAAACCTATAATGATTTAAGCAATAATTGTGAAATCCTTATTTTTGTTGTTTTTGCTCTGGAATATTTACTCCGATTGTCAACATATACTGTATATGGATATCCAATAAAGAAGTTTTTACTTTAACATATGAATATTATAGGTAGATTAATTATTAATTATAGATTTGTTATCAATTGCTCCTCTTGGAATAATTTCATTAATGTATGGTAAAACTGCATTAAATGGATTCAGAATTCTGAAAATGTTCAAAGTTATTAGAATATTAAAAGTAAAGAGATATTTAAAAGGAGTAGATATTTTGTATAAAAGTGTAGCAGATTGCATTTCTTAGTTTTACTTCTTAATAATAGCTTTTTTATAAATAACTCTTGCTTATGCTATAGTATTATATTATTCAGAACATACAGAAAATGATTTAGAAATACAAAATGCAGTTTGGTTAGGGATTGTCACAATGACTACTGTTGGATATGGAGATTATGTTCCAAAATCTATAATTGGTATAATAGTAACTTGCATTATGGCATTAATGGCTAATACAGTCATTTTTTCACTTCCTGTGGCAATTCTTAATATTGAATTTTAAGAACTTTATGGGAGCAAAAAAGAGGCAGAGTAAATTAGCTTGCTTAAAAAGGGTATGAGATCTGGAAGAAGAGATTCAATTAAGAATAAGGAATTCAGTTTTTTTAATTAGAGATTATAAATAATAGAATAAAGAAATAAAGAAATTTAAGAGTTGTTAAATAAAAGCAATAAGATGGCAAAGGAGCTTACAAAAGATTTGAAAAGATTATTTCTGTCAGTTAATGATGATGCAGATTAACTTTTAGATAATTTAAATTCACCAAGGCTTACTAAATAGAATGTATTATTAGTTAAAGCAAATCTCTATGATAAATTGATAAGGGCTAAAAAGAAAATTTAGATCACTAATATTTTCAGAAATTTAATCTAAGATTCTGATTAAGAAAAAAATGAAAGCCCTTTAAATCAAACAGTATCTGGTTAAATAAGCAAATAAAAAAGTTTTTTTAGAGTGATGTCTGAACGAAATAAAAATAAAAGAAAAATAGGAATAAAAAGTCATTCTTGTGACAATATTAATTAATTAATAATAATCAAAAATGAAGAGTATGGAGAATTACCTTTCGATTTTTTAAATGAAGTTGTTTTATAAATTCATAATGATTTGTTATATGATATTGATGAACATCCTATAAATTAATAAAAGCATTCTATTATCATACCTGAAAGTAGTGAAATAATTAATAGAGAACCATCATTTAGAATAAGTTCATTATAGTATGCATAATAATTATATTTAAGTGGTTTTGACAGTCCTATGAATAAACTTAATCAAACAAATTGTGGAAGTCCAAATTAAATTCGAAGAAAAATATCTGATTTTACAAGTTTAGTAGACAAAAAATAAATTATTAATTTAAAAAGCACTTATATTTCTCCATTAGTACTTCATGAAAGTGGTTTTAGAAGTATTACAGAAATGTCTAAAAGCAAAAAGAAAAATTCATACACAAAATAGGAAATTGATGAAATGCATTAAAAAACTAAACCTAGAATACCCCATTAATTTGTTAATTACAACAATAATCTTAAAGATCTAGATAGTGGTTTAAAAAAAGATGAGTTTCAACAGAAATATTCCAGAGCCTCTATAGTTGATCTATATTCTCCTCATTAAATATACTTAAATATACAAGATTAATGTTCTTGTATTGAATGCCAAAAACAATAATATTGAATAAAACCACAATAAACAATTCAAAATTAATTGTTGATTTTTAATTGTTATTCAATACCCATCAATTTTAAATACATAATTCTTAATCATCAACTTTATATGGAAAAAATTTTAATTATAAAAATATATCTCTACTTGTTTCATTATATCTTTATTAACATTAATATTTCAGAATTATAATTTTTCAAATTCTATTAAAGTTGTTTCTGTGTTTTATATTCAAATTTAATTATAATATATACGATTCCATTATATTCTATTAATAAACCCTAATTTAAATAGATATTAAATTATTAGATAAACAAACTTACTAATCAAATTTTGTTATTTGTAATTTTAGTAAGAAATATTTAGAGAAGATTAATATATATATTATTATTCTTCCCCTTTTTTTCAAATCAATCAAATTACTATATTTAAGTATGCTCCTCTTTAGACTTCTCTTTAAGTATAAATTGTTAAATGTATATTAATAGAATGAAAATATTAAATTCCACAACATAATTTATAATACAGATTGGGAAATACTTACAAATCAGAATGAATTTAATTTTCTAAATATATAAATAAAATAAAAAAATGAACTATTTTCCTCCTTCGTAGAAAAATATAGATACAAAAGACCTAGATAGTTATAAGTAAATGAATCAGTTCAAATAGGAATATAATAAGATGAGAATCCAACATAAAATATTGTGAATTAAAATTAATTTAGAGTATAATTCTCTAATTGTTAAGAAATCCAAGATATTGGTGAAAGTATTGTATTTTAATAATCATAATTTCTTAAAATGATTAATGAATTGAACAAAAATGGGGATGTTATAAAATTGGATATGAAAGCAGAAGAATTTAATAATATTTTTGCTTTTATGATTTAAGTTAAGGATATTTTAAAAGGCCAAGAACATTAAATTAACATTAACATAGAAAAGTAATAATGAAATCAAATTTAGTATTAAAACTTCAGAATAATTTAAAGACTTATTCAAAGATATGTCAGAGAAATAAGTCTTACCATTGCTTTCATTAGCAGAATACTTAGATATACCTAATCTAATAATTTTATTGGCAGCATAATATAGTTCTTTAATCAAAGGTATTTGATATTTTAATTTCACAGACCAGCCAGCAAGCATAAACAATTGGAATTATTGAAAAGTATATCATTGAGAAAATACTTGATTCATTTATTAGAGTATAGATCTCTACAAAAATGTTTTTAAATAATATTATTTTCGTCTTCTTCAAATTCAGAGATATTTATAATTATAGAAAATAGTATAATATATGATAAATTTAAATAAAAGAGAGACATTTATTATTTTCAAAGGGTTTCTCAAAAATTCAAATAAATTCAATTAGTTAAACTAATAGTTGATTCTATTTTCTAAAGAACAATTCTTTAATAAGAAGAAATTAATAGACATTTTAATATTAAAGAATATATATCACTTTAATGTCTAAAGGTTTATTTATTTTAAATATAAATAAATTCAGATATGTTTTTAAGAAATAGATTGCACTCTCTACGCAAATTAGCTTAATTTTGTACAGCTGAAAGCGTATCAGGAAAGAAGACACCCACAACTTAAGCTCAATAGACTAAAGTAGAGAGAAATTTCCAATTGCAATTTTCAAAGTCAGCATTAGTGGACTTTGGAGAATTGCCAACAGGTGAAATTCCAGAAGCTTTGAAATACGATAGACCTTAATGTACACATATTTGTTGAACCTTAAGCTTTGACTTAATTAGATAATGGTCTCAGAGTAGTGTCTGAATTATACAATACCCCACTAGCTTCAATTACAGTAGCTGTAAAAGCAGGATCAAGATTTGAAACCTTAGAAAGTTCTGGAGTATCAAATTTCATTTCAAAATTAAATTTAAGAGTAGGAATAAATATATATTCTAGGGTACAACAACAAAATCAAGAGAATAAGTTGAAGCAGAAATAGATTATTTAGGAGGATCATTAAAAGTCAAATAAGGTAGAGAATTATAGACTTATACTCTCACTTTCTTGCCATCAGAACTTGAGAGAGCAGTTACCTTTTTAGGAGATATTTTGACAAATTCATTATATTCACCAGCTTAAATTGAAGCAGAAAGAGAAGGAATTTATAGAGAATCAGTTAGCATTAATGATTAATACAGAGTAGTTGCTGAAGCTGCTCATTATACAAATTATAGAGATCATTATATGGGATAACCTGCAGCAGGAATTAGAGATAATATTCCAAATGTTACAGAAGAATAAATTAGATAATTCCACAAGGCAAATTTCGTTGCACCAAATGTAGTTGTCTCTGCTGCTGGTAATGTTAATCATGAAGATTTGGTATCTGCTGTAAATAAGGCATTCAAAGGATTAGGCACATCAGTTCCAACTGAAGTACCAAATTCAGAAAAACCATATGCAACTCCATCTATTATGGTATTAATATTTATTAATAATCTAGTTAATGAAAGATGATGAATTGACTAATTTGAATGTTGGTGTTTTCTTCGATACCCCAGGATGGAATCACCCTGATGTTTTTGCTCTCCATTATTTCTAAAGACTTATTGGTGATTATAGAGCTGATAAACACACAGGATTCCATTTGAATGCCCCAAGTAGATAATATAATACTATGCATTCACTTCTCGGTGGATTACCTGATGTTACATATTAAAGATGTGTCTATTATGCATATTCAGACACTGGTCTTTTTGGAAATTATTTAATTGGTAATGAAGTCTTTGCAACATAAATGGCATATGTTAGTCAAATGGTTTTATCTGATTATGCTTCATCTGTAGGTTAAGTTGAAGTATTTAGAGCTAGAGCCAAAGTGTTTAATGAATTATTAAGTTAAGAGAGTTCTGCTAAATAATCAAGAGAAATTGCTTAACAAGTTTTGTATAAATATTTCAATAAGATATAGCTATTGGGGAAGAAGAGTGCCAAGAAGTGAGTTTGCTAGAAGAATCTCTGCTCTTGATGCTGGTCATTTGACTAGAGTTGCAACAAGACACTTCTGGGATAAAGTAATTATACTATATGATTTAATAGGATATTTCTGTTGTTGTATGGGGACCAACTCATTTATTAGATGCTGTAGCTCATTACAATAGATCATGGAAGAGAAGCACTTTGGGTGGATATGCATAACCATACTATGAGGGTTGATTCATTAAATAATAATATAAAGTTTATTCAATTATTTTTAATTCCTGTCCTATCTTTTAAATTTAATCTAAAGAGTTGGATTGGGTTTTTAAATTAACTAATATTTTAGTAAATTATATTTACTTGTCAACTGAGCTGACTTTTAGTATATTAAATTTATCATCAAGACATGGACTTTCATCTTCATTTAATTAATTTTGACTATTTACTGTGAAATCTATAATTGAAGGATTATTCATTAATCCTAATTAGAATTCAACAAGTGATTTATAACAATTAGGTTTGACATCCAAACTTAATTTATGTTTAACTTTTATTTTATCTTAAGCTGAAGTACTTCTATCAGGTTATTTTGGAATTTCAACTTCATTATGAAATGATCCATATCTTAGATTTCTTTAATATGCAATAAGACAACTCACATCAGGTTATATATCACTATATTATAGATTTGATTCATTAAATGAACTAACACTTTTATTTTTAAGATTCATTCTACTATCACACATAAGTAGATTATTAGAATTATTGTTAATAATAGATGGTCTTCCATTAGATTCTCTTTTAGATGGTCCAGTGTCATCGAATTCTTCACTGCCCTTTTTTTTATTTGGCGAATAGATTTATTAAATCAAATATGATTAATCTAAAATTTTAATAGATTGTTATTTCTTAGGAGATGTTGATCCTGACTTTTTTTCAAAATTGCTTTCATCATACCAATCAAATCGATATTCAATCTATTATTATATAGATACTCTTCTAAATAATTATTAAAAGTATCTAAATAATTATTCAATATCATAATTACCTATAATCTGGTTTTTCACGATAACTCATTTTTTTAACTAAATCTATAAATCTCATAAATTCAGTTGGTATATCTTAACATAATTCTTAAGATGTAATTCTCATTTTCATCAATCCTACCATCTTAACCTTCTCATCTTCATTTTTATAACTTATGTTCTACCAGGGCAAACTCCCTTTCAATAAAAATCTCTATATTAATATCTCAATTACATTAACATATATCCTAATGATTCTAGATCATCCTTCCTTGATAATTCTTAACCTTTATGAGCTGCTATACTTGCGTATCTGGAAGTCCCCAAAAATGGTTTGTTCTCTCTAAAAGGACTTTTATTTTTTAAATAATTTGATTTACATATGTTTGTCATCTTTATCTTTAAATTACTTAGCAATACCATAATCCACAAGATATATAATATTCTGTTCTCTATCCTTACCAGCCAATATGTTTTCAGGTTTTAAGTCTCGATGAATAATACCCCTTTCTTGAATTAAAAGTGTACTTGCTATGAATAGCTTCAAGAATAGTCAACATCTAATCTGCAATACCCAAAACACATGCCAAACTAAAACGTTTCCTTTATCTTAAATAGTGTGTCAAATCTCTTCCCAATAATTAAATTACCATCACATTATTTCCTTAATCTTTACCAGCCCATTTCAATTTTGGAACTTATGGCAATCCTTATAAATTTCTCAATATTTGTATCTAAATATAGAATATTTTTGATTCTACTTCTCTATCTAAACTAAATAAATCATCTATTTCTTGCTTTTCTACTTTAATAGCCACATGATCTGATGATCTTAAGTCATATCCCTAATACACAACTCCGAATGAACCGGAGGAGATCTTCTTTTGTATTACAAATTAATTATTGAAGATCTTTTGAGATACTGCAGCCATAATAATAAAATATATATAATTATTGAATGTACTTTTATATTCTTAATAAATTTATTGATCTAAAATGTTTATTTTAAAGACATTCCTGAATTCTATTAATAATAATTTTTTATACTATATTTATCTACTTAAACATAATAAATCATCATCCAGCTAAGGTGAGAATGGCTTAAACAGTATCATTATCAGATTTTCTAAGTGCCTCCACTGCTTTACTTCTATCGCATTTACAATGTTCCATAACCATTTTAATTGATTCAGGTGGAATACCTTCATCACTAATTTATTCTGGATTTTAGGCTTATTATTATTATTCTTGTTTTTCTTCAACTTATTTGGTACTACATTTTAGAAATTAATTTATTACACTTATGATGCCAAATTATCAGCTTCTTTCTTGCCAATTTGACTTTATGGATCATTTACTTTAGCTTCTCCAAAAACAATATAGGAGTTGTCAACATTTGCTGATTTTAAGACTTCTGGGTTATCAATATAAAGAAGGAATTGTTTTCCTCTTTTAATTGTGACTCTTGTAATTCCAGCCACTGGCTTCATTCCTAATTTGAGCATAGATTTCTTGAATTTCTTTTCTCCTCTATTAGCCTTCTTGTCTTTGTCATCTCCTTCTTGATGATCATGATCATGATCGTGATCATGTCCATCATGATCGTGATCATGATCGTGATCATGGTGATGTTCTTATGTTTATTCTTTCTCTTCTTTTATTTCAATTTCTTTCTCTTCAGCCATTTGATATATTTTTTAATTTAAATTTCAATCTTGATTAAATATTTCAAATGAGCAAGAATTTACAATTAATATTTACATTATAATATTTGATATATAAAAACAATGATTAGATTCTCATTGTAGAAAGGATAACAAATATTGAGAAAGTAATTATCAGCATTCTCAACACAATAGAATCTCATAGAAATATTCATTGATGATGTACCTCATAAAGTTTATATTATAATTTAATATATAATTATAGGTTGATCCATCAGCAACAATATTTTAAGCATGTTATTCAGCAGGTGTAATTATTCCAAGATTTTGTTATCATGAAAGATTAGCAGTAGCAGGAAATTGCAGAATGTGTTTGGTAGAGGTTGAAAAATCACCAAAACCTGTATAAAATAAATGAATATTATAAAAGGTTGCAGCATGTGCAGCCTAAGTTGCACCTGGAATGAGAATACTCACAAAAAGTGAAAAAACAAGAATAGCAAGAGGAGGTGTGATGGAATTTATGTTAGCTAATCATCCATTAGATTGTCCAATTTGTGATTAAGGAGGAGAATGTGATTTATAAGATATATCTGAATAATATGGGTATACTTTTAATATTCTATAATTAGATATGGAGATAGCAGACATAATGAATATAAGAGAGCTGTGGAAGATAAGAATTTTGGTCCTTTAGTAGCTACAAGTATGAATAGATGCATTCATTGCACAAGATGTATTAGATTTTCTGATGAATATGCTGGTGTAACTGAATTAGGAACTAGTGGAAGAGGAAGAAATACTGAAATCGGTACATACATTGACAAAATGATCACTAGTGAATTATAAGGAAATCTAGCTGATATCTGTCCAGTAGGTGCTTTAACTAATGGACCATATGCATTTACATCTAGACCTTGGGAATTAAAATCTTATGATTCTGTTGATGTTTTTGATACCATTATACCACTTATTTAAATTGACACTAGAGGAGCTGAAATTATGAGAATTTTACCTAGAATTCATGAAGAAGTCAATGAAGAATGGTTAAATGATAAATCAAGATAAGCTTTTGATGGATTAAAAAAATAAAGATTAACACTACCATTAGCTAGAGATGCATAAGGCAATTTTACTGATTTGTATTGGCCAGATGCCATATAATAAGCAGCTAAGAAATTATAATCAGTAAAAGGAGAAGAAATTGTAGGAGTTATTGGAGAATTTGCTGATTGTGAATCTATTGTAGCCTTAAAAGATTTATTGAATAGATTTGATAGTGATAATTTTGAAATTAGAGGAAATGGTGTACCATAATTAGATGCTGATTTTAGAGCTAATTATTTATTAAATTCAAGAATTATAGGTGTTGAAGAGGCTGATGTTCTTTTATTAGTAGGTACTAATCCAAAGGTTGAATCACCATTATTGAATTCAAGAATTTTAAGAGCTACAAGAAAAAATAATCTAAAAGTATTTCTTATTGGACCAGCCAATGACTTAACTTATAATTATGTTCACTTAGGAAATAATGCCTCAATTCTTGATGAAATTGCTAATGGCACTCATCCATTTGCAGCAAGACTCAAAAATGCTAAATTACCTATGATTTTAACAGGGGCAGGTGTTTTAGAAAGAGTTGATGGAAATGCTATTCACAATGCTTTAAAAAAGATTGCTTAAAATTCTCCAGTGATTAATCCATAATTGGGATGGAATGGTTTCAATCTTTTGCATAAAGATGTTGGAAGAATTAATGCTCTTGAATTAGGTATCACAGCAAGAAAGAGCAGTGTTCCTGCTAAGGTTGTGATTCTGTTAGGAGTTGATAATAATTTAAAGGCTTAAGATATTCCTAAAGATGCTTATGTAATCTATATAGGTAGTCATGGTGATGAAGGTGCTTATTATGCAGATCTTATATTACCAGGAGCTACATATACAGAAAAAAATGGAACTTATGTAACATTACTTACATTTACAATAAGGTGTCAACAGAAGGGAGAGTATAAACCACAAAATTAGTGGCTTTACCCCCATCAGGTGCAAAATCCGATTGGGAAATATTGAGAGCATTATCAGAGGAATGTGGATGCGCTCTTCCTTATGATACTTTAGAAGAAGTATGAAAGTTGAATATTGTGATAGGTTAGATATAGAATGGCTGAATTAGCTCCTCATTTATTAAAATATGACTATATCGAATCAAGTATTCTTGGATAAGTAGCATTAAAACCTGAATCCTCAAAGTAAACTATTTCAGGCACTCCATTCAAAGATCTTATCGATGTAAGTTGAATAACTACTCTTAGAACTTTTATATGACTGATGCAATTTCTAGATAATCAGTTACTATGGCTAAATGTTCAACAGCTTTTAATCCTCATAAGTTTAGCACATTTAAATAATTATGAATTATATTCATAATCTATAAAATTTATAGCAATAACATATTTATTTCAAACCATTTTTTTGCTTTCAGGACTTAAATTAGATCTTTAAGTGTTATAGACTTCGAAAATACCTTTAGGATTATTTTTTTAGGGACTATTAATTCGAGCAGTTTACGACCCACCTTACTTTATTTTGGCAGAAGATTTCAAATCTTCAATATAAATATTAACTATATTATTTTAGTTGATATTGTATACACCACCTCCCTTTTTTGATGACGCTTAAACACAAATGTTATTTGTAATTCTTAATGGATCTTTTGAATTATCTTATCTAATAGGCTACTTTGGAGGAGATGTTTTATAAGTTCCTACGGCATCTTAGGATTTAGTTCTATAATGTAATAATTAAGAATTCAATGTGGGTCCCTGCATATTATTTGCATTAACAGTTTATTTTTTCTTCACTTCAGAATTTTTTACTTATAGATTTCTCAATGTTGCTAATGCATATTAAGTGAATTTCTATGGTATTTTTTATCTAAAATTTATATGATATTCTTACATATTTTTTGATGAAGATTTCTGTTAACTTTTTTCACCTATATTATAAACACTAGATCTTTGAATTCTATCTGTTGCTAATGGTTGCTGAAATAAATTGATATTTATACATTTTTGATACTCTTATAATCATCATCATATTTTTATAATTAGGAAGTTACTCTGGTTCTTCTATTAATAGTTATTATGAATATATTTACAAGAAATTCACTTAATAAGACTACAATTCAGCAGATTGTTTTTATGTAGAACCTTATCTACTTGGTAATCTAAATTAACAATCAGTTGAATTGAAATTCGCACTAACTTTTCTTTAAGAATTTGACTTTTAACCATAGTTTTGTTTTTATTATTTTTATAAGGATTATTATTATTTTTACACAAAATTAGCAAAGCCTTCAATTTAAGAGTATACTTTTTATATTGTTTAAGATTATTAAGAATTTCTTAAAGGTGATTATTCTTGATGAGATCTTTTAGTTTGTTCTCCTACTTTAATTGAGTTTTCAGCTTTTAATGATGATACTTCTCCTTGATTATTAAATTATAATCTATTAAAATTTATTTTATCAAGACTTCCTTAATAACTAATTTAATGAGTAGTTTTAGAATCTAAAATTTGTACTTTAGAATTTTAATTTTATTAAGGCTTATGATTGATAAGGTAATTTTATTTTAAATTCTTGTTTATGGTTGATAGATCTTGTGATCTTAAGAGAAAACTATTGCTTTAATCAATAGACAATAAACCAGAAATTTGTCCGAGATAATCATATTTTTATCCAATTTATTATACGAATTCACGTAATTATACACTACTTGAGATATCAACTTTTTTTTAGAGATAGGAATTTGTATCTAATTTCAAATCCTTTAGTAAATGTTTTAACTAACCCACTGATAAATCTTCATCACTATGCTTCTATTTCTTTTTTTCCTTTTTTTTTGATGGTTACTAGAATTTTATATATTATTATTATTACTATATCTTCATCTGGGATATTTAATCTCCTTTTAATATTTGCATATTCTATTCTTCTTTTCTTTTCATGAAACTTATTTATAGTTATATAGACTTTTTGCATAAAGAGTCTAGGTATATCTTTATGATATTTATAGTATTCAAGCAAAGCTTTAATTTTAGAAGTTGCTTCTTTTTTGGCATATGATCTTTTAATGAATAAATTAATACCTCTTCAAATATTCTTCTTCTTCTACTATACACTCCAAATCTCTATAAAAGACAACTGCTGGTGTAGATTCCTCATCAATTATATCATTAATGTCCTTAGAATAATAATAGTTTTGAGATGACGAATATTTAGCAAACAGGGCTTTATTAAGGAGAGAAGCATAGGATTCAACCTTTTAATTTTTAAATTTCTAACAAAAGACACAAGGTGATTTTCCTGGATTGTTTGGGCTATAACATATATTAGATCAAATAATTTACGGTGAACATAATGATGAAAAACGTTTTCTCACCAATGTAGGGTTAGATGCAGATTATTTGCTATTTGATCTTGATGTTTTTCCTCCTTGAACCTATTTTTTAGTAGACATTTCTCTATATGTTCCTTAATAAGTTAATAAATAAATTGTAAATAAATAATATTGTATTATACTAAATGTGTATCACTTTTTAGTTTCTTTTGCTTATTTTCTCTTTTCCTTAACTCCAACAAATTTAGCATTGTACCATTCTTATCTGAGTCTTCTATAAACATTCTTAGCTCTTAATTCTTTAGAAATAACAGTAGCTTTTTCACGTTTAGGAGTTCTTTAGAATGTAATTACCTTTGAATTTAGCAAATTTAAATTACCTCTGGATTAGTATTTTATGCGACTGGTTATGCTGCAACTTCATTTGTTGAATCTTTCACAACACCATTTTTAGGTTTACCTGTGACTCTTGGAAATAGAACTAATTTTGATAAATATGCTTTTAATCTCTTAACATTGTTATTTAATTCTTCCTAATTTAGATTTCTTCTTCTATGATCAACAGATATTCCAATAGTTCTAGCAAATGATGCATTAAGTCCTGCCTCTTTTAATTCAATTAATGAGAATCCTCTTCCAAGTTTCTATACATTGTTATACTTTATTGTCTATCCTCTAACAACAGGACGAAGAAGTTCAATTGGTCTTGGAGATGAGGCTATTAATTTATTGGATATAAAATATACATAAAGCTAATGCTCTTCTTCTCAATTATCTTCTTCTTTTTGCAGCTGGTTGATTATAAAAGGTCTTAACAAATCTTGTCCAATGTTTTCTTAGATGTGCATTAGGAAGTTGTTAATTGTGTTTCATTAGTGGTAAATTTTTAAATAAAATGTGGATATGTAAAATTGAATATTAAAAGACTTAAATAAGTCATATATATAATTTATCACGAAATTTATTTGTTTCAAAGCTAAGTTAAGTGTCTCATAGACTTTCTAAGATAATAGAAAATAATAGTTTACCTGACAAATGTCTTAGTCTTTTCTTAAGGAGTAAAATTTAAATTTGGAGTTGATTCCCTTTGCTGTTATTCTTGTGCTAATTCTTCAAAAGTTTATAAGTCAGTTATTGAATTGTGAAATGAAAGTTTCATCTTTTTCATATTATTCTCATCTATTTCTTCTACTAACTTAGGTTTGAACATTAAATATGGACGAGCCATCTTAGATGATTATTCTTTTTAAGTGGGTTAATCAGGAATATAGGCAAATTACGTTTACTTTCTACGCATAATTTAATATAACTCACATCACATCATGTTAACTCTTCTATTATACTTTTGGTTTCTATTCTCTTGGAGTTGGTACTGTATATACTTTTTTCATAATCTTCCAAATTTTATACAAACCTTAATTATATTAATGAATACTGCTTAAAATAGTTTTACCAATATTATACCAAAATAGAAATGTTATTTTATCAAGATTGCCTTTTAACAGTTAGATTTCTCTCTAATCTTAACTTAACTATTATCAAAAACCAAAGAATTATTTTTTTCTTAAATAAACACACTTTATTATTAAGTATTCTTAAACTGTCAATCTAATTTTTATATTCTTTATACCTATATTAAAAATTTTAATACTGAACACCTAATAGAATCATAAAATAATGCAACTACTGATATTATATTTATATATTTCAAATATATTGATAAATCTATTATTTACTTTTAAAATTAAACTAAATAATTATAATATCTTTCATATTCTATTAAGATAAATAATAATCCTTTATTTGAATAAATAGAAAGATTATGACTAGATAAATAGATAATATATTAAAAAAATAAAATATTAAAAAATTTCTAAAAATAAAACACACTATGAAAATTATTCTAGAAATTCTCCTAAACTTAAATCAACAATGCAAATAATCCAATAATATATTACATAAACCTATTTTATAAATTAATGATTATTAAATATAATCTAAAATAACTCATCCTAAATTTTACAATTTATTTGATATCTATATTCCTTTTCAATTACTTCAAAATAACATATTATCATATTAGTAATAGTAGGGATATATAAATAAATTTGGAAGATTAAGGATATATTTTAAATTATTTGATGGATATAAATATTTGCATCTTTTGATAACTATCTTTTATATAAAGTTTGACTGTCATTCTTCAAATGTGAGAAAGATAAAAATAATATAAATGAATTAGTTTAATTATATATTATCCAGCAATTTTATATAACAATTTATAAATACATGTGTTTAATAATAAATCATTCGTTTTTTTTCTTTTCTACTTTTTTTTAGTTTTATTGTGGTTATGGCAATTTCTTAGGTTTTATTAATGCATCAATCAAGGCAAAACAAAATGCAATATAAAATAAAGCTCCTTATATAGTTTACTCACCACCAAGTCTTTCTGATTTGTATAATACATGATTATAATTGATTGCAGCATAAACTAATAAGGCTGGTATTGAGAGCACATAAAGTAAACCAATTCTTTTATAATAATAATTAAATATTACCTATTCATTGTTACAAATGAACAAGCAACTAAGACATATCCAAGAAACATTCTCATCTATAAATAAATATCCACATTATTAAGAATTGAGTTTTCTAATCTTGCTGTTTCTCTTACTGTTCTTTCAAATCGTTCCTACATATAATTATTATTTACTTATCCCCATGGATCATATAGTAAGCTCATTCCAAAAATTCCTAATCCAAATCCAATTAATAGAGATGATAACCTTTGCATAGATTTTAATATTAATTTATTATGTTAATTTATTTTAAAACCATTCTACAGGATGAATAATAACAAATTATTCATTACGACTAAATACTTAAAAAAATATTACATAAATTTATTCATTTATAATTAGAATAGAAATGAGACTATTCATTATCATAAATTTAAAATAAATTAGATTTATATTTCAACTAACAAAAGAATAAAATTTAAATTAGATAATATTATTAAAAGAATTAGAAAAAGAGTGTAAATTATATAGTTTTATATAAGTATATATATATATATATATTATTAATAATCTTATAATACAAGAAATAATAATTAAGATTAAAATTTTCATTATGATTTATAAATATATAAATAATTAAATAGAAAGATATTAATAATTAAAAATACAACTTATATTTATCACTTTTATTTATGATGAAAAATAGTAGTCATTTAATTACTTAAAGATTATAATTTTTTATAATTATCTACTAAATGAGTACCTGAGTCAATCACCCAATCATCATCAAAAACGAGAGTTTAAGTTGGTTTTTATTTGATTTTCGGTTTTTTCAAATAATCAGGCAACGTTCTAACTCTCAAACCTTAATTTTATTAACATTCCTCTGGAATTATTTATTAAGTATCTTCACTTATTTCATCTTTTGATAATTAATATATCTCATCAATATTTTCCATTGCACTACTTCCATTACTTTTTTTACCTTTATCTTTTACAATTTAAATAAGATCTTAATTAAAAGTTTATTTAATTAAAGATGGACAAAAGGTTTTTCTTTTATTAGGATTAATATGATGTTATTTAATATTTCTATAAAATGATAGAATATTTACATTTATTAATTAGATTGATATTAATCAATCTCATAATTATCATCAAATTAAATTGTTCCATAACGAGAAAACATTTCTGTTTGAGCAGTATTTTGGATATCCCAATCATAAATAGAATCAATTTTTATTTTGGAATTTTTAGCAGCTTATTAAAATAATTTAATAATTGATTTATAATCTGGTTCTGTTACATATGTTAATTTACGTAAATATCTATATATTTATTAAAATATTACTCATATATTTTTTTCAATTCTTCAGGTAAATTATTAAACAATTCAAGAGTCTATTTTTACTTAATTTCACCAACTTATATTATCTTTTAGTCACTTGGAACATGCTTAATGTTTTGCCATGGTAAATTACTGAAACAATGAAAATCTTCATTTTTACCCATAATAAAAGTACAATAGGATGTAAATTAAAGATTCCAAATCGTCTTTTCTTCCTAATTCATTTCCTTTATGAGCTGCAATCGAAGCATATCGAGATGTTCCAATAAATGGTTATCTGTCTTTGAAAGGTCTAATTATTTTAATATTTTACAAATGGGTTCCATTTTTACGCATAAATGCCTTACTAATACCATAATCAATAATATAAAATCTATTATTATCATCAATCATAATATTTTCTGGTTTTAAATCTCTATGTAATACTCCTTTTTAATGAATATCATCCAGTACTTCTACTAATTTAATTCCAATCTATAAAACAGTTTTGAGGCTAAATTTCTTTTATTTTTTTATCAAAGAGGACAAATCTTTAGAAAGAAGTTGCAAAACCAACACATTAAAGTCATCCTATTTACCAAAATATAACATTTAAGGCACTCCTTAAACTCCTTCCAATCTTCTTATTATGTCTACTTCTTTTTCTAAGGATCTGAGATGCTCATTTTCAGGTTTTTCAATTTTTATAGCCACTTACTGTCCTGTTTTTTAATCAAAACCTAGCATCACAAACCCAAATGCACCTGATGCAATTTTTCTAGATATTATATATTGATTGTTAATTCTCAGAGATTTCATTTAAATTATTCTTAATTATAATTATTATACACACTTAATTTATTATACAATGAAAATACGTTGACTAATACCAAAAAAAAAATGATTAAATATTTTAATCAAAGAATAATTAATATTTACAAACTTTTATTAAATTAATTATAAGTTTAATCAAAGATATTGAATGATATATAATTTTTCACATATCATTTTCATGAAATCTAAAATCCTATTACAATGTGTTAATTATTTAATCAAAATTTCTAAGTAAATAATTAATATTTACTTTTCAATTAATAATGAAGAATGAGTTAGCTTATTTTCAAATCTACTATCATATAACTTTGTTACACTATCTTTTAATTTAGCTAATTAAAAGACTAAATTTTTTTCATCTTCTTCAGAACTCTTTTTGGTCATTACTTTACCAACAGCCTAATTTACCTTTCCTTATCTACTTTTTTCTAATAAAGAACTTTATTTTAATTTTTATGATGGAGTTTATGGAACTATTTTTATTTGAAACATATACTATCTAAAATTGGATCTTAGAAGGACTTTGTATTACTTTTTTAAACAGTTCTCTTTTGAGTTTAAGGTGTTTAAGGTACTTGAGCTTAGGATTTTGTAGTTTAAGGACGAATGTTATTATTATTAATATTACTATTTGTTTTTTTGCTTTAACCTTGATTATTACTTGTCTAAATGTTCTGAGCTTATTATTAAATTTTTTTTTAACCACCTTATTTTGTAGCAGTTGGAAATTTTCCATTTACTCTTACATTGTTGGCTGCCTAAACTACTTTAAATTTATTGACATCTTATTCAGTAACTAAATTATCTTCTTCTTCTATTACTAAATGAGTATATTTAGGGATTTACTATTCGATTTCTTATTTATCAGCTAATTTTACATATATAACATATGTACATATAGGATTTTATGAATATAAACTTTAAGTTAATGATATGGACTACTTTTATTATTTCCATAATTGAGATAGATTATCAACATTCTAATTTTACTGTTTAAGATTCAAGACTAGACCATAATTCAAATAAAAAATACATTTTTCTACTGATTAAGAATCCTTCTATTAATCGCTATTTCTTGTGCTTCTGAAATCATTTGTCAATGAGGGAGTATACTATCTATCCGATGAAAGATTACGAGATCTATAGGATGGACATTATAGTTTTCCTTTTAAAGATTCTAATTCTTCTAATTATGTAATATGCCTATCATTCAATTAGACACTCATTTATTATTAAATTTAGTAACTAATATAATTAGATGGCATAAATCATTATAATAATCAATAATTACAAGAAAGCTAATTTATACATATTATATGCTATGTTCTAATACAAAATATATCTACAATTCAAAAATTTTATATATATATATAATTAAGAAAATTAGATAGAAACTCAATAATATGATTATGAAATCTATTTTACTTTGATTTAAACAATTAGAATATTATTATACGCAAGTATTTAAATTAGTAAATTTTTTATTCAATATAATATATATTGATTCATTCTTTATTTACTTATATTATTTGTTTTTAATAGCTATTAGTAATATAACTGATGAGAAGTTCTTAGTTATCCTTATTAAAAACTAAAAAATTTAACTAAAATTTATTTTTTTTGAATACTACAGAGTGAGATAAATTTGACTTAAGTTTGAGTTAATTTATATAAAAAATGGAGTGAATTCTAAGTCTTTAAAATTATTTATTTAACTACTCTCTCTATTAGAATGAATATAAAAAGGAGAATCATAAGACCACCAGTTCCAAAATTTAATTTGAATGAATTTGAAACTAATTCTCTAGATCTACTTCCAATTGAGATATAAATTAAAGACTCAAATTGTAATTCAAGCATATTAGATAATAATTCTGATACTTCCTCTGATGATAATTAGGAATCTAATTTTAATCGTAAAAAACTATCAGCAATTGTTGAAGAAATGAAAAACTAAATATCTCTTTTGGGATTGAATGAAGATCTATTAAAAATTGCATTACAACTCTTATAACCTGACTTATTGTCTGAACTCAGATAAAAAAAATACACTGCTATTGCAATTGCTATTGCAGGGTTGATTGCTGCCATAAAATAAACAAGCATTCCAATCACTCAGAGAGAAATTTTAGCTAAAATTTCAGTCTCAGAAAAATTAATTAAAAAAATATTACTCAAAATTCACAACAATTACAAATTAGAACCAGTTGTTTAAGCATTCATAAAATCAATATCAAACAAGTTAGGACTTAATCAAAGATTTGTTAATTTCTGTGTTTAAGTATTTAATAAAATCCAACAAAATAATTTAATTTAAGGAGAACATGAAAATGTGATTGCTGCTGCAATAGTCAAATATAGTGGAGATATTATTTTTGCAAGTAGAGGAGGTATTTTATCTTCAGTAATTGCATAATAAGCTAAATGTAGCATTGGTACATTTAAAATGTTTCATAAAAAAGTTATGGAAAACTAATACTTTATTATGCAAACTTTGAAGTCTTTATCTTGATTTTATTTTAAGTTTATTTATATTATTCTATTTAAAAATCTATCAATCACATCAATTACATAATTTTTAAAACTTATTGTATTTTATCATTTTTTCATATTTAATCGGAGGTCCAATATTAATATTAGAATTGGGAAGTGAAAACTATTTTAAGATTTCTATTAATCAATATATAAATAATACTTTTGGAAATCAAATAACTTAAATGATTTTATAATTCTGTAAATTTAGTGTATTCATAAAGAGGTTTATACAAATAATCAATATGTATTCTTTCATTATTCATCTAATTTATTTACTGTTAATTAATTCTGGATTTTATTATTGACTGAATGTTTCACAATGCTTTTTAGTTTTTTTACTATTTGAATATAATCTTCTACTCCCTAATTTTACTTTAGAATCTTTAAATTTATTAGTAATTTTAGTCCTCTAAATAAACAATGATTGGTTTTTCTTAACATAATTTGAAATGATAATCTATTTATTAATCTGAATCTAATAATTTTTTTGGATTGTCTAAATCATATTGTTTCACTTCAGGAACATAAAATAATTCTGCCAACCAAACTAAACCAAGTTATACTTAATCTTTAAAGTAAGTTGTATCAATTGCTCATTCAATTATATTTAAATTTTCTGGCATTGTATCACCAGGACAAATAAAAGTACCATCTTAATAAAATTAAAGTTCAACTTCTCCTTTTTTATCTGAAATAATAGTTTTTTAACATTATTAACACCATTTCCATCTCCTTCACATATTAATTTATCAATTTTAAACTTAGAACCAACTATATTACTACCTTTAAAGAAGATTTACAAAACACTTAGGAATTTCAATTTCTTAAGTATTAAATTATTAACAAAGTAATTTTGATAAAATTTAATTCATAAAATGAGTATTTAAAGGTATTAAACTAAATGAAATTTATTGAATAACGTCAATACGATTCCAAATTAGATAAGATTGTATCCTTGATGTTCAGTAAGATATTTCATTAAAGTATCATCAACTTATTTTTAATCCTTTTATTTCTTAAATTTTAATTATAGAGAAATCTTTCTATTTCTTTTATTGCTTATTATTGTTTTATTAATCATCGCTTAAATTAACATTTATTTTACTAAAATATTTGTTATTCTGAAAAAGATTATGAAAATTATAATGGAGAATTGAAATATAATTTTTGATTTTTGAATTAGACAGTAAAAATCAATTGTATGATTGTTTTTAGTTCATAATTTAAGATTTTTAAATTAGTAATTTCTTCAAATTCAAAAATAGGAGTTGTAACTATGTATATTATAATCAGTTACTTTTCCAAAATATTGTGAAAATGTTGTATATGGATCAGCTGGTTTTTAAGAAAGGATTTTATTTACTGTTTCATTTATAATATCCTTTATTTTGTATTGTTCAATATATGATTTTACTTCTGGAGGAATATATGGTAATTTAGATATTTAATAAATATAATAATAATATTCTAATCAAAATCTCTTGCCGCTTGATCCAAATGGACATGGAAAATCTTATTATTATTTTTGTTTAGGTTTTGATTATGTAAATGATTAATCAATGTCATATGTACCAACACCAGGAAAATTAAGGAGTTTATCTTATCTTTTACTATATTTATCAAGTGATATAACTCCAATGGCTTTTGATTTTGTTTTGATTTCATAAGCACCTACACTAGGACCTGCATCTTACTGTTATTAACTAAATCTTCTAACTGTTGAAGAGAAACATTAAAATCTCCAAGGTATTTTTTCAACCTTTATAGAGGAATCATTAAATTCATTATAATATGCTCCAGGAGGAGGAACTGGTTTATCTTTCATTTTTTCTCTTTGTTATGCTAATTCCAGACTATCAGAAGGAAATAATGAAAATATATTCCTATGTGCTCAATAATAATAATGAGTAGCCATACTTTTAGGTTTTCTTCTTTTGGATTATCCTGTAAAGGGAGTTTGGGCTCTTGAATTATAATATCCCTAGACTTATAATTAGTTCGGTTCTTCCATTGAATTTTCAACATCTGTTGTGTGTTTTTGATAAACTATCTTAAGTCGTTTGCCTTTTTATTTAATGGGCAATCTCTCAAAATTGTTAATTGATATATCTGGATTTTAAGTGTAACTGAAGCTTCTTTCTTTTGGTTTCTTATATTTCTGTTCAATTTTCAATCTTTCACCCGGTTTTGCATATGCAGATAACTAGGGACTGGCTAATGAAACTCTTGGTAGATTGTTATTATAATTTTAAGGACTTACACTTTATCGACTATCTAGATTTCTTGATATAGATTTTGAAAAATCACTCCCTTTAGCATATTATTATTGGTTGATTTCATAATAGCCAACAGGAGGATTGTAAGTAGGTTGAAAACAAATACGATCACTTTTTGAAAACATTATTATAATATTATAATAAATGTTAGGTTTAATATTATATTGACTATTAGTTTAAGGATAAATAAGAAAAATATGATTGGATAATTAATTACTTTTATTATAATTAACATGTTTAGAAGAATGTTACATATATGGTTGATATATTTTAAAATATGAAGAAGTTATGAATACAAAATTTGGATAGAAAGGTACTAAATTACAAGGAGAATGATGTATATTATATACTAAAAGTATTCAAGATTGCCAATTGATATTCAAATTAATTAAAGTTAACTACTAAAAGGTTGGATATGGCTAGTTTCAAAAGATAGTAATATCAGATCAATTTATTGGAAAGATAAGGACAATTGGCAAAGGGTTTTGTTATTGATTTAATATGAGCAAATTCTTTTTTTAATTTTGGAATAACTATTTATTATTAATTATGATTTCATTATTCATAGCTTTTCATAGCTATCTATTGCACTTTTTTAACAATTGGATATCATTGAATTCCTATTCAGCCAATTACTTTACTATTGAGCAAACCCATTCTAAAGTTACATTACTACTTGTTTTCATTCTATTTTATGTATATTTGTATGTATCACGAATTCCATATATATTTGCTTATAAGTTACAAATTTAATCATCCACTTAATTTAATGATAAGATTTAAAGTATATTATCTTCATTAACTTCACGTTATGAATAATCAGCTGAAAATTAATTCATACATTTAATCTCATCTGTTAATTTTTCATTCAATCCTTATAGATAGACTTTAAGCTACTTTAGTTTTGCTCTTTAATCTTAAGCAAATTAATATTCTTTGAATAATTGATCACCTAATTCTTTTACATCTTTCCAATCTTTTTCCATCTAAATGATATATTTAAATCATTCATACTTTGTCTGTGTACTTTTTTATTTATTTTTCTAATTCAATTTTTGCTGGATCCTTCTATAAAACAGAGTTTTAAGAATATGGATGATTCAATTTAAATTCAGCTCTTAATTTTTCAATAACACCATTTAGATTATTATTCTTATGATACATAAAACTTAAATCAGGTTCAATTTAATCTGATGGAATTATTATTATTTTTACTTTCATATTTTTAAATAAATTTCCATGGATTTGAAGGTTTAGTAAGAATACTTTTAATACCATCTTATTGGAACAGAAAGTTAATATTAACTGGAGGTTTTACATCATCTATAAATAGCCAAGCAGTTATCAAATATGATTAAAAAATAATACTTTAAAGATTTTTTAAGGTGTCACAATAATAGAGGGATTTATTAATAAATTTGAATTTTATATTTCTACAATCTGATCTATAATTGACTAAACTTCTTAAGAGTTATAAATTGTATCTTTATGAGTTTTGAAAGCATAGTCTAACATCATTTTATATAAAATATAATATATAATAAAAATTCACAAATAAATACAATTATTATACAATAAAATTTATGTCTGAAATAGAGCAACTTATTAAATAAAAGGAAGAGATAGAAATTAGTTAGACAACTCTCAAAATTTGGTGTTCTTTGAAAAAGAATTTATCTAATAAATTTAAGAATCCTTCTGAAACTTTTAAAACATTAAAAAAAGAAGGAAAAGAAACATTATCAATAGAAGATTTTGTAGATTATTCAAAAGGATTAGATTTGTAAATATTAACCTTATTTTTTAGAACAAATGTATTTAAAGATATAAGTCTTAATGAAGATAATTTCATCAAATGTTGGGAACAATGGGAATATTAAGCAAAATAAAATGAACATAAATTATAAATGATTTAAGAGAAATTAGAATTATTAAATATTTTAGAATAAAAAGATAAAGTTGGAATCAAATAATTAGAAGCTTAGAAGAATAAAAAAATATTAAATATTATCTAAAATTGTGATAATTTAGAATAACTATAAGAAAAATTAGATACTTTAGTTTAAGGAACTCAATAATAATAAAAAGAAAAAATTGATGTAATCTAAAATGAATCTGAATGTTTCAATAAAATATTACAAAAAAAGTCTGAAATTAAGGCTTCTGAATTATAGATTAACAAATTATAATAAAAAACAAATCCTGAAGGATCTGAAAATAGCCAAATATCAAATAAGAAGAAATAAGTAAGTTATTTAGATGGTTCCACTAATGTTTTATAAAAAAGCAAAATCAATTTAAATATATCCAGTTCTTAATTATAAACTAGTAGATTATCAACAGCAAATTAAAACAAATAATCCTTTATATATGAGTCTTAAGTTCAAATATCTCCTACTAAAGGCTAATAGTTACTCAAGAATCCACCAGTTACTTAATAGCAATAATTTAAGAAAAGTCCAAATGAAGACAGAGAAAGTGAAAGAAGATCTCATAAATCTAATAGAATGAGAGGAGATTTATAATCATATATTTAAGATTTATTTTAAAATGAAAGAGAATAATCATTAAGATAAGAACCAAGATATGTTCGAGATTATGATCGACCATCATATTCTACTGATTAAAGAGGACTTTCTGGTTTCCCAAATTTTAGAAAATATTAAAAAAATTAGTAATAAAAAAGAGAACCTTAAGAATTAGAACCTGAATCTACTAATATATCCAAACGACTCTAAAATATTAGGTATTGAAAAAAATCTAAATAAGATATAAATTGGATGATTTTTAGAACTAAAAGTTAACTTAATATAAATCAAAACCTTAAAGACTTTAAGATTGGAGTCCAGAGAAACCCATAAGAGTATCATAGTAAAAACCTAAATAAGGAAGTAGAAAATCTAGTCCTTAATATACTCCAGGAAATACACATAGACTAAATCTTGATAAATTAAGATAAGAAAAATAATAGAATTAAGGATCTGAGTCAGGTTTTTTGAGCATGGAATAATTGAATTAAACCTTAAAAGGAGAATCATAGGCTAATGCTTGATATATAAAGAATAGATAATAAAAAATATAATAATAAATATTGAAATATTTTTAAAATTATATAGTTTTTTGTTTTGTATAATTATGCTATTATTTTTTAGACTGAATATGTTTTCAATATTCATATGTTTTATTTCCAATATAGAAATCTTTTAAGAATTCGCTCTTTCCTTTAAGCTTTTAATTTTCTAAATAAGAATATCCTGCATCAGATCTGTTTTGATTAGCAAAATATTGGAATAAATGATCTCTATTTAACATATGCCATTCAGCTTAGTAGAGTAATTCATATCCACGATATACCTATAATATAATATCAATCATACCCATCTATCAACAGCATCAGGATCTCTTAAGTATGCTCTCTTTCTTAATACATTGGCAACATTAAGCATTGCTTATTAAGAATTGCAAGTGACTTCTAAATCATGTATTCTTAATAAAAAAGGAATCAGTCGACATACTTTTCTATAAAATCTTAACACTTTGAAATGAGCTTATATAATATTTTTAGAAGGTCTTCCACTAGTTAATCCTTCAAAAATTTCAGTCCCTCTCATTGTAATGTTGTTACCACCATATTACTATTTTATTAAATAATATTTACCTTTCCTCTAGAACCATGCGTTCCAATTTCTGGAAAAAGGTTCAAATTGCTTTGAAAGTTTTAATTTTAATTCATTTATTATATTATATTAAGAATAAAATTAATTTTATTATCATATTTATATGAATTAATATATATATATAATAAAATATCTTGAATGGATTATATGTTATTAGAATATCTTAATTGTTATTTTATAATTCTTTTATTCTAAAATTTATCAAATATAAATATTCTAATAGGTTGATCATTTCCTATCTAATATGATTGGAGATTAAACATATACTGGATTTTCACTTGTTTCATTGTTAAACGGAATATTAATATTAAAATTAATTATTACAAATGGAAAATAATTAAGAAGGAAATAATCAAAATGAAACCGAAGAGGAACATTAATAAAATGAACCCTAAGAGACTGAATAAAATGTTTAATAATAAAATTCAAACCCAAAACAATAGGAAAATTTCTCTTAAAAATAAAATAGAGAATAGCAAAATAATAAATAATAATAAGAAGATAATCCAGAAAGAGATGAGTAATTTGATGAAGAAGATATAACTGCAAATTCATTTACTCCTAGAATGAAAGAAGCATGTAAAAGAGAAGGATTTAAGAAGGAGGATTTAATATAAAAAGGCAAAGACCTGATTAGACTTATGCTTAAATAAAAAGATCCATCAGGTAATGAACATTGATTTTCTAAAGGCTAATTGGCAAACGAGGAAGTTATATAAATGGTATTCGATCATTTTGAGGAAAAACGCCGATAGAAGATTTAAGTGGTCCGTCAGACAAGACAAAAAATTTTGTAGGAAGAATCATAAGGATTATGGCCAAATTAGATGTCAAATTCTAGTGTCTTTAGAAGCACTTCATCTTTAGCTGAAAAACGAGAGAAACTGTTAAGTAGTATTCGCAAAAGGTAAGAATTAGAAATAGAAAAAATAATTAATTCAGAATAGAAAATGGAAGAATTGGCTAGAAATAATGCTGAAAAAGAAAAAAGAATTAAAGAAAAAGAAAAATAAAGAGAATTGAAAATTTAATGGTAAAAAGAATAGGCAGAAAAAAAAAGATTATAATTAGAAGAAGAAAGAAGAAAAAAAGAAGAAGAAGAAAAAAGAATTTAATTAGAAATAGAAGAATAATATAAAATTAAAGATTAAAAAAGAAAATAGAGAGAAGAAGAATTAGAAAGAAAAAGGAAAGAGGAAAATTAATTTAAGGAAGAATAAAGAATAGAAAAATAAAAAAAGATTTAGTAAGATAGAGAATAATTTTTATAACGCTAATAAGAAATATAAGATATGAGATTAAAAGAATTAAAAGAAAAAGACTTAAGAAGATCATAAAAGTTTGAAGAAGAAAGGTAAAAAAGAATAGAGAAGGCAGAATAAGAGAGATTAGAATAAGAAGCAAAATTAGAATAAGTTAGAAAATTAAATGAAGAGTAATTAAATAAAAAGAGATTAGATTTTGAGGAAAAATAAAAGTATGTTGAATAATAAAGATTATTTTTTGAAACTTAAACATTAGAAAAGAAAAGATAGAAAGAAAAAGAAGGAGAAATGAAATAAGAAGAAATAAATAAGGTCTTAAAATAAAATGAAGAATAAATGAGAAAAAAAGTTATTGATTATGAAAAAAAATAATAAGAATTACAATTAAAAAAGAGAAAACTAGAAGAAGAATAAAAATTATATTAAATGGAGAAATAAAAATAATTTTAAGAGAAAGATAGAAAAATTTAAGAAGTATTAATTAGAAATGAATAATAAGCTGAATAACATAAAAAAGAACTACTTAAAAAATTAGATTAAGCTAAATTTAAGTGTGAAAAAATTGAAAAAGAAAAACAAGAGGAATTAACTAGAAAATTAGCTTTAGCCTTTATTAAAGAATTAGATAAACAAGATAATTTATAAAGACGTGAATAATTAGATGAACTCAGAAAAGAGTAACTTGAATAAAGAATTAAGTTAGATTTACTAAAAAGTTAATAAATTTAAATGGAAAAAGAACATTTAATTAAAATGAGTGAATAATTGAGAAAGGAAGCAGAAGAGAAGAGACAATAATAATTATTAGAAATAGAAAAAGAAAAAAAGAAAAAACATTCAATGAATTCTCACCGAATTATTACAGATATGAGTAAATCTAAATTATCAAATCGTGGAGGTGAAGAATGAATATTAAATATTAAATAATCATAATTATTATATTAATTGTTCATAGTTATATTTAGTTTAGATTTTGAAATCCTTATTATAATCAAAAAATTGAAAAATTTGAATTGATGGTTTTAATCTAGGCTAAATAAAAATAAGTACTTCCTCTATTTCTTTAAATGCTTATATAATTTTATCATTATAAGGATAGAAAATTCCTTCCTTATAATTAATAAAGTTGGCTGAAGCAGGAACCCATTCATTAAATGGTTCTTTTAGATCATTTTCAATCATCTTATCAATCTATTTTACATCATTAATGCTTTATTAAAGTAATTATCTTAGAGTAACATTTGTTTTTGAAGCTTCTAATATTTCTTCTTTATCCAAAACTCCATCTCCATTTTAGTCGCATTCAATAAAGATTTAGTGAATGGTTTTCTTTAATTTTAGTCTATCATGAAATGCTACAATGTTAGTTTTTAATACATCGTATAATTCTTTTTCTGAAATACTTCCATTTCCATCTGCATCACAAATATCAAAAAATACTAGATAGTTTAAGAATCTTACCTTTAATTTTTTCTTCTATTGAGTCTTCTTTAAAAATCTCTAAACCTATAATTAATTCTTTATAATCAACAGTTCCATTAGAATCTTCATCAAACACATAAAATAGTTTTTCTAATAAATTTATATCAGTTCCTAATCCTACTGCTACCATCAATTCATTAAAATCTTATTTAGTTAGACCTTTATGTTTTTATTTAGCAAATTTAACTATATATTAATAGTTTTTAAACATTTAGTTGATAGCATCTTTTCTAAATTAAATAAGCCATTAGATAGTTTTCCATTTCATTTTATATTTTACTTTAGGGTCTAATTTTTTATTTAATGTTGAAATATTAAAGACATTATGTTTATTTTTATTTTTATTTAACATAATAGAGCAAGTGCCTTTAGGAACAGGTAAAGCTACATTGTGAAGTTGACTGCTTTTATTATATTTACAAACATTTTATAGTTTTTTCTAAAATACAAGATCTTAAATTTTTTCTAATTTTACCAAATATGGATTTTTGCTTTGAAATTTATATGCTTTTTTAGATAGAAATATATTACCTTATAATTAATTTTGATTTGATGATTTTAAAATAACACTTAAATCATCATTTTCATTTTAAGAATTCATATTCAACAAAGTTTGAGTTCTATTAGAACAATTTATTTATGGATTGGATTTAGAAAGTCTTAATTCATTATTGGTTCTTTAAGTATATGATTTTTAAATCATATAGTGATTCTTTTTAAGAAGATAGGATTGATTATTTTATTACATAATATAATTATATATTTTCAGTTATACCAAATTACATTCACTTAATTAAAAGATTTTAGTTTTATTTCATCAAATTATAGATGATTTAGGTAATTATATAAATATTATTAAAGTTAAATGAATCATTTTGAAAATTAGAAAATAATTGTAAAATTCAAAAGGAGAAAACAAAAATATAAATAAATAAATAAATATACAATTATAGAATAGAATATATTGACACATAATATTACTATTAAAATAGAAAAAGAAAAGTTTCAAATAAAATATTTACTGACACAAATAAATTTATACTTTTTTTTCAATTTTAAAGAATATGCCAAAATATATTATCAATTATGTTAATTGATAATAGATAATGGGTAAGATTACTAATAAAAAAAGTAAAAAAAGAAATAAAAAAGATGGGAATATATATTATTGAGTTGTATATATTTAGGATTAGAGAAGATCTAAGATTACTATTGTATTTAAGTGCAATATTAAAATTCTTAAAAATTAATGAATCGTTAAACCAGTTAGCTCTCCCATAATTCCTCGACTTAATTATTCTATTCACAATATTTAAAGCAACAGCAAGTAAGTCCGATTGCTGAAAGATTTAGTGGAGATGAAGTACTTGAGCTTAGAAAGAAAGTTGATTAGTTGACTAAATAATTAGAGTTCAAAGAGAAGATAATAAGTGAAATGAGAGCTCATTAAAAAGTATCGATGAATCGTTTACCTGAATAGAAACAATTACAATATGATAATTTTACAGAAAGATTAAAAGAATTTGAATAAAAAATGAAAGAGAAGGAGGTTTAATTTCAAAATTAATTAATTGAAAATAGTTTGCTGTTAAAAGAAAACCAGAGTTTAAAATAAGAAATAACAAATTTAGAAAGCTGCATAAAAGATCCTTCAATACCAAAATTTGTTAATTCAATAGTTGATCTAGTAATTCAATGTCATCCAATAAATCATTTTCCAAGCTCGAAACCTGATTTAAGATAATGTTGGAGATGGTTGAAAAAGATTCTTAATGATTACATTCAACTAAAGTAGCGAGAGCATTGATTATTTTATTAATATTATGAATAAAGATGGACTTGAAACTAAATTGCAATTTCTTTAATAAGAAGTAAAATAACTTCAAGAAGAGAATAAAGAACTCAGATAGTTACTATAACTTAACAAAGAAGTGATAAAAATTCAAAAAGAATGTACATTTAATTCTGTACTTTTTGAAACTATATATTAAGCAATCAAATAAAAATTATAATAGAAAAGAAGATAATTACGTCAAGTAAGGAGAAAATAATTCTGAAAGAGGATTCTAATCATTGTTTTCATAATTGTATGAAGAAAATAATTAATTATATGCTTTCAATGAAGTAATTACAAAATAAAGAGATGAAGCAAGAAGCTAAGTACTTATTGTAGTCTAGTAAAGGCGTTAATCTTTGAATAAATTTGTGAAGATTCAAATCAACGCAATATAGAACTTTAATTGGAAAGGCAGAATCAATTATTAGATTTATAAAGAAAATTAAATGAGAAAGATTAACAAATAATTTCATTGACAGAGTAATTGTTTGAGTTTAAGAGCAAAAAGAAGATCAAATAAAAGATAGTATACAAATATAAATATTATTTTAAAGATGGTCTCTCCTACTGAAGATGTTTTTGCAGTACTGAATCAAATAGAATAGATGAGAATGTTAATAGGTGAAATGATAAAAGAGAATAAGTAATTAAGAGAAGAAAAGAATAAGTTATAAATTCTTATTGATGTCCTATAAAAATAAACAATAATTAAACCAGATTATACTCCTCCAATACTTTCTCCAAATAGAAGTAATGATGAAAGTCCTAAATATAACAATTTCAAAGAAAATAAATAAATCTCAGGTGTAAAAGTAGACGATTCAAGTTATGTTGAAATATTACCAGCTAAAGTGAATATTCAATATTAAAAAAATTCTAATGTACCTGTACCAAAACTTGATTTAGCAAAAGCTTAAAAATTACAATAATTAAATATCCAAAAGCAAGAAGAAATTGAAGAAAAAGAAGAAATTGAAATAAAAGCATTTAAATTATAATAATAAGTAAAAAACAATTAGCAGAAAGCTTAAACACCATCAGCTGGTAATGCTCTAAATATGTTTGCCAGTCCAAATAAATTATGTGTCTAATTGAATTAATTAAGCGACTAAAACAAATCATTATAAAAAGAACTTGCTTAATGTAGATAGAAATTATAGAATGAAATTTTGCTCTCAAAAACTTTAGAAGATTAAGTGAATGAATTAGAAAGAAAAATAATAGATTTAGAAAATGTAAATGAAATCTTAATTAATTCTTAAATTAAATATGAATAAAAATGGTAGAAAATTCATTTATAGTATATCACATATAAGGAATACTTTGAATCTAATGATTAAATATATGAAAGTGCTAGAGATAATAGATATACCTTATAAACTATGATAAGTTTACCTATGTCTGCAAAACATAGAAAATCAAATGTTTCTCAAAATTTAAGGGAGATTGCCTACGCTCTCTATAATAAATGCAAAATAGAAGAAAGACTCAAAAATATAGAATTTAAAAATATATCAAACAAAAAAAGATCATCATCACTTTGATATTTTTTCAAATTATTATAATTATGAGAAAAAACTAAACCACGATAAAAACCAGACCTGCTCGAGCCGTCTCACAAGTAGATAAATACAATCAATCTCTTAGGCCAAAGATCCACGAGAATCATAATTTCCCATCATTGAATAGAAACAAACTAAACCTTCTTCTGTCATTAGAAGTTCAAAAAAATCATTAGATTTTAATCGTCTTATAAAAAATCCAAGATTAAATGATAGTAGGATTGAGGAGGCTTTAGAAGTAGATTTAAGTTTCAAAAAAATGGAAATAAAGGATAACAGGCTATAAAAGAGTTCCCCTTAAAAACCACATTTGTAACTAATATCAGAAACAAGTTAAGCAGAAGGTGAATAAAGAGCTTCCACTCCTCCAAGAAAAAATAGAAAAGAAGGTCAAGATTTTAATGCCAGATCTGAATGTAATATATATAATTAAACTTAAGCTTTCGCAACCTTAGAACCTTTGCATCATGCTGAAGAAACTCTAGCAGAAAATCTAAAAATCTTCATTAAAATTTATGAAATCATGAATTCCCTTTTAAATTCAATGAAAAAAGTAAGAGTTTGAAACTAATAAAGTAAGAATACTACTCTAGAACTAATAAATTAAATCAATTAATATATGGAACTGACTGAAGATACTGGATTTTAATATCTAGAAGAATTGCTACAAGAACATACCAAACAAGTTAGATAAATATTTTTAATATTACGTGTTGGAGTAATTCTATTAATATTGTAGATTGTTGTCTTAGTGAATTGTTTTTTTGATCTCCATTTCTATTTAAGTAGTATTAGTAATATTAAGAATATATTACTTTACAATATTTAAAATTTAAGTCATCTCTCTGATATTTTACTAGAGAAACTTAAAGAAAAGCCTGAATATCCTCTTTATTTGTAGTTGTATTCTTAATTGTAATTTAACATAAACAAAAAAAACAGTATTACCAAAAAACATGATTATTGGACTTACATTAAGTAGAACATAGAATTATTACAAAACCTCTATAAATCCTTAACCAAAAGTTAGAGAGATTTATATTAATTTTTAATTATCTTCCTAAGAAGTATACAAAATTATACAATAAAGGAATCATTAAGAAATCTATAGGAATTCATTTCATTTTACTTCACTATCTAATAAAGTTATTAAGGGTTATTAGGAATACCATTAATATGTGTAGCTCCCTCTCCTTATCTTCCTTATACAAATCCAAAAACATATACTCTTGTTTTAGATATGGATGAAACCTTAATACATTTTACAGATTAGACAGGACATTTTCTAATTCGTCCTTTTACTCATCAATTCTTACAAGAAATGAGTTAATTTTATGAATTAGTAGTATTTACAGCTGGTTTACCTGATTATGCTAATTGGGTTTTAGATTAAGTTGATAAAAACAAAAATATTTCATACAGATTATTTAGATAACATGCTTTACAATATTCAAATTAATTTATAAAAGACCTTTCTAGATTAGGAAGAGATCTTTCAAAATGTATAATTGTTGATAATGTTCCTGATAATTTTTAAAATCAACCAGATAATGGAATATTTATTAAGACATGGTACAGTGATTAAAACGATACAGCTTTAGCTGAATTAGGTCCAATATTGAAATAAATTGTAATGAAAAAAGCAGAAGATGTACGTTTAGCATTGAAGGAAGTTAGAAAAATGTTGACATAAAGTATCCAATTACCTCCATTGTAGGGGTGATATATTTTTGTAAATACAATTTTGATTTATATTTAAAATTTAATTTAACAGACACATGTAATAATCAGATTAAGTTGAAGTTGAATATAGAATTGAAATGCTAACAAGTGAATTGGAGAGATCCTCTTAGACATTATAATAGAAAAGCATAGAATGTGAAGAATGGAGACTCAAAAGTTTAGGATTAGAATAAAAAATAAAAGAGCTTTAAGCTCACATTGGATCTTAAAAACAACAATTTGAAGATTTAACTGAAAATTTGAAATAAAAAGCAATTGAAGTAGAAGATTTAAGAAGTAAATACAATAGAGTTTAATTTATTACTATTAAAGGATATGAAGAAAAAATGGAATAATTGGTAGGGGAAATAGAAAAATTGAATTAACTTTTAATGTAAAAAGCATAGGATTGTGAAAGTAGTAGATAATAAGTAATGACTAAGATTTAAGAATTATAAGAGGAAAGATAAAAATGCTTTCATTTGGATAGTTTTATGAAATAGATAAAATCTGAAAAGTTGGAAGCACTTCACTTTTTAAATGAAAAGAATAAAGAATTAGAAGAATTGAAAGAACGTTTTAGAGAAGCAGATCAATATCGATAAAAAAGTGAAATCTTAGAAAATGATATTGAAACAATTAGAGTTAATTACATGAATATATTTAATTAAAAATTAGAAGAGATTGATGCTTTATAGGCTCAAATAGATACATAACGATTAATTAATGAAAATACAATTAGAATTGCTGAAGAAAAATATGCTTAACAAATTTAAGTGGAAAGATTAAATTTATAGAGATAAATAAAAGAATCTGTAGCTACATCAATTGTATAGATGGAGAATTAAGTGGCTACTCTTAATAATCTATTAGAAGCTAAATAAAATGAAATAGATAAATTGAAATTATAAAGACATAATATAGAAACAGAGAAAATGAATTCAATGCTTATTGATAAGAATATTAAGTTGTAAGATTAATAGATTAAATTACAATAATTAGAGAGATAACTCTACGAGAAGGCAAATACATTGGATTAATTAACATAATAAATATAAAATGGTTAATTGATTCCAGCAACTTCTTAGAGTTTATTAGAGAGATCATATAAATAATTATAAGATGATATACATAAATAAAACTTAGAAATGACTATGTTATAATAAAGATGTTTGGAATTATAAGAGGATGTTTAAAAAAAGGCAAATATGAAAGCTAGTTATGAAAGCTAGATTAATACTTTATTAATAGAAATAGCTAATTTGAAGAGAGATGTATATAATAAATCAAGAATTAATTCTTAACATAGTGATAATTAGAGATTGATTTAAATTGAAAATGAGAAAAGAGCAATTAAATAAAAATATGAACAAGATTTAAAAATAGCTGAGGATAAAATTAGATATTTGTTAAGTATTGTTGATTAAAGAGTCTTAGAGTAATAATTGTAATACAGAGGAAATTAAAATCCAAATCCTGTATTATAGTAAATAATAGAAGAAAGTTCAAGTAGAATTGCTTAGAGTAACATTTACTATCATGAAGATTCAGATGTCTTAAATGATGAAGTTCGTTGATTAAAATGTACTTTCATTATTATTTCACCTTTTTTTGTTAAGTTCTTTATACAATTTCTTGAGAAGCTTGTCTTTTATCTTCGCCCTTTTGGAATTTTTGCATCCAATTAGATCCTTATGGTTAAAAATCAGCCTCTTCTTAATATTATGTTTGAGATTAAATAGGTTTAGCTTTTCCTCTTTAAGGAGCCTTCACATCTCTATAGTTAACTCCTTCTTCTAATTAATGAACTCTTTTTTCTAAAAATGATTTATTAGTAATTCCAAATTCAGCATCTTATCCCTCTCCTATAATAATTAATTTATTTATTAATACCTAAAGCATCATATCTAATACATAATGCTGTTTTTGCTGCTAATGTTCTGGAAACCTTTCCTTTTAATTTAGCAGGAGCACTTCCTACTAAACTAGCTTAAAAGATCAAACCATATTTAGGTGTATTATGTTTAGTTCTAATGGCCTTAAATAATGCTTTTTCTGCTCCTAAAATTTAAACAGTAGAAGCTGGATATTTAGCTAAGTTTACAAGAGAACCTGCATGTGAAATCAATCGAGCACCAACTAATTCACCTACCATTGTAGTAAGATTAGGAGCAATAGCTTACATTCTATTTTTTAGATATTCAGACAATTAGAATCTATATTCAGTTAATTCAATAACTTAATCTGCAAGACAAAGAATGAATTTTTCATCCTCTTTTGTAATTTCTGTACCAAATGATACTTCTGCTGCTTATTTAACATCTGCTTCTAGATTCTCAGGTAAAATACCAGAGAGATCTGTAGAACTAGTCTTTATTCTCATTCCTATAGCTTTAACTACTTTTGCATATATTAAATTATCTGTTATTATTTTGCCAAGTTCTGGAAAATGCCAACCAAACCATTCTCTCAATCTCATCATATAGTTATTAATTTCTTTATCTAAATCATCAAGCAAAGCAATAGCTTGAATAATCATAGTATCAACTTTTTCAGTAGAGAACTTAAGTTTATATCTGGATAATCCATGTGCTAATCCCAAAGTCATATTTTTAAGTTCTGACTCACTTAATCCTTCAATTAGATTAGTTAATTGGGATCTAATTCCTCTGAATAATTGTTCAGTCACAGGAGTTTAGATGCAATTTAATCCTAGTTGTTCTTAGAGCTATTTAGCTAGTTTTTTGTCTTGGACTGTTGTTTAATAAATTCATTGTACCTGCTATTTAATCTTAAACTTCTTAAGAGATTACATTCTTTTCCAAAAATTTACTTAACTTCTTTGGAATCTTTCCATTTATCAACTTACTGGTTGCCACTAGAGCTTCTTAGGTATCTTTAAATTATTGGAAAGCAAAAGGTGTGATTCTTGAAAATATTACAATAGATAAGCTTACAATTTTTTAGCTTGTTTTTCATTTTACAAATAATCATATATATTGTCTATTTTATTAAGAGCTTTTATATTAGCTACTTGGAAAAGAGCAAATCCAGCTGGAGTCTCTATTAATATTAACATATTTAAATATTTATAAATCGGTGTCCATATATTAATTATTTATTATGGATAGTGACAATAATAAACGTTTCAATTTTGAACAACTTTCGTAAGGATAGCTTAAAGGACGACTATATAAAAATAGTAATCGTTATGATCCTAATGAACGAAAATACACTTAATAGCTGTCAGCTATCTCCTTGCCTTAATTGGTGCCTAAAGTTTCTAAATAAAGATTAGAGCCTACAACCTAAACTCATTCAGCTTTAGGTGTAACCATTCAAAACGGTAGAATTTTACTTGATCGATCAGGTCATCAATCTACAAAAAGTAAATGATGATTTAATAACTAAAGACTTTAAAAGCGACATTTTAATACAAGATTAGCTCAAAAAACCCAAGAATTTGTCACCTCTTGGTCATAGATTATTAAGTGATCATGGAATGAGTATTTTAGAGGATGTGTAAAACCCTAATTCAACTATTAATGATTCTATCATTGGATTGCTGTAACAACCTGAAAAAAAGAAGGAAACATAGATGATTAAGAAGGCACTTAGAAAACCAAAGAAGAAACAGTAATAACAATCCTATTTATCACCTATGGACTTTATTTATTTGATAAGAACTGATCCAGAAATGGCTGATGAGTTCTGTTACTTAAATAAAAGAGATCATGCCTATGATTATTAAATTGTTGAATTTGAGGATAGAAATCCAAAGGAATATATGACAATTAGTGCAAAGGGTATCACTTATTTTCAAAATGATGATGCTACATTTTTAACAATAGAGGAATGGCAAAGGGAAGCTAAATTATATTAAGATCTTTAAAAAATAGATTTTTTTAGAAAATATAAATTATGGAAGAATTTCTTCTTATGGAAGAGATTAATGAGGAAAAACATTCTTGCCAAAAATCAAGATTTAATGATTTCTAATATGTTTTCAACTGACAAATAATTAAGAATCACATTATTAGAAGTTCGTCGGATATGTTAATAAATGGCTTAAGATATAAGATTTTTAGATACTTCAACTACAGTTCCATAAACCCATGAAAATTTTAAATAATTGTAAGATAAACACTTAATGTCTATTATGGATATTAAATTTGATTCATATGAATAATAGATTAAATAAATAATTGTGGAATGTTGTTAGAAATCTTTAGTTAATTTTAAGGAAATTCATCGTATTCCACTTCATGAAGATGATAATGAAGAAAGAGCTCCATTATTAGTTGGAGATGAATCAGGAAAAGATATGCCATACACAACAGAGGCTACTATAAGAACTCATTATAAAAGATTAAGAAAATTTGTTAAATATGTTGATTACATCATAATAGATGCTAAATTATAGATGATGTAGAATTCAGTTGAACACATTGTTAAATAGATTCGTGAATTTAATGAATAATATAAAGAGAGTTCAGGAGTAAAAAGAAAAGGATATTATGGTAAAGGTTAACCATAATGTTGGATAATTATTGAGGCAATTGGCAAATAGGAAGAAATAGTGTTTAATCCTGTGAGGGAATAATTATTCAGAATATTTGAAAGTGTTGTTACTAATAGTGTTATTCGTATAACTACTAGACATAGAGAAATGTTGTCTATGCCAGAATTATAACAGTATATTCAAGATGAAAGCAATTAACAATCCGAAAAAGTAGATGTTAAAGCAATAATAAATGGAAGTGAGAATTTCCAAATTTTATGTGGTTAAATGAGAAAAGAATTGGAAATTGCATTTGATTATTTAGAATCATATGCTGAAAAATTGAAACCATTTATGAAATGGTATGTTGATAATACAAGAGTCAATATTGAAAAACAGTTTGCTGATAAAGAAGTAGAGGAATATAGAAATGCTATTAACTCATATAAGGAATAAGATCAATAATTTTAAGATATTGAACCTACTCAAGAGATAGGAATGATATTGTTTGATAATCAAAAATTAAAAGCCCAAATTAAATCTAGTGCTATGAATTGCATTTAAGAATTATAGAAATTCATACCTGAATATATGTATAAGAAAGCAGTACTCTTTACATAAAAAACAACTTAATTATATTCAACTATAGCTATATCACCAATAACAGTAGAATAATTTGTTAATTATATGGAGGCTGTAAATGTAATTAATAATTAATTTGAAGATTTAAGCAATGTCTCATAAGAAGTAACAGCTATGGCATTACTTATGGATGAATTACGTATTAAGATTTAAGATAAACATAAATAAAAATTTGCAGAATGTAACCAATAAGTTAGTTAACTTCGTAAAAAAGTTGATGATGCCATGGCTAATTATGATTAAAACTTAAATAAATTTAGAAAAGATATGGAAAGAATGATACCATAGGTAGATAACACAGTAAAAGACTTAAATGAAAGAATTTCAGAATAACCATTGAGTTCTTTAGCAGCAGATTTAGGGGATATGGTAACATTCGTTTAAGGAGTAAGAAAGCAAGTAGATGAATTAAAAATTCATGCAAAAAAATTGAATGATTATTAAATAGCATTGAATATGGAATATACACCATTTGAAAAATTGGAAGCATTTAATAATGAATTCACTTTATTAGAGAGATTGTGGTGTGGAAGAAATGAATGGATTTCAAATTATTCAATATGGTTAAAATAACATTATACAGATATAAATTTAGATGATATGAACAATCTAATGGAAAAATTATAGAAGGCAGCTAATTTATGTGCCAAAGAATTAGACAAAAATGAAGTAGCTAGAGTATTTAAGTCAGATATTGAAGGTTTCAGAGGTGTCTATTAAGTTTTATAAGCATTAAAAGATCCTGCAATTTCAGAAAAGTAATGGAATCAAATAAGAGTTATGATACTTGAAAATTAATAGCTATTTAAGGAACCTATTCTTGAACCATTTACACCAATAAATGATCCTAAATACAATGTTTTATGGATCACTTAGGCAGGGTTAGATTAGGTAAAAGATAAGCTAAGTGAAATTGCATTAAGAGCAGCAAAAGAAATAGAATTAGTTAAAATGTTAGAATAGGTTGAATCTATTTGGAGATCAGCAGTTATTACAGTACAACCTTATAGAGAATCAAAAGATGTTTTTATTTTAGGAAATAATGAAGATTTGATATCTAAAATTGATGATACATTATTGACTGTTAATAATATTTTAGCATCAAGATTTGTAGAAGGTATTAGACCTGAAGTAGAAAGATAATAATCATTATTAAGATATTTCTAGGAATTATTTGATGAATGGATGTTACATCAAAGAAATTGGTTATATTTGGAACCTATTTTGAATTCACCATATAGTGCTAAGAATTTAGCAAAGGAATCCAAAATATTTTAATAAGCTGATACTCAATGGAAAAAAATTATGAGAAATGCTAGAGATAGTAGTATAGCTAGAAAATGGGCAGATGATTATTAAAATAGATTATATTTTAATCAATTAAGATAAAATAATAATAATTTTGATGTTATTTAAAAAGCTTTGGATGAATTTTTAGAAAAGAAAAGAGATGTTTTTTAAAGATTTTACTTTTTATCAAATGATGAACTTTTAGAAATATTGTCAAATGCAAAAAATATTTAGGCTATTCAACCATATTTAAGAAAGTGTTTTGAAAATTTAGTAAAAATTCAGTTTGATTCATAAGAAAATGCTATTGGAATGATATCTGCTGAAGGAGAAATTGCAGTTCTCAAGGGATATGCAGCAAGAGGGGAAGTGGAAGATTGGTTAAAAGCTTTAGAGGATAAGATGAAATCATCATTAAGTGGTGTCATGAGATAATCTTTAATTAAATATTAATTAGAAGATACATAGAGAAAAGATTGGGTATTTGAATTTCCATTATAAATTATTATTACTATTGACTCTATATTTTGGACTAAAATTACAGAAGAAAATTATTTATAAGCAGATGCAGAAGGTGATTTAGATGATTGGTATGATGCTAATATAGCAATGCTTGATGAATTGACTTTATTAATCAGAGGAAATCTTACTGAATTATAAAGAAGAACTCTTGTTGCATTGGTCACTTAAGATGTTCATTTCAGAGATATTGTGGATAATATGAGAAATGAATCTGTTGAAGGTATAATGGATTTCAAATGGCAATAATAATTGAGATTTTATCATGATGAGGAAAGTGTGCATGCAAAATAAGTCAATGCTAAATTAATGTATGGCTATGAGTTTTTGGGATCTACTACAAGATTAGTTATTACTCCTTTGACTGATAGATGTTGGATGACTATAACAGGAGCTTTGGGTATCAAATTAGGAGCAGCACCATAAGGTCCAGCTGGTACTGGAAAAACAGAATCATGCAAAGATTTAGCTAAAGCTTTGGGAAGATATTGTATAGTATTTAATTGTTCAGATTAAATTACAGCTAAAATGATGGAAAAACTATTTGCAGGATTAGCATATTGTGGAGCCTGGGTTTGTTTAGATGAATTTAACAGAATTTATATTGAAGTATTATCAGTCATAGCACAATAAGTATAAACTATAAGAGAAGCATTGTTAGAATATAAAATGAACTTTTATTTCTTTGGTAAAAATGTATAATTGAATCCTGATTTGGGTATATTTATTACAATGAATCCTGGTTATGCTGGTAGAACAGAATTACCTGATAATTTAAAAGTACTTTTTAGACCAGTAGCTATGATGGTTCCAGATTATAGATTGATTGCTGAAATTATGTTATTTGCTGAAGGATTTTCAAATGCCAAAGATTTATCAAGAAAAATGGTTAAATTGTATCAATTAAGTTCAGAGTAACTGAGTCAGCAAGATCATTATGATTTTGGTATGAGAGCAGTCAAATCTGTTTTAGTGATGGCTGGATCATTAAAAAGAGCAGAACCAAATATTAATGAAGATATAGTATTGATTAGAGCTATGAGGGAAAGTAATTTGCCAAAATTCTTGTCTCATGATATTCCATTGTTTAATGCAATAGTAAGTGATCTGTTTCCAGGTATGTAAATTCCTACTGTGCAGAATAAAGAATTAGAAACAGCAATAAAGAATATTATAGATCTTAATAAATTATAATAATAAGATACCTTTATAGAAAAAGTAATTTAGTTCCATGAAACATTGAAAGTAAGATTTGGAGTAATGTTGGTAGGAGTGACTATGGGTGGTAAATCTTAAGTATAAAATATACTCAGAGAATCTTATATTAAATTATTTGAGTAATATTCTTTGAAGGGGATTAAGAATCATGCAATATATTAGATAGTTGAACATTAAATTTTGAACCCAAAAGCTATATCCATGGAGGAATTATATGGATAATTTGATATGATGACTTAATAATGGACTGATGGTTTAGCATCTAATATAATGAGGGGATATGCATCATCAGAAACTTTAGAAAAGAAATGGGTTGTATTTGATGGGCCAGTAGATGCTTTATGGATTGAGAATATGAATACAGTGTTGGATGATTCAATGACTTTATGTTTAAGTAATGGTGAGCGTATTAAATTAAAAACTTAAATGAGAATGATTTTCGAAGTTTTAGATTTGGCAGTGGCATCACCTGCAACAGTAAGTAGATGTGGTATGGTGTATTTGGATGATAAAGTGTTAGGTTATGAACCTATAGTTATAACAGAAGCTATGACTCTTATTGATATTTTGAGTAGAGATATTATAGATCATTTATTGATTTAAATAAAAGTTTCATTTAATAAATCAATTACTTAGATTATTAAATAATGTAAGTAATTAATACCAGTGCATGAAACTTAAATGGCTGTTGGATTAATTAAAATATTGAGGATGGTCATTTAATTCTATAATTAATAGTTGAGTTGTAATTTAAGAGATGAAATATCAAAAAAACATATTGAAAAAATATTTGTTTGGGTATTTGCTTGGTCTGTAGGTGCAACTCTTATTTCAGATGATTATTCAAAATTTGAAAGAATTGTAGCTGATACTTTTCCAGTTGAGGTTTTACCTAGGGGATCTCTATTCGCTTGTTTAGTTAGAATAACAAAAACTGATGGTTTGGTAGATATAAACTATACATAATGGAATGATATCATTCCTCAATTTGAGTATATAAAAGGAATGAGTTATTTTGATATGGTTGTTTAGACAAAAGAAACAGTTGCTCATGGATGGTTTTTGGAATAAGCAGTAAATACAAATTGTCCTATGTTTATCACTGGAGTTACAGGAACTGGTAAAACTATTATGGTTAATTCTACTGTTGAAAAATTAAGAGATGATGGTCTTATAGCTTTGATGTAGATTACATTCTCAGCTAAAACAGCTAGTTTTACAACATAATTAAGTATTGAATAAAAATTATAAACATAACGTAAAAAAGGAAGAACTATTTTGATGCCTCCTCCTGGAAAGAAGTTTGTAGTATTTGTTGATGATGTCAATATGCCTGCCTTAGAATAATATGGTGCATAACCACCAATTGAATTATTAAGATAATTTATAGATTATCGAGGTGTTTATGATAGAAAAAGTTTTAATTGGAAGGATGTTGATAATACTATTCTAATTTGTGCTTGTGGTCCACCAGGTGGAGGAAGATCTCCAATAACAGTTAGATTTACTCGCCATTTTGCTTTATTAAGTGTGCCCAATTCGAGTGATGAAACATTATCTTGGATTTTTAGCACTATTTTGAAGGCATTCTTAAAAAATAATCATTTCAAGAGTGAAATAGTGGATTTGAGTGAAAACTATTCAATTGTAAATGCAACTCTCTAAATGTACTCTGAAATCTAAAAAGCTTTATTACCTACTCCAGAGAAATCTCATTATGTCTTCAATCTTAGAGATGTTAGTAAGATCTTCTAAGGCATTTTATAAGCAAAACCTATGATTTATTAGAAATCTGAATAAATGGTTAGATTATGGGCACATGAAACATGTAGAGTTTTAATGGATAGATTAATTAATTCATAAGATTAAGATTGGTTTAAAGAGAACTTAGTTAAAAACATATTCTTATTTTTTAAGATTGAATATAAGGTCAATGAATTATTTGATTCATAACCACCTCTTATTTTTGCAGATTTTTAGAAAAGAGCTGAGTTATCTGATAGAATATATGAGGAAGTAAGAGATTATAATCAACTTATAAAAGTGATTAATGAATACATGATGGAATATACTAAGATGAATTTAGTGTTATTCAAAGATGCAATTGAACATTTGACTAGAATAAGTAGAGTGTTAAGATAATAAAGAGGACATTATATGTTAGTTGGAGTTGGAGGTTCTGGTAAGAAATCTTTGACACAACTAGGAGCTGTTTTGGCTGGATGCAAAATAGACACAATTGAGAGTAAGAAAAATTATGGTAAGAAAGAATTTAAGGAAGATTTATTTAGAATGATGTGTGCAGTAGGAATTGATAATAGATTGGTTGCATTTTCATTTTCAGATACATAAATATTATAAGAAGGTTTTCTTGAAGATGTTAACAATCTTCTTAATTCAGGTGAAGTACCTAATATGTTGACTAAAGATGATTTAGAAATTATTAATTAAGGATTATAAGCAGAAGCAAGAGAATTAAAAATTAATGATATATATCCATACTTTGTCTAAAAAATAAGATCAAATTTACATATAGTTTTAGGATTATCACCAATAGGTGGATAATTAAGAGTAAGATTGAGAATGTTTCCAAGTTTAGTTAATTGTTGTACAATAGAATGGTTACACAAATGGCCATAAGAAGCATTGATGAGTGTGGCAGAAATGTTTTTAGAAACTTTAGAATTTGATGGTCTAACTAAAGATATGAGATAAAATCTTTATTAAATGTGTGTTTATGTTCACTAAAGTGTTGAAAGAAAATGTGATGAATTTTATGCTGCTCTTAAAAGAAATGTTTATGTCACTCCAAAATCATATCTTGATTTAATAGAATCTTATAAGACATTATTGATGATGAAAAAAGAAGAATTATAATCAAATAAGTTGAAATTAGCTTCAGGATTACATAAATTACATGAAGCTAATAGTATCATTAGTGATTTAAAAGTTAAATTAACTGAAATGCAACCAATTTTAAAATAAAAGACTATTGATTAAGAATAATTACTCTAAAAATTATAAATTGATTCTTCTGAAGCAAATAGAGTAAAACAGTTAGTTTCAGAAGAAGAAAGATAAGTTAATGAATAGGCATCAAGAATTAAGGAAACTAAAGCTGAAGCTGATAAAATACTTAATGAAGCTATTCCTACTTTGAATGCTGCCACAGAAGCACTTAATACTCTTAATAGAAATGATATTTCTGAAATTAAAAGTAATAACAACCCATAACCAATTGTACGTTTTACTTTAGAATGTGTTGCTATTTTATTTGAAGAAAAATTGGATTGGGATTCTATTAAAAAACTATTGGCTGATCCTAATTTCTTAGCAAAAATGAAAGGATTAGACGTAGGTAAAATAAAATAAGTAACTTAAAATAAAATTAAGGCTAAAATAGCTAGTAATCCTGAATTCATACCAAATTTAGTTTAAAAAGTAAGTGTTGCTGCAAAGTCTATTTGTGAATGGGTTAGAGCTGTGAGTGAATTTACTGATGTAAATAATGATGTAGAGAAAAAGAAAAGTCAAGTAGAAGCTATGAATTAATAATTAGAGAAAGCTAATAAAATATTATTATAAAAACAATCTGAATTAGCTTAAGTAGTTAAAAAAGTAACAGAATTAGAAATACAATTCAATTAAAATAAATAAGAAAAAGATCGTCTTGATTAAGATATTTAAACAACAGAATAAAGATTAATAAGAGCTGAAGAACTTACAGTTGGATTAGCAGATGAGTAAGAAAGATGGAAAATTAAAGTTGAAAGTTTAACTGAAGAAATATAACTACTCTTGGGTAATGTATTCTTGGGAGGTTCAACAGTAGCTTATTTGGGTCCATTTACTGGAACCTTTAGAAATTAATTAATACAAAATTGGATGGAAAAAGCAACAGAATTAACTATTCNGTTTTAGGATTATCACCAATAGGTGGATAATTAAGAGTAAGATTAAGAATGTTTCCAAGTTTAGTTAATTGTTGTACAATAGAATGGTTACACAAATGGCCATAAGAAGCATTGATGAGTGTGGCAGAAATGTTTTTAGAAACTTTAGAATTTGATGGTCTAACTAAAGATATGAGATAAAATCTTTATTAAATGTGTGTTCATGTTCACTAAAGTGTTGAAAGAAAATGTGATGAATTTTATGCTGCTCTTAAAAGAAATGTTTATGTCACTCCAAAATCATATCTTGATTTAATAGAATCTTATAAGACATTATTGATGATGAAAAAAGAAGAATTATAATCAAATAAGTTGAAATTAGCTTCAGGATTACATAAATTACATGAAGCTAATAGTATCATTAGTGATTTAAAAGTTAAATTAACTGAAATGCAACCAATTTTAAAATAAAAGACTATTGATTAAGAATAATTACTCTAAAAATTATAAATTGATTCTTCTGAAGCAAATAGAGTAAAACAGTTAGTTTCAGAAGAAGAAAGATAAGTTAATGAATAGGCATCAAGAATTAAGGAAACTAAAGCTGAAGCTGATAAAATACTTAATGAAGCTATTCCTACTTTGAATGCTGCCACAGAAGCACTTAATACTCTTAATAGAAATGATATTTCTGAAATTAAAAGTAATAACAACCCATAACCAATTGTACGTTTTACTTTAGAATGTGTTGCTATTTTATTTGAAGAAAAATTGGATTGGGATTCTATTAAAAAACTATTGGCTGATCCTAATTTCTTAGCAAAAATGAAAGGATTAGACGTAGGTAAAATAAAATAAGTAACTTAAAATAAAATTAAAGCTAAAATAGCTAGTAATCCTGAATTCATACCAAATTTAGTTTAAAAAGTAAGTGTTGCTGCAAAGTCTATTTGTGAATGGGTTAGAGCTGTGAGTGAATTTACTGATGTAAATAATGATGTAGAGAAAAAGAAAAGTCAAGTAGAAGCTATGAATTAATAATTAGAGAAAGCTAATAAAATATTATTATAAAAACAATCTGAATTAGCTTAAGTAGTTAAAAAAGTAACAGAATTAGAAATACAATTCAATTAAAATAAATAAGAAAAAGATCGTCTTGATTAAGATATTTAAACAACAGAATAAAGATTAATAAGAGCTGAAGAACTTACAGTTGGATTAGCAGATGAGTAAGAAAGATGGAAAATTAAAGTTGAAAGTTTAACTGAAGAAATATAACTACTCTTGGGTAATGTATTCTTGGGAGGTTCAACAGTAGCTTATTTGGGTCCATTTACTGGAACCTTTAGAAATTAATTAATACAAAATTGGATGGAAAAAGCAACAGAATTAACTATTCCTTTGAGTGAGAAATATAATTTTGAATCAGTCTTAGGAGATGCTCTTGAAATTTAATAATGGGCAGCAAATGGATTACCTAATGATACAGTTTCAAAGTCAAATGGTATCATTCAAAAATACAGTAGATCTTATCCTATGTTTATTGATCCATAATTATAAGCTAATACTTGGATCAAGAATAGTTATAGAGAGCATAATTTGAAAGTTTTAAAGATTACATAAGAAGGACTTATTAAACATATAGAAAATGCAGTTTAAACAGGAATTCCTTTGCTTTTAGAAGATGTTTAAGAATAATTGGATAACTTTTTAGAACCATTATTATTGAAATAATTTAATATAATAAATAGAAGAAAAATGATAAAGATAGGGGATAGAGAAGTTGAATTTGATCCTAATTTTAAATTATTCTTTAGTACAAAATTGGCAAATCCTTAGTTTTTACCAGAGATATTTATTAGAGTAACAGTGATTAATTTTACTGTCACAGAATAAGGTTTAGAAGAATAATTACTTGGAGATGTTGTATAGATTGAAAAACCTGAGATGGAAGAAGAGAAAAAAGACTTGATTAAGAGAATTTCAACTGGTAACATGAATTTAAGAAAGAATGAAGAAAAGATTTTAAATTTATTAGCTAATTCTAAAGGAATGATTTTAGATAATGTTGATTTAATTGAAAATTTAAAGATATCAAAATAAGATGCAATATAAGTTAAAGAAAGTTTAGTAAATCAAGAATAGAAATCTGCNTCATACCAAATTTAGTTTAAAAAGTAAGTGTTGCTGCAAAGTCTATTTGTGAATGGGTTAGAGCTGTGAGTGAATTTACTGATGTAAATAATGATGTAGAGAAAAAGAAAAGTCAAGTAGAAGCTATGAATTAATAATTAGAGAAAGCTAATAAAATATTATTATAAAAACAATCTGAATTAGCTTAAGTAGTTAAAAAAGTAACAGAATTAGAAATACAATTCAATTAAAATAAATAAGAAAAAGATCGTCTTGATTAAGATATTTAAACAACAGAATAAAGATTAATAAGAGCTGAAGAACTTACAGTTGGATTAGCAGATGAGTAAGAAAGATGGAAAATTAAAGTTGAAAGTTTAACTGAAGAAATATAACTACTCTTGGGTAATGTATTCTTGGGAGGTTCAACAGTAGCTTATTTGGGTCCATTTACTGGAACCTTTAGAAATTAATTAATACAAAATTGGATGGAAAAAGCAACAGAATTAACTATTCCTTTGAGTGAGAAATATAATTTTGAATCAGTCTTAGGAGATGCTCTTGAAATTTAATAATGGGCAGCAAATGGATTACCTAATGATACAGTTTCAAAGTCAAATGGTATCATTCAAAAATACAGTAGATCTTATCCTATGTTTATTGATCCATAATTATAAGCTAATACTTGGATCAAGAATAGTTATAGAGAGCATAATTTGAAAGTTTTAAAGATTACATAAGAAGGACTTATTAAACATATAGAAAATGCAGTTTAAACAGGAATTCCTTTGCTTTTAGAAGATGTTTAAGAATAATTGGATAACTTTTTAGAACCATTATTATTGAAATAATTTAATATAATAAATAGAAGAAAAATGATAAAGATAGGGGATAGAGAAGTTGAATTTGATCCTAATTTTAAATTATTCTTTAGTACAAAATTGGCAAATCCTTAGTTTTTACCAGAGATATTTATTAGAGTAACAGTGATTAATTTTACTGTCACAGAATAAGGTTTAGAAGAATAATTACTTGGAGATGTTGTATAGATTGAAAAACCTGAGATGGAAGAAGAGAAAAAAGACTTGATTAAGAGAATTTCAACTGGTAACATGAATTTAAGAAAGAATGAAGAAAAGATTTTAAATTTATTAGCTAATTCTAAAGGAATGATTTTAGATAATGTTGATTTAATTGAAAATTTAAAGATATCAAAATAAGATGCAATATAAGTTAAAGAAAGTTTAGTAAATCAAGAATAGAAATCTGCAGAAATTGAAACTGCTAGATAATAATATTTACCAGTTGCTACAAGAGGAAGCTTGCTTTATTTTGTCATTGCAGATTTCACATTGGTAGATCCAATGTATTAGTTTTCATTAAATTATTTCAAAAGACTATATTAAAATGTGATTAGAAATTCAGAAAAGAATGATGATATAAAAATAAGAATCTCTACATTAATAGATGGTATAACTGAAACAATTTACTTAAATGTTTGTAGAGGTCTATTTAATTAACATAAGAGAATCTTTTCATTCCTAATGACTGTTAAAATATAACTAAATGCAAAATAAATCTCTTTTGGAGAATGGAATCTATTTATAAGGGGAGCAAGTTTATCAATTTAACCACCTGCTATGCCTAATACTGTTAAATTAACTCCTAAGATCTGGAATGAATTGTATCAATTAACAACAGTCCATTAAAATTTTATACAAATTTACAACTAAACATTAACTAATTTCAAAGAGACTGAATAATTAATACAATCTGATAATCCTTGGATTTTATTAAATGAGTAATTGACTCCTTTCTAAAAATTAATGATTGTAAAAGTTTTAAGAGAAGAAGAATCTTTATATGCAATGACATATTATGTGGATGCAATCTTAGGAAAGAAATATACTTCCAATAATTAAGCATCAATTGAAGAAATTTTTAATGATACTGATCATAAAACTCCATTTATATTTATATTGAGTTAAGGTGCAGATCCATTATCTAGTTTAATAAGATTAGCTAATCAAAAGAAAATATCATCTGAAAAGCTTAGAATTATTTCACTTGGTTAAGGACAAGGAATTATTGCTGAAAAAGCAATTGAAAGTGGAGTAAAGAGTGGTGATTGGGTAATTCTATAAAATTGTCATCTTGGTAAATCATTTATGCCAACTCTTGAGAAAAAATTAGAATGGTTTGAGGATCCTGAATTATAATCATAATTTAACACTGGTTTTAGATTAATGTTGACAAGTATGCCTTGTGATTACTTCCCTGTTAGTGTTCTATAAAACAGTATTAAATTAACTACAGAACCTCCTAAAGGATTGAAATCTAATATGTTTAAGAGTTATACTGATTTATCATCAGAATAAGTTGAAAATTGTGAAAAAAAGGAACCCTGGAAAAAATTACTCTATTCTCTTGCGTTTTTCCATGCTGTAGTATAAGAACGTCGTAAATTCGGACCTTTAGGTTGGAACATTAGATATGAGTAAGATTTTATCTAAAATTAGATTTAATGATTCTGATCTTGAAACATCATATACATTACTTAGGAATTTTCTTGATTAACCTTAAGATATACCCTGGGATGCAATAGTGTATGTTGTAGGAGAAATCACATATGGTGGAAGAGTTACAGATGATTGGGATAGAAGATGTTTACTCACAATTTTAGCCAAGTTTATAAAGTAAAATAATTATTAAATAAATTTAGTGAAGATGCATTGAATGATGGATACTCTTTTTCAGATTCAGGTGTATATAAATAACCTGCAGAAATGAATATTGATGGATATAGAAATTTGATCAATAAATTTCCTGATTTTGAAAAACCTGAAGTTTTTGGAATGAATGAAAATGCCAATATTACTTTTAAATTAACTGAATCAAAAATGGCTTTGTCTACTATTTTAAGTATTCAACCAAGAGAAAGTGCTTAAGCAAGTGACTCAGATTAAAAAGCAAAAACACCAGATGAAAATGTTTTAGAACTCTGTGATATTCTTGCCTAGAAACTTCCTTTTTAAATTAAAGAATAAGAAAAAAAGAAAAAATAAGCTGCTCCTTAACATACTTCATCTGAAATTGATTCTTTAAAGGTTTGTTTAAATTAAGAAGTTCAAAGATTTAATAAATTATTATCAGTTATTGGAAATTCAATAAAAAATTTATAAGCAGCTATTAAAGGAGAAGTAGTTATGTCAGCTGAACTTGATAAAATGTACAGCTCCTTACTCAATAATTAAGTCCCTTAAATTTGGGCTAACAAAGCTTATCCTTCTTTGAAGCCTTTGGCCTCATTTTATGATGATATGATAAAAAGAGTCAATTTCTTCAGAGATTGGTTTAACTTAGAATTTGGTTATCCAAAGGGTTATTGGATCTCTGCATTCTTTTTCCCTTAAGGTTTTCTAACTTCAGTTCTCTAAACATTTGCAAGAAAAAATTAAATTGCTATCGATATTCTTGGATTCAGTTTCAAATTCTTTAATTATGTAGATAGTGAAATGGTAATAAAGTATAAACTATTTAGATTACATCAACTCCTGATAATGGAGCTTACATTTATGGTTTATACATAGAGGGATGTAGATTTGATATAAACAAAGGAATACTAGAAGATCAATTACCTGGCTAAACTATTTATTAGGCTCCTATAATACATTTTATACCTACTTCAGACTACAAACCTAATCCAAATGAATATTCAATGCCTCTTTATAAAACAAGTATCTATTCAAATAAAATTTTAAGGTCTTAGAGCAGGAGTATTATCAACAACAGGACATTCAACTAATTTCATCAGAGCTATTGAATGCCCTACCAAGAAGAATCCTGATTATTGGATTCTTAATGGAGCTGCCTTTACAACCCAACTAAATGATTGAAATATAATTTATAATAAAATTCAAATTTTATCATATTTATGAGGAAGGCATTTATGCCCTTTTTATATTCTTATATTGATATAATGACCTTTGTTTAACTTATTATTATATTTTCATTAATTAGGAGTGGTAGTTTTCCTTTTCAATTTATTTATTCAATTTAAAATTTAAATTAGAAATATATTATAAAATAATTTAGAGTGAAATTTGGCAAATTTTGACAACATTTTAGGAAAACAAGAGTCACAATTTATCTCTATTATTTATTTAACAAATGAATAAAATATTAACGATAAGCTTAATATTATCAATAGCCTTGTCATAAATGACCTTTGAAATGTAAAACATAGGAGTCGATTTGGATCAATACAATATTTTAATTGAAAATTTGCCTATTACAGGATTTTGTTTCTTGAATATAAATTTGACTGAGCAAGATGAAGATTTCCCAATTGACGAAGCAGATGGATTTTAATTAAATTTCATATAGGGCTATTAAGGACTCTAAACAAATTATTTGATGCCTGGATTGTATTCTTATGAATATAGTTCTTGCCCAAACAAAATAGAAATTGAAATTGGTCCTATAAAGACCTTTCATTTGAAAGCTAATATTCTTGTAAAAGTTTAGTTTGAGAGTACTACTGAATAAAATACATATACATAATTAGTTTCTTATATCTAATATTCCAATACAAGTAGTATCTCATAAATAAATTAGATTTAAATTTGATTACTGATTCTTAGATTACAAGTTAAGTATGCAATTTAAAAATTACTTATCAGCCAATGTTTTACTTAGATGAAGATGATTAAATTATTTTTACTTTTCCTTATAGAGATGAATATGCCATTGTTCCGAATTCAGGATACTTTAAGTATTAAACACCTGACTGTAAAGTTGAGTATGATGGAATTGTAAATGATTCGATTATGTGTTATTTCCTTTAGAATTAGCTTAAAATAACCAAAATTAGTTCTTAATCTCTTTTAACAATAATAGTTTAAGGCTTTATAAATTCATAAAACTTAAAAGAGATAACAAATATTTAGTTTGAGTTAAAAAGATTTATAACATCAAAATATTACTTGCTTGAAAGCTCTGTTTTAAACTATTAAATTACTTAAATAAACTAAGAAATTAATTTAATACAATTTTAAAGTGATGATCACATTAATTCTTAAAATAAACTTTAAATCTAAGTAAAATATTAGGATTTTTTATATATTGATTCAATTATGATAATTACATTTCCAAATGATTTCTTCAACAATTAACCAACTATAACATTAAGCGAGAATATGAATTAAAATTTTATCTCAAATTTTGTTGATTAAACTATGACTTTATCAAATTTCATTAAGAATGAAGGGAAGTAATCTATTATAATACTATCTATGTAAATTTAGAATCCTCTTATTTAAAAATTATACAGTGGTTTAAAAGTTAAGTTAATGTGGTAAAATTAAGGTATTGCTGAATCTATACCTTAAAATATTTTATTAAGACCATTATCCTTCAAATTATTTAATATGGATAATTATAATAAAAATCTAATAGAATAAACAAAATATTGTTTCACAATTGAGTTTTATAAGAACTTTTATCAAAATTCTTATGTAGAGATTCAATTTATTTCTAAAATATCTTTTGATTCTATTTTGAGTATTACAGATTCATAAAATATTAATTCTAATGCATAAATAGAAATGGAGGTTTAAAAAGTTAAAATAAAAAATATGTTTATAAATTCTGAATTTGATAAAGAAGTCTACTTTTGTTTAAATGGAATTTATAATCCATCTCATATAGATATGGAAAATGAGAGTTATACTTTCAAAATAATGTTTGACAATTATCCATAGGTTGTTAATGATCACAAATTATATATAAATCTATAGCATGGTTATTTGGAATTATAATCTTTGACATAATCTTAAGAATTAACAAATCAAAAAGAAAACTCTATAAATTTAAGCTTTAAAACTTAAACTGGATTATTGGAAAATGATTTAATTTTCTTTTATTTTGATGTTAATAATTATTTTTTGGATAACCTTTTAAGTGATAACAATGAAATAAAATGTGAAATTAATCAATAATAAACTTTCTGTTCCCTTTTTGAAAATTCAATTAAGATATAAACTTGTACTATTCATGATGCAAAATCTTAAATCAATATAAAAATAAATAATTTTATCTCTAATAGATCTCTTAATCCAATTAATAATATCAACATCAAAACTTTTCATTAAATTTATCCAATTGATATTCTACCTTATGTTCCAAATTTAAGTATATCAAAACCAAATTAATTATCTTATTTTTTTGTTGAAGAAACTAAAAATGCAGAAAAAACATAAAATTCATTTTAAATATATATGCAATTTAAAATCCTTCTTAAAGATACAGACTCTATTATAATTTCTCTTCCTTCAAAAATCAATTGTGTTAATTGCATTTGTTAATTTCATGATTGTTAAATTAGTAATTAAAAAATTACTCTAACAAACTTGTACGATATTAATTAAATTGACTAAATTTAGATTTTTTATATTTAATACTCAGATACATAGACATAACAATCTTAAACATAAATTCAAGTTAAAGATTAATTAGGATATTTAATATTTGAAGATTAATCTCAGATTATTACCTAAATTAATTAGTTTAAAGATTTTAAAATAAGTCCTGTAAATGATTTTATTGGAATTCATTCTACTTATAATTTGCAATTTATATCAAGCATTAATTTTAATAAAAATGATAATGTTATTTTAGAATTTGACCCAGATTTTAACATAAATTCAATTCAATGTCTTGAAAATGCTTAATGTCATTAAAATTAGAATTAAATTAATATAAATTTCTCTTACTAAATTTAGAAAAACCACAATAATAGTTTAATGATATAATCTATCATTAATCCAAACTCAATAAATTCAATCTATTATTATACTCTATCTTAATATAGTGAAAACAATCAATTAATTTAACAAAGTTTTATAAAATCAAATTATTTTAAATGTTAATTTGAAAATTGCATAGTTTGTTATTCTGATTATTGTTAATAGTGTTAATAAGGTTATTTAAAGATATCTGGGAAATGCTTATATGATTGTCCATAAGGATATATAATTATTAATGAAAGTTGTAAAAAATGTGAAACAACAAATTATTGCTTAACTTGTTCATCAAATAACCTTGAATAATGTTTATAGTGCTTAGATGGTTATTTTCTAGAAAACAATTTGTGTATTAAAAAAGAAATAATATAAATAAATAATACAAATACAACATCTCCTAATTAAAATAATAGTTCATAAAATTCTAATTCTTAGAATAATTCTAATGTTTATACTAAAAATAAATTAGTAGATAACAATAATAAAAATTAATATTATTTGGGTATACTTAATTATCTAGAAGCAGGATGCTTTTGCACATTAATTCTATATAAATTAACAAATAATAATTTTTAGATGTTTTTGACATCATCCATAATCTTGGGATTTTCAATTCCTATTTTTAGAGTATTTTCATTAGTTTTTTTTACTATAGAAGAATAATACATATTTTCATCATTTACATTAATTTTACTTTTGTTAAGCTAACTATAAAGTTTTCATTTTCAAGCTTAGGTTGAGATTCCTTTATTAACAGATGTCCAATATAAACACAATGTTTAAAAATAAAATTACTTTTATCTTAATGATTTATTGTTTAAATTCTTAGATTTTAGAATAATTTGTATACTTAAAAGTAAATTAGCAAAATCAAATTTATTTAATTTTTCATTTAAATATAATGAAGAAATTAACATTGCTCTTATTATGAATTACAAGCGTTTAATCATATTATAAAATCCTTTATAAATTACATTGCTTTTAACGGCCATTATTATAAATAACACTAATAAGTAAAATTTATTTTTAATTATTTAGCTATTAATTTGAATTTTTGATATATTCTTCAATTGAATGGCTAGCCAACACTATTATATTTTATTAATTAAAGAAAAATAAATTCTGAAGTTTAATTGATTAAAATTGAGTACTTATGTAATTTATTATATTGAATTAATGACTATTCTTATCAATTTTAATGTTTGATTGATAAATTTCCTCCTCATTATTATTATTAAAATTATTGATTAGGTTTTAGTAATAAAGTTAAATAAGTTAGTTTAAGTCATATTCTTAAATGGAATTGAGTACCATTACACAATTTAAGTTAATAAAACTTTTTTTAAACAGATAAGCAAATAGAAAATGTTTAAAGTTTTTAGAATAATTATATATTGATATAAATATAGGAAGATTTTAAATATTATTTTATTATGATTTACGATCAACCAGAACATTTTGGTCTATTCGAAAAAACAGTCACTGCTAAAGAGAAAGAAGAAGTCAAATAATTTTTGAAATACGATAGACATGTTCCTTTAAAATTGACTGAGTAAGTTTTTCATGCAGAAGCGTATTTATTTTATTCTCTACAATTAGAGATGCATCAAGATTTGAAAGATTAGGATAAGTTGGAGGTGCAGTGTATTCATTCTCATTCTTTTTCTTTCCTATTATAAAAGGTTTACCAATCAAATAGAGATTGTTTTGGGCTGCTGTTCCTGGAGGTATTGTTGCATGGTTAGGATGGAGAATTAAAGAAGAATTAGAATGGAATAGAGTTTATAATTGCTATTAGAAATATTAAGTAGCTCATTCTATGCATAAGAAAGTGTTTATCTGAGAAATATAGCTGGCACAAAATATAAATATATATAACATATCTAATTCAATAATTAATTTATCATGTTTTTTGAGTTAGACGACATCAGAAGAAGACATTCCTTGTATTTTGATTGTTATAATGCTGGTGTATGGACAGATGCTCCAGAAAAGTAAATGGTAGTTTGAATAAATTAGTTCATTGAGATGGAATTATACTAGAGGAGCAATATCAGGATTATTAGGTAGTGTTATTGGTGAAACATGGCATAATTTTTATGAGAATTGGAAATTATTGTATAAAATCTATATAAGTTTAAGGTTACGAAAGTATGAATAACCAAATACTGTCAAAGAATTGTATAATTTTAGCAAAGCAACAGTCAATCTTGAAAATTTCAGAAGATCAATGGGTACTAGAATGTAATTTGCTTTTGCTTCTGGTGGCATTGATTGGGCATTGAGATTAGCAGCATTTAGAGCAGTCAATCATGGATGGCAAAGTAATTTATTAATATAATAAATAAAGGAACATGGGGTACATTTGAATATGGATTCTTGAGAAAAATCCCAGGTACTATGTTTATTTCTCTTCTTACTGCTCCAATTGGAATTCCATTTGAAGTTGCTAGAATGGCTTATTATGCTGATAAAACTTTCCCTAAAGAATTACAAAAAGGATATACTTCATTTTTCAATGCTTTATGGAGAATTCCATTTGAAGAGGGACCATATTATTTTTATAAAAATTCATTCCCTCTTTTTGCTAGAAACTTTTTTTAAACATTAACTCTATTGTACTCTTTTGATTGGATGAAGGATAAGGTAAAGATAAATATATTTAGAATAATAGTTATCTGTTCTTACAAGAGTTGCTGAAATTCCATACTTCCCAGTAAAAGTCTTAAATTGTTTCTTATCTACATATTTGGCAATTTTGACAAGTTACTCTTTATCTTAAGTGACAAGAGAAATGGTAGAATTATGGCCAAAACCAAATGGTGTTTGTCCTTATGATGGCAATTATAGAAAAGCTGCTACTCATATTTGGTAATGAGATGATATATTCTAATAACAGGTATGCCAGAAATCTCAATAATTATTTCCCAGGAATGTTGAGAAATTATGCTAGCAGATAATTCTTACCAATGTTTGTGACTCTTTGGTGGGCTGACTCTTTTGGATTGTTTACTTATTGGAAAATAGATATGTTTAGTGGAGCAGGATCAAATACATGGGAAGATTCATTTTGTTGAAGTTTATAAATAAATATTAAATTCAAAATACAATAATATAATTTATTAATATATACCGTTTTTAAAATAGTGTTTCTTAATAAATTAAATTAATGAAAACCATATTGCTTCTAGTATTAGTTGCTTGTGTTTTTACCACAAATACAGCTTTGTTTGATAGAATAGAAAGCAGCGATTTGGGTAGAACCCTTTTAAATACAATTGCTATTTAAATGACAACTGGTGAACCATTGGAAAGAATTTTCTAAACACTTTATGACTTAGAAGATAGATACATTGCTGACTAAAAGGAAGATGATGCTAATAACCAAGCCTTCTAATAAGTATGTGATGCAGATTTGTCTGGATTGAACTAAGAACTTGCCAATCTTGAATAAAGAAATACAGAATTATAAGCTGTTCTTGATGATCTCATTCCAATTAGAGACTAAAAGATCGGATAAAAAAAGGCCAAGGAACTCTAAAAGGCTGAATTATAAAAAGTCATTGATGAAACAACAGCCAAGAGATAAGAATAAGCTGATGACTTTGAAGCTTAAAGATAAGAATACACATTTGTTTCATCTGTTTTGGCTGAAGCAAGAAGATTATTCACAGACAACCTCTAAGCCCCATCTTTCTTATAAAAAGGTGAAGAAAGAGTTCACGTTACTCCATAAATTATGGCTTAAGTTGCTAGTCACATGAGTTAAGGTGCCCACAAAGCCAGCACAATGAAACACGTCAGAACCTTTGGAAAAGCCATCAAATTATTAGCTAATTTAGCCAACAGAACTCAATAATTTGCTAACTAAGAATTAACAGGAAGAGTTATTAAATTGATTGATGATCTCTAAAACTAATTAAGTTAAGCATTTGATTTAGCCAGAAAAGCTGAAGATGATAGAACTAGAGCATTCTAAGCATATATGAGTTTACTCAATAAAGATATGAACAAATACAATTCATCAATTGCTAATTTAACAGCTGAAATCTAATCACTTTAAGACAGAATTGATGCTACTACATCAAGCTAAAATGATGTTCTTTAAAGAATCTAAGCCAAGACTTAATAAAGAGATGATAGAAGAGGAGAATGCTAAGAAGCTGCTTATGATTATTAATAAAGAAGAGCTGCAAGAGATAAAGATAGATAAACTGTCAGTGATTTGATTGGTATCTTGAACAGTAACATGAGAGATCTTAAAGAATACATTGCTTTAAGAGTAGCTGCTGGTGATAAGGATCTTGAATGAAATTGATATATAATTATCATTAAAAGAAACTTATTAAAGTCCTAAAAAATATATATACTTTTTATAAAAATAAGATAACTTCTTCTTTTAAGCTGCATTTATCAATAATTTATTTAATTTTACAACAACATTTGTAATTTTTATAAAAATTTTATATTTCTTATTGTAGAATAGATAAAATCAATGTTAAATACATATTAAACATTTTAAATTAATTTTAGTATATAATTTTAACAATTAATTTAATAATAAAAATAATAAAAGAAACAATAATATCAACAGCATGAATTTAATGCTTCATTTTTCTTATCAGAACCTCCAATTTTGATTGCTGGTTTATCTTCTTTTTACTTCTGTTATTTTAATTTTTCTTTTTCATTAACTAAATCGCCTATTTGATTGAATAATTCCTAAAATAGATGAAAATAATACAAAAACCCCTATATTCTATTTACAACTAGTTTCAAATACTTAAATTTTTGGATCAAATGAATTAGCATATTGTCTTACTTCCTCTATAGATACTTATGATTCTAAATCAATTTTGTTTGCTATAATGAATTTGGCTATTATAAAATATCTAATAATGAATACTAATATCTGCCATTCCTTCTTCAAATAATTTGTCCAACCAAAATTTAAGTACTTCAAAAGATTTAGGTTTTGTTACATCATATACAATAATAGCAAAACTTGCATCTTATTTATAGCAATTATTAAATACCCATATAATAAAGTTTGGCAATGCTTCTATAAACTTCTTGACCAGCAGTATCCCAAATTTATAATTCTATTAATCTACCATCTCTTATAATTTATTTAGGAGAAAATTCAGCACCTACAGTTTAGGTTCTAGTATCAGTAAAATCATTTTTAGTAAATCTTTATATCAAACTGCTTTTGCCTACAGAGTAATCACCTAAAGTGACAATCTTACAAAAAATGGGTTTTTGCATAATAATATATATTGTTATTTATATTTTATGTAATACTATCATTTTCAGAACTTGTCCAATGAAGATAAATCCTAAGGTAATTACAATAATTTATCTGGATACTATTTAAGGATCTATTATAAAACCTAATAAAATAATAAATATAACAAATTACTTCATCATCTGTTTGTTTTTTATTATCTTATGCCTCTTCGTCTAATCTAACAAAAGAGATTGCAACTCCATTAGTCTCTTATCTTCCAGCTCTTCCTACCTAATAATTTATCTAAAAAGATTACTCTATGTAAATAGGTTTCCAAAGAGTCAGGCATATCAAAATTGATAACATAATTAACCTTATCAATATCAATACCTCTTCCCATTAAATTGGTTGCTACCAACAATCGGAAATGTCCATTTCTAAATTATTCATATGTTTTCTATCTCATTTTTTAATGATCTGGTCCTAATCTATTGCCACCATAGAGTTATCTGACTGAATCTTCTCCTTTCTTTTTTAGTTCTGCAACTAATGCATCAGCCTTTTCTGAACTCTTAACAAAAATGATGCATTAATTTAATTTGCATGTATTTAATATTTATCTTAAATAATGGAATTTAAGAGTTTCAGGTACTTTCATGTAATATTATTTCAATTTATCCAAATAGAGTTATTCTGGTTTGATTGTAATTTCATAAATCTTTTAATGCCATAATAATTTACATGTTTATTATCAGCTATAAATTTTTTGAGTGATGTTCTACTTGAATCAGTAAATGTTGCACTAAATGCCATAAATTATTTGTCTTGTGGTGTACGTAAGAAGATATCTTATATGTCCTTTCTAAAAATATTATTTCCAAAAATCAGCACCTCATGTTCAAATCTTCAATCATAGTATCGGCTTCATCCAATATAAAGTACTTTAATCTATCTACTTTCAAAGCTTTCCTCTCACAAATCAAATCCTTAAGACGTCCTGGTGTACTACAAATTAAATTACAAGTTTACCCAACTACTATTTAAGGTTTGACTGTTTCAATTGTTGAAATATTTACAGTCACTGGTTCTCCTCCTCCATAAAAACATTCTACTTTAATACTTTTCATAAACTTTCCCAATCTTAAAAATTCATCACGAGCCTTTAATATTTAAACATGACTTACTTATTGGGCTAACTCTCTTGTGTGAGTAATTACAAGACATTCAACTTTGTTACTTTCAGTGTTGATGGTATTTAGTACAGTCAAAACAAATACAGCTGTCTTTCCTGTTCCTGCTTTTGCTTGGCATATCAATTGTTCTCCTTATAATGCATTTGTCAACGATTCTGCTTGGACTAAAGATATATAAAATTATCATAATTACCTCTAGTGGGATGCTCGAACCCGGCTTCTTTTACGGCTCGTAAGAGTTCCTCTTTAAGTCCAAAGTTTTTGAATTATGAGACATTATAATTGTCATATTTTCTACGATTCTCAATATTTGCTCTTACTATATGTCCTATTTTGTTGGTTGTTATGGATCATCATAAAATTCAGGAATATCTTCTAATCCGCTCATTTGTTAAAATAAAATAAATATTTTAATATCCTAATTTAAATCAAAACACTTTTTATATTTATTCATTTATTCTGCTCTTTTAACACTTCTAATAATTCTTCATATCTTAATTAATCCATTATAATATTAAAACTAATTATATGATCTAATTTAATATTTAGTATATATTTTCAATAAATTTTGTATCAGTCACTAATAAATATATAAATTTTTAGTATTCCTCTATCAGTAATATATATAAATATAGTTGATATTAAATGTAAAAATAATAAATATAAACTAATAAAGTTCATTAAAATAATGTATATAAATAATATAATGTAAACAATTATTTCAGATCGAATCTCTATAATAAAATAGAATAAAAAAAGTATTAGAAATTTGTTTAACAACAACTTTATTAAAATGATTCCTTATTAAAATTAATTACATCATGATTTATTGATTCCCAATTTCATTTCTATAGCTTACTTGAATAGTGCATTTATAATAGATTTTAAATATTTTAAATATTTTAAATAAAAAGAAAGAAAAAGAGTAGAATTTTTATATATTTTTTTTAATATTAATTTATAAATTTATTTTATCTATTGAAGTTTATAAATTTATATTTTTTTTAATTTTTGTCACTATTTTCAGAAGATAGAATTATAATTAAATAATTACAACAATTTTAAATACATATATTATGAAATTTATTGATATGATTATAAACTCAAATAATAAGCATAAGTAATGCTAATCCCAAGGTAATAAATTATGAATAACTTGATGAACCTTCACAAACTTCACATGCACTTGTATCAGTATTCCAATAATATGATCCTCTTGTAAGTACTGCACAATTTGTTTATGTTAATCCAGTAGCATCAGCACATGTACTTGTTGCTGGTGTCCAATTACATATTTACCATGTTGTAACAACATCAGATCTAATTGCTAAACAATCTGTTGCTGTAGTCTATTATGCACATGTTGGTGCTACACAAGCAGCTGAACTATTCCAAAAACAATGATGATTTGTGCATTCAGTTTCTGTTGTCAATTCTGAACACTTCAATATTGAAGTAATAGCTTTGCATGGATATAAACCATCAGTTCCTTTTGTATCTGCTAAGCATCCAATAGTTAAACAAGTTGCTTCATCTGTGTATTTATAATCAGAACAAGATGTAAAAGTGGCACATTCATTAGATGGAGTAAATGCACAAATTGAATTGGCAACATTACATTACAATATGGTAGTTTTAGTAGAGCAATCAATATCAACACATTCAGAATTAGACCATTCACAACTGGAAGCTGAATTACAATCTAATTGTGTTGTGAAAGTATCACAAGAACAATCACTTCCAGATATATCTACACTAAATCCATTTAAAGTGACTAAAATCATTCCAAGAATAAGGATAGTTGAGTGAGTCATTTTATTATTATAATTTTTGAATATTTATTTAAACCCGGATTTGAATGGCTACAGGTAAATCACATTATATATTTTTAAACAAATATTTAAAAATTAAAATTAAACGCATTTTTGACTATTTAACTCTTGTAGAATATTAAAAATTGATTTTTTTTATTTCATATACTCTTTTATACACTCAGAAAAGTGAAATTATGAATAGACAACACCTTAAAAATAATATGTTCTCATATAATCTCATAATTATATGTATATATAATATATTTTCATTAACTTTTTACTTGAACAAATTGATCAAAACTAACTTTCTTCACATATTTTTGTATTAGAACATGTTCAAATATATAACAAAAAAAGAAGAAGAAGAATATGGTTGAAACATTATCAATTCTAAAAAGCAATTAACTAAACTATTATGATCTATTCATTAAGGATACAAAAATGGAATGTAAAATAGAGGGTTAAATAGATAAAGTAGTTTCTATCAATTCCAGCATTAATAGTAAATGTTGATGAAAATCCAATATTTCTAATAGAACATCATCTTTATATTAGTTTTTGAATGTAGTTCATCTTTATATTGTTTAATAGCAATAATGAAACTATTTAACATTAGACAGTTGAAGTTAAACTGAAAAATTGGAGGAAACAATGAATTTTTGGAAAATTCTGTTGTTCTAATTATAATTAATAATACGTATAATATATAAAAATACTTATTAATTGAATGCTAAATTATTTATAATATGATATCATAATATTTTGGTTTAATTTATGTCTTAGAAAGGTATTTGTGTCTTGTATTAAGTTAATCTCTTATTTTATTTTAATTACATTAATGTCATAATACTATTATATTATTAGAATAGACTTTATACAAGGTTTAGCAAATTATTTATTAATATAATTTGAGTAGGATAATTAGATATATAATGAATAGATGATCAATTTTATTTATTATTGCAATGCAGATTGATAAATATATTAATAAATCTAAATATAAAAATTTAAATACATCTTTTAGAAAAAATAAATATAAATAATGAATAATAAGGCAGCAAGCTCGAAATAAACTCCAGCTGTGCGTCAACAACCTTAAGCTGCAGCAACTGCTTCTTAAAATAGAGTATAAAATTTGTTAAATAATAGACTCCTTAACCTATCATTCAAAATATGGCTAGAGTTACCGATCCCAAGCATGTACCTAAAGAAATTAGAGATCAGTTTTTAAAGAAAATACATTTTTGCTCTTAACCATATGATTTTAATGATGATACTAAAAATGTTAAGGAAAAATAAGAACGATCTTAATATTTACAAGAATTATTTGATTTATTAAAAGAGCCCAATTTTGTAGTGAATTTAGTTGTTCCTCATTTAGATCTAATTATAGAAATGATTGAAAAGAATATATTCAGACCATTACCTATTTTAAAAAAGACAGCAACAAATGGTGAAATAGGAATGGAAGATGATGATGTAAATTAATAATTAAACAAAATTAGTAATTAATTGATCCAGCCTGGACTCATTTACAACCAGTTTATGAATATTTCTTATAACTAATTGTTAATGAATAACCAGATGTCAAATCACTCAAAGTATTTCTTTTATAAATATTTAAAGATTTTTATCACTCATTCATTTATATAAGAATTCTTAGAGTTATTTGATTCTGAAGAACCTCGTGAAAGGGAATATTTAAAGAACATATTACATAGATTATATGCTAAATTGGTTCCAAGAAGAAAGATGATAAGAAAAGCAATTAACGATTGTTTTTATACATTAATTCATGAAACATATAAATTTAATGGAGCAGCTGAATTATTAGATATATTAGCAAGTATTATTAGTGGATTTGCAGTTCCTTTGAGAGAAGAACATGTTATCTTTTTCAAAACTGTTATCATACCTTTACATAAAGTTTAAACTTGTTAATTTTATCATGAACAATTATTAAGATGTTCTATGCTATTCTTATCAAAAGATCCAACCTTAGCAACATTTTTAGTTGAAGGATTATTAAGATATTGGCCATTTGCTAATTCAGCCAAAGAAGTCATGTTTCTTAATGAACTATTAGAAGTATTGGAAGTTTGTGAAATTTCTAAATTAGAACCATTAATTCCAAAATTATTTAAAAGATTAATTAAGTGCATTGCAGGACCACATCTACAAGTGGCTGATAGAGCAATGTGTTTCTTTGAGAATGATTACTTCTTAACAATTCTCAAAAGCTATAAACCATTTACTTTCCCTTTATTAGTTCCAGTAATAGCATAAATAGCAGATACACATTGGCATAAGGTTTTATAAGAATCTTTAAATGCATTGAAAACAATTCTCAAAGAAATAGATTATCAAGCATTTGATAAAGCCTTAAATAATAAGGATCCTAAATATTTATATATCATTTAAGATGCCAAAAATCAAAAAAAAGACAGATAAAAAATAGAAGAGAAAGTATGATTAATTCATTAAATTAATTAGTGGAAAAATCTTACCAAATAGGCTATTCAAAAGAATCCAAATTTCAAGGAACCAATTGTTCCTTATTCAGACCTTCATATTGTCGGAGAACACAATGGTCTTAATAATGGAAATATTACCATTTTATGATCAGAATTATATTAAAATATAAAATAAATTCATATATATATATATAGATTCTAAAATTAAGTAGTTTTCTTTTGGAATTACTAATATACTAATAATATTCTTATAACCATCAGTGTTTTATTAATTATTCAATAAAGAAATAACTAATGTCTCATTAATGTATTCTATTAATCATAATTAAAACGAATATATACTTTAGAAATACAGCATACTTATTTTATTTAATTTGTTAATTTAAATATCTCAATGGAAAAAAATAAAATTGAGGAGCTTTGGAAAACATATATTTGTCCTGAACGAAAACTAAAAAGATCTAAATAACCAAAGGAAAAGAAACGATACATTAAAAAGGCTTATCCATTAGAATTTGGACCAGATGGAAAAACTTTATTGTAAAGAGGGCCATGGACACAGCAAGAAAGAGAAATTTATTTATAAATTTGTTAAAAACATGAGAAAGAATGTTAAACAAACCAAACAAAAGAACTATTTTAAGAAATTCTACAATTAATACCAACTAGAAATCTTACATAACTAAAAGGTTATCATAATAATCATAATCCTTTTCAAACCATAGTAATAAAAGAAACTAAAAGAATTAGAAGAACTAAATTGGAAATGAGCTAAGAGAAACTGAAAGAATTTGCTTTAAAAAATAAAAGGAAAAGATAAATAAAATAATTAGAGAAACTTTCCAGCCTTAATAATTAAATTCTCACATTAGAAACATAAATTATACAATTTAATTTAGAAGATGGAAAATAAATTGAAATAAAGGTCTTTATAAATACTGATTTATTATTAAATTTAAATAATATAGAAGATTAGAAATAAGATAAGGATGAAATAAAAACTGAAAACTTGGATAACGTAATAGAAGAATTAAAAGAATAAAATAATTTACCAAAGATTTAAAAAGATAAAATTGTTGTAAGAATACGTAATCCACTTGAAGTAAAGGTTGAAAATGTAGAACTGGAATCTTCCATCATTAATGAGGCTAAGTAAATTGCTTTTAAGGAATTAATTAGTTTAATTGAATTAGAAAACAAATTCAATAAAAAATAATTAAATGAAAAGATGCACTGGTATCCAATTGAGAAACCTCAAAGAATTTTAATTAATTTTAAATAAAAAAAAGATGATATGCTTTAAATTGAATAATAATAAAATAATGATAAAGATGAATAATAAAAAAAAGATAAATAAATATAATAAATTATTGAACCAATTAAAACTTAAAATTTATAATAAACCATATTTTCACCAGAAAAATAATAATAAACATCAATCCAATCTAATTTAATTAATAATCTTGATAATTAAAAAATAATTATTTTAGATTCTTAAGAATAATAAGCAAATTAAAATACAAATAGCATTCTAATTGTGGATAATAAAAATATTCAAATTGAATCTTTAATATAATAATAGTAATAGATTAATAAATCAAATTTCTTAATTTAATCACAAAATAAAACTAAGTGTGGACAAGACAGTTAATTAATTGATTTAACTAAAAAAGTATAATAAGATTAAGATAAGACTAATAAAGAAGATTTGAATTAGTAATTTTAGCAAAATTAAGAAATAGATGTTGAAATATAAAATGAAAATAAAAAAACTAGATAAAAGCTATAATAATTAAAACAAATATAAAAATAGATTAAAAGAGAAAAAAAGATTTAAAAAAAAAAATTAAAATAATAAGAATTAAATAAATAATTAGAAATCGAATTAGAAAAAGAAATATAAATAGAATTAGAAAAGGAAAGACTTAAATAAATAGAGAGAGACAAACAATAAGAAATTTTGAGATAAAAAAAATAAGAATTATAAAAAGAAAAAGAAAGACAAAGAGAGAAGTTAAAAGAAAAGCGTTTATAATTTTGTAATGAAAACGATAGAAAAGAAAGAAATAGAACTAAAAATAGAGAGCTTAGATCACAATAAGAAGTTCATTAATCATAAAATAATACCAAAAATAAAGAATAAAATTAATTAGTAATCCAAAACAATTAAAACTAAAAATCTTCAGAACAAAACCATCACATAAAAAAATAAAAAAAATTAGAAGGATAGGTTGCCATTTAATAACAAATGGTAGAATATAATTATTAATAATAATAATAATAATAATAATAATAATAATAATAATAATAATAATAATAATAATAATAATAATAACAATAATTATTATTAGAATAAAACCCTCCATTTTAACTCCCTCATCAATTTTAAATGCCAATCATTGATCAAATGTAATAATAATATTTCATCAAATAAGCTTAAGGGAATTAATTTTTTGGTCATAATGATGGCTTTTAACAATTAAAATTTGTTGAAGGATAATATTAAAATTAATAGGAGTAAAACAGTTTAATAAAAGATTAAAATAATCCTGATAATAATCCTTAGTTTCCTAAAATGGTTCCGATGTAAATCTAAAATTATCTTTAATAAGACTAAGCTATTTAATAACTCTAACCACATGTTGCATTTTAACCATCTTAACCTTTTATAGGAAATCCTTACTATTATCCTTAATTTTTACCTCTAAGACAAATATAACAATAAACTTAAGGCCTTAATGAAGGATAATAAAATTTGAATAAAGATTATCAAGTAGAAATGATGTACGTATTTTAAGAAGTTCCTTAAAATTTTGATCCAAATTTCTTTTTTTAATTCTCTCCTCAAAGTTTTGTGTCTATACCTGGAGGTTCCAAGTTAGGAGATGCTCTTAAATGAGAATATTATTAATTAAATATTATACATACAATTATTTTATATCTCTTAGAACATATTATAAAAAATAAATATATATTTTACATATTAAATGTTACTCCTTCAAACTTCTTATTTAAATAGTGATTTAAATAAATTACTTGAATTCTTCGGTATTTTATAATTTTAAAATAAATATAATACATAATATTTTGTGTAAATAACTGGAATTTATTTAATTAAAGTTAGACGATAATATATTTAACAAGCCTTAATAAAATTTATACCAATAATATATGATGATAAATTATAAGAAAAAATCATAATTTAATCATTTTGTTATCATATCATCTCTTAGGATGAAGAGCTAAATTTTGGATTGATTGAAAAATTATAGAACTCGAAGTCATTAAACGATACTTTTTTTTTACTTTTTAAATTTTATTTCAAATCTTTATTATTACTCTTAATACAAGACTTGCTATTTTCAGGAATTTGATATCTATACTCTTTGTTTTCATTTATTTTAACTTATTCTTATATTCGAAATTATTAAATCTCTTAATCAATAGTATAATCATTAATATTACCATTGATAAGAGGGTCAATAGTAGAATTAGAATTCCTATGTCTTTATTCTAAGAATTTATTAAATTTATAGAAATTATCTGGTTTACAAAAATCAGCCTCATCATTTGGCACAGAACATTGAATTGTTTCTATTGAATTTAGCTACTAATCTAATTTAACAGATTTGCAAATTTAACCCATTTATAAATATTATTTAATTAACTCAAATCTTCTATTGACTTCTTTTGAAGATATGTTGTTATAAGGCTTACTATTATTTCTTAATAAAAACATTGTGATTATAATTAGATAATAGAACTGGAATTAATGATAAAGATTTATTGTTGCTATTAATTTAAATAAATTATCTTCTGTGTGATAACAATTTATTTTAAGTGTTTCACATTGTTACATATGTATCAGTATATAAAAGAAGGAAACTCAACATAAATTTTAAAATAAAATTATCAGTTTTAATAATTCTGAGAAAGAACTATAATAGATAAAAGAATTAGAGCAATAGCTGAATTTGATGTTGAATGTAGGGAAAAAAACAATTTGATGTTATATTTTAATAAAAGTTCTGTTGGAAAATTAGTCTAAGTTTTTCAACAATGTTAAGAGAAGTATAATTAATTCTTATTTTAAAGAATATAATTCTTCTTGTTAAACTTTACATTGCTTTAAAGAAAAAGAGAATGCCTGTCAAATTTATTTTATTCATTTATATTATTTCTCTATTTTTATAAATATAAAATGATTGTATATATAAAATAAGAAGGTGAAAAAAATGAAATGCTTTAGTTTATATATGGAGAATTTAATTTATATACAAAAAATATAATAAATTAAGACGATTTATTTTTGTAAAAGAATTAACAAACTAGTGTTTAAATAAAAATATTGAATAAAACTAAATGAAATCATCTTAGAAATACAGAACTAAAAATTAAAATATGAAATTTAATGATATAAAGTTAATATTATTCATCCAGATTATGATTATTATTCTTATTTTTGAGATTCTTATTATTTTTCTAGAATTTCTTGATCTTGAATTTCAGCTTAATTATTTGTTTCTTCATTTTTAGTTTCATTCTTTATCTAGATAGTATCTTCATTTAAATTTTCTTGATTAGGTATATTTTATTCTAATTTTCCATCATTTAAATCCTCTAATATAGTTGAAAATTTTTTTTGATTTTTTTACTCATAGTCTGTTTCCTGATTAAGTTAAACTGAATTATCAATTTATTAAGGACTTGTAAAACTTTTAGATAATATTTATAAATTATGTTCTGATTAATCATCTTCCTAACCTTAAAATGATTACTGATTTAAATATTATGATTTTTTAATTCTTTGTCTAATTTATGAAGATCTTTTCATTTAGAATTCTTTAAATCTTTAACATTATTCATTAATTTATATTATTTCTAAATGGATTTTACTAATACAATTTTCAAGTTCAACTAATTATTTTGATTTATGATTAATATCTTATTTGAATAATTTAAGATCAGCCAAATATTTCTCATCAAGAATTTTTTTATGCCTTTCTTAATTTTATATTTGTAACTATATCTTAAAATATTGTTATTCTATTTAAGGATCTTATTCTAAAATCGCAGCACTTTATTATTCTTTAAAAATGACCTTATCTCTTACTTTAGATTGATATTCTTAAAACTATTATAATTTTTTTTGTTCATTTTCAATTAATTCATATAACTAATAGTTTTTTAATTGACATTCTTATATGGATTTATCTATTTATCGGCTTTATTGCTAAATAATTTAATTTTAATTACATTTCATTTTAAAGTGCAGAAACTCCATGTTATTCTTCTATTTAAGTGATTTCCTTTCCTTATCGTTAAGTGATTTTCTTTTAGGTTTCTATTTATTAGGCTAACATTTTTATATTATCTTCACATTAAGAAATTTTATTTTCTAAATCTATTTTCATAGTTTTTTATTCCAAGATGGTTAGTCTTTTCTATTATTAATGAATCTAAAATTTTAATCTTTTCAAAATTTCAATATTATTCATTTATTCTTTTTATAAGACATCTTTACTAGGAAACTATATTTGTTCTAAATTAATTTAATAAATACTTTTATTTGGTTTCTTTTTTGATAAATAAGTTCCAACTTCATCATTTAATTATTTTAAAAGAGCTCTCAATTTTTCTGGTTTATTATTACATTCTTCAGATAATTAAGAGTACTTTGTATCTAAAATTATTTAATAGAATACAATAGCTTTCTTAGTTTACTTTAGGTGTAAGAGCCTTCATAAAATATTAAAAATATATAAAATTTAATTGAAACAACTGATTCTTCCATTCAATAAATTTGAAAAATATAAAATATAATAAGATAAAATATAGCAGATAATATTAAGATTAGAATAATAAAGTAATAACAAATTTTTAGAAATACTTACTTAATCTTAATATTTTATAATAAGAGCAGTTTCTATTCAATTATATTTACGTATTATTATTAATTTTTATCAATTAAATGCGTAATAATAAAGATAAATATCTTCTATTTTATTTAATGAAAAATATCCAATTGGTATTTTTAATTGCCTTATTTGGTTTTGCTTCTGCAGATATTGTCATCTATAAATCAAAGAGATGCGAATGTTCCTCATTTATCAAATCAGAATGTGATAAATGGTATGATTGCAAATGGAATGAATCATCTTGTCTTGAAAAAGAATGCACTGATTATACAACAGAAGATAAATGCCACGGAGAATGTTAATGGAAAGGTGGAAAGTGTGTTGATGAGGAAAAAGAATGTGAAGATATGCCAAATGAAGAAAGTTGTTCAAATTTTGCTGGATGTGGTTGGAAAGATAACAAATGCATTGAATTTACTCAATGTTCAGATTTTATTGTAACAAAAGCAGAAAGATGCTCTGTTTTGAAAGGTGAAGATGGAGAAAGATGCTAACCAAAAGGTGTTAGTGTAACTACATTATTTTACAAACATTTAGCTGTTGCAGCTGGATTTTAATGTGAAAATAAAGTGTATGTTGATTGTTCTAAATTTGTGACTGAAGCTACATGCAAAGGAGATGCAACTGCAACTGCAAAATGTTAATGGAAAAGTGATGGTAAATGTTATGCATTTGAATTAAAAACATGTAGAGATGCTGATGGATTTAATTAAATGTGTGATCCAAAATATTGTAAAAAAGATGGATAATTATGTGTGAATAGATCATGTTCTGATATTACCACATAAGCATTATGTACATCTTTACCAAAGATTGACAACAACAAATCTGTATTATGTAAGTGGGGTACTGATAATAAATGCACTATTGCAACAGATGCTACTCATTTGAATGAATAAACTTGCAATGATGTAACTTTTGGTTCCTATCATTGGGTGACAAATACTTGTCAATAATGTGCTTCCAATTGGATTTTATCAATTATGTCATTGATTATCTTGGTTGCCCTAATTTGAATGAATTATTCATTATTCAATATTGAACACATAACATATAAATTTATTTTATATATATATATATATATTTATAATTAATATATATTATTTTTGGGTTTTATATAATTATTCATTTTTATTAAAATTGGTAAAATATTTAGCATATTTTTATAAAAATATTGATTATTCTTTATTATAAACAATTAATTTTATAAGAATTGCATCATTTAATAATAATTACATCTTTTATAATACGAATTAAATTAAAATTCTTAACTAAAAGCTTATCTTAAACCTGAATTAAAATTAAATGAATAGACACTTAAGTAAGCTCATTCAAAAATCATTCTCTATCTAAACTAAACCAACCCAAAACTATACTATGCCACATCCTATTTGGAATAAGCCTGAACTAGAACAAGTTAGTTTGGAACATAAACCAGCACTCACTTTTGGAGATCATTTTGCTTATTACTTTATTCAATCAATGAGAGTTGGCTTTGATCTTATGAGTGGATATAAAAAGATCACTCCATTTTAATCAGAATTAGTGTCTGAAAAGAAATGGATCAATAGAGTTCTATTTTTGGAGACTGTTGCTGGAGTCCCAGGATTTGTAGCTGGTATGCATAGACATTTAAGATCATTAAGAGGAATGAAGAGAGATTAAGGATGGATTCACACCTTACTAGAAGAAGCAGAAAATGAGAGAATTCATTTGTTGACTTTTTTAAATATCAAAAAACCCTCATTAATATTCAGAACTGGAGTTGTTTTAGCTTAGACTTGGTATGTTGCACTATTTGGAGTAGCATATATGTTTTGGCCTAGAGTATGTCATAGGATTGTTGGATATTTAGAAGAAGAAGCAGTTAAAACTTATACTCATATGATTCATGAAATAGAAAGAGAAGGAAGTCCAATTCATTCATGGACTACTAGAAAGGCCAATTAACATTCTATTGAATACTGGGGATTAGATAATGATGCCACTCTTTTAGATGTTGTTAAAGCAATAAGAAAGGATGAAGAACATCATAAAGATGTAAATCATTATTTTGCAGATGATTACACTTAATCGAAACCAAATCCTTTTCCTCCAGGTAAATGAATAAGCTTGATAATTTTTTTATAAATTTTTATAGTTGAATTTTATAAATTCAAATACTTCTTAATTTTTAATAGGTCTTTAATTAAGCGATGAATAAATCTAATGAATTACCAAAAGATTATTATAATTTTTCTTTTTATTGCATATTAATAAATTCCTTTATTAATTTGATTATTTTATTGCCGATTTTTATATTGTGTTTTATTGCCCTCTTATTTTTTGAAGAACAATTAAATTTTAGAAAAATTCCAAAATTGCCTTGTTAAATTCTATTATTTAATTATTCTCTCAATTTCGATTAATACCTTTGATTAATGATGCAATCACCATCTCTTGGGATTGATGAATTATATTCAAAAAGTGTAAAATCTGTATGCACTACAATTAAATTTCCTAATATAGCAGCAATATCCTTTTCTAAATATTATTCATCTTATATTATGGGTTCTAATAGAATTATAGAGGCCTCATTTGGGCAAAAGAATTCTTTTAAGTAATCTACTTCTTTCTCACATTCTGAATCCGATTCTTAAGATGATTTTCCATTTTATTTTGATTAAATTATTGACAAAGGCATGTTTAATTACTAATATTTTTAGTCTCTATAATATATAAAGTATTATGTAATAGAATTTTATATATATTAAATTTTAAAAATAAATTAAATTTTGTAAGGTTTTATTTTTATAATTCAGAACTCGAGCTTTTTATTACCATTATCTCTACACTTGTATTTAAACCAAGAACAAAAAGATAATTAAGAACACTCATATTAATTTTAATAGTCTGAACATTTTTTATCATAACATAATCTTCTTTTACTATCCCATATACAATAATCTGTTTGACATTTTCCTTATTCTTAGGCCTTTAATTAAATACAAGAGGAATCCCAACATTTACTATCTGCCCAATTACAAGCAACCTTTATAAAATTAATTGAATACAATTTTTAAACATTTTGATTCTTCCACTTCCTCTGTACATTTCTTAACTTAACATTTAGCCATATCTGATTACCATATACAATTAATTGCATCATTACATTAATTTTGAATAGTCAATTAATTGCATATAAATTAACATAAGGATGGAGACCAATAATTCCATTCACATAAATCATTTTGATTGCAAGCCATTTGTTCATTAATTTGATCACATTGAGCAAAAACGTTTACAACAAGTATAAGAATGCTGTAAAACAATTAAAATTAAATATTTTTTTCCATTTAATGTTAAGAATGAATGAATAAATGATAAAAACAATAAAATCTAATATTTATAAATAAAAACGCTTTATACTTTTCATAAGAAACAATTAATAAGAATGATTTCTAAATTATATGTAATTCTTGATTGATATGAATTATAATTATATATATAAAATATTGAGGTTTACTTAATGGGAGGCTGCGAGTTTAAATTTAGGGGTTCAAATGATGATACATGTAAAAAAAACAATCTATATAGAAATGGCATTACAAAATTTTGAATTAATATCAGTTGTTGGATAAGGAGGATTTGGTAAAGTATATAAGGCAAGACTAAACAAAACTCGTAATTTAGTTGTAGCACTTAAAGTGATGTCTAAAGTTAAGTATATAACTAAAAAATATAATAAGAGTGATATAAAAAAAGAGTGTTAGTTCAGTGATGAATGAATTATAGATTATATCAACCCTTAGACATGAGTAATTATACCTTTATAATTCTAGATTTATAATCAATATTATTAGTGCATTTTAAGATCGTTGTTCTTTGTATTTAGCTATGGATTTCTTAGCTGGAGGAGATTTGAGATTTCATTTATGCAAAAATCGAAAATTCTCTGAACCAATTACAAAGCATATTGCTATTTGCATAATTATTGGATTAGATTATATACATTCTAATGGCATTATACATAGAGATATTAAACCTGAAAACTTAGTATTTGATAACTAAGGCTATTTAAGAATAACTGATTTTGGAATTGCTAGAATTTGGAAACCTTAAAATAGTCATGAAACAAGTGGTACTCCTGGTTACATGGCTCCAGAAGTAATGTGTAGATAAAATCATGGAGTTGCTGTAGATTACTTTGCTTTGGGAATTATTATACATGAGTGTATTGTACACTATTTTTTTTATTTTAGCTTGGTAAACGACCATATAATGGAAAAAGTAGACAAGAAATTAGAGATTAAATTATTGCTAAATAAGCTGCTATTACAGAAGTTCCTTAAGGTTGGAGTAATGCAGCCATTGCTTTTGCTAATGCTTTGATGTAAAGGAAGCCTTAATTGAGATTGGGATGTAATGGGCCAGATGAAGTTAAAAGTCATCCTTGGTTCAAAGATATCAATTGGAAAGATTATGAAAAGAAACTTATAAATTCTCCTTTTATACCAGATGGAAAATTGGAAAATTATCTTAAGTCCAATCAACTCGATTCCCTTGAAGATTAATCTATTCTCCATTCTGAATAAGTTTAATGTAATGATGACTTAAAATTTTAGAATAATTCTTAGGGTATGAACATTTTCCTTAACTCAATGGAGGGTCTCCTTATATATCATCAATAGTTTCCCCTAGAACTCCAAACTTAAGGATTTAACTTAAAAAAGAGTAATGATTTTTATTTAATTATACATCACTATCTATTAAGTTACACAAATTTTTAATTATGTTTTTATATTAATTTATCTAATAATATATAATAAATTAAAATATTAATAGTAATAATTTAATAATAAAGCTAATTGTATAATTAATTCAGTTTTCATTATCTTTGATTAAATTAGTATAACATTTATTAATAATAACCGTATCAATGAAATTCTTCATTTTTTTTATTTTATATTGTTAAAATATTATATTAGTATTTTATGAGAACTTTATCGTAAGATCAGTTGTTCAAGATTCAAAAAAAAATTGAAATGTTCTTTTAAATACTATATTTTGAAAAAAAAAGGTTTTCTTATCAAATCAATTGCAAATTTTATATTTAACATCGATACTTCAAACTATTCTGAATGCGTTTCTTTACTTTTTGTTTATATATTGAATAAATTTCAGTCTTAAAAATGATTCAACACGTGAATAAAACATATATATAAACTCATATTTCATCATGAATGATTGTCAACTTAAGTAATGAAGTTAAACATAATATTTGTTATTTTCGGATAAAGATTCATGTTATCAAAAAAATTAGGTAAATATTCACTTTTTTCATATTATGCTCCATCCTCCTCAAAACTATTATTAGAATGTTATTATTAACTAGAAATTAATAAGAAATCTTACTCTCCAATTATTAAATTCCAATTGTATCGTAAAAACTTATAATATCGATTTTTTACAGCATTTTAACTTCTATCCAAAAAAAACTTAGAAATGATTTAAAATCTTGGACCATGTTCTTTAACAAGATTAAGAATTTTTTCATCTTCTTAAAGAGTGAATGGAGTGTGTTTTTCATAAATTAAATTTGTTTTTTTGTTCACTTTTTTTCTTTTCTTAGTATGAAAATCGCATTTTTTTTTTTTGGTGACTCTCTTTTTTGTTTTTGGTAAAGTTTGTAGAACTAAATCTAAACTATCTGTTTGAGATGGTAATGGATCATCTAAATGTATCAGAATTGGTTGAATTTCATGGGATGTTTCACCAAATTCTTATGAAAATTGAGATAACGAAATTTCATCGAAAGATTTAATTTATTTCATCTCAAATAATATTAAAATTAAGTATTATTTACTAAAAGCTTTTATACTACAAACTATAATGATTTTAATTTAAACATTGTAGTATATTTATATTAACATATTCTATCCTTTTTTTTTTATTTTATATTTCCTTATTAGTCTGAATTGATATAATTTTTAGAATAAAATATTATTAATTAAATGATATATTACTATATATGATAAGATATTCTAGTAATTCATAATTTAATTTAATAAATTAGTAAGTTTGTAAAAAATAGTATTTCTAATTCAATAATTCCCCAAATGTTTAATATTTTAATAAATGATTATTTTCTATTAGAGTAAGTTTAAATGCTATATCAAATTTTCTCATATATATACATGTAAAATACAACGTAAACAGAATAAAATCAAATTTTATTTACTTAAAATAGGAATCAACTAAAAAATTTTATATTTAAAAACTGAATAAAATTGCAGCAATATCATTAAATTTATAGTGTTTTTTTTATTTCCTCTCAAAATTAAAAAATAATTTTTTTTCCTTAATATTATCAATAATATTAAAAATTATATATTCAATTTTCTTAACCTTAATTTTATTGATTTAATTATACTTGTAGAACACTTGAATCAGAGTTAGAAACCAATTTTTACTTATATAAATCATAAAACTAGTTAATAAAAATATTTAATTTATAATAGTAGATTTATTAACAATATTGAATATTTAGTTCTTGATATAATAAAAGATGAATAGCTTTATGAATCTTTATTTCTTATATTTTCTGAAGAAATTAGAGCTCATAGAAGTAATAATAAAATCAGAATATAAATATAATTCTATAAAAATTAATATTATTGAAAAATATATGGATTTATTGATTCTTTATAAAGATTATTAGATTAGAATATGTCTATTATTTATTAGTAATAATAGATTTATCATTTTAAATTTTTCTTAAGTTAGTAATGGTATAAACTATATTACAAATTTTAAAGAGGCATTTCTATATATTAAAAAATGTCTAAATTTTTTAATATAGAATGACATCATTTCTTTATATGATGTGATATATTGATGAAGTTTATATTAAAACATGCAGAACATAGAATAGTCTAGATTTAAATAATTACCAAAATGATACAATTGTATTTTGCATTTCAAATAGTGGAATGAAATGATTTGCAGATTAATATTAAATAAATCAAAAATCTAGATGAAGATCTCAATTATGCTTTTGCTAGTGGCAATTAGCGCTATTGGAAATGCATACTTTATTCCAAATGTTAAGTGTGCATGCTAATAGATATTAATATAATCAGAATGCAACAATTGGAATTGTTAATGGAATTAAGTTACTCCTGCAACAGCTACAACCCCAGCAACAGGATACTGTTAATAAGCAACTTGTGGAACATTAAATTAAGAATAATGCAAAAATGAAAGTGAAAGATGCTACTACTAAGAACCAGGTCCTAATCCGACAACATCTTAAGTTTGTTATGAATTCTCAAAATGTGAGGATATAATTTTAAGTAATGGGACTACATGCCAAAAGACTAATCCTAAATGCGTGGCTTCACCACCATAATTACAACCTAAATTTCAGTGTATATCAGCAGGATTAACATGCTCAGGATTAAGCTTGGAATAATGCTCACCACCCTAAAGTTAGACATTGGCAGGTGAAGGTTTATGTTATTGGAATGGAAACTCCTGTAAAGTTGTAAGTTAATGTTCAGAACTAACCACTATAACTTTATGTTAAATGAAAAAATTTTAAAATGCTTGTTAATGGGTAGGGTCAGCATGTATTGCTTTAACTTGTGCATCATTTACAACTTAAGATACATGCACATTTTATTAATAAGCAACATTGAGTAGCTCTCCTATTTAGATTTGCAATTGGACAGGTACTAATTGTATACCAGCCACTCCATAAATGTTATAAAGTAGTAATTGTGGTTAAAATACTAATAATCATTATAGATGGGTACCTATGAATGCAAGTAGTGGTATTTGTGCATAATGCAACCCATACAAATACGTATTTCGTAATTAGTGTGAATGTAAACAGTTGTTGTAAGCAAATGAATGCACTAGTTCTAAAAGTTGCACATGGATACCACCTGCTGGAACAACTCCTGGTTATTGTCAACCTACTCAATGCACTTCTTTTGCAGATTAATAAACATGTGCATAAGTTTAAGGATGTTATTGGAACATTAATGCATAATCACCTGGCTGTTAAACTTTTAGTACTTGCAGCAATATTGTAGGTTAAAATGCATAAATATGTTATTCATAATCAATTTATTGTCCAGGATCAAATGGAACTAATTGTTAATCTTAATAATAATTGAATTCATGTGCAACAATTGTTACACCAATGCAACCTAATGTTTGTTTTAATTCTATTGGCAAAGATGGATATTGTACTTATGAAGGTAATTAATGTGTTAGCGTTAAACAATGCTCATAATTAACTACATTATAATTATGTAATTAATTTAGTAATTCTTGCGTTTGGAAAACTGGTAGTTAAAATTCCTGCTAAAGTAAAACATGTTAAGATTACCTTACTGAATCTAGTTGTACTTACATACAAAATAATATCAATAATAATATCATAAATGTTTGTACTTGGAATCCAGATACTAAAAAGTGCAGTTCTTTTGATAATTCATTCAGTTACGATGTTAATTCATGTTTTAATTCTACAGGAAGAACTCATCATTGGAGTGAACCATCCAATGCTCAAAAAGGATTTTGTTTACCATGTCATTATTCTAGTGTCTTAAATGTCAAATCTAATTGTTCTTGCAGTGATTTAACAAATTATACTGATTGTGCCTTGTCATCTCCTAAATGCTATTGGAATGCTGCAAGTTCTACATGCTCAAATTAAAATTGTCCATAATTAACAAGTTAAGGTTAATGTGTCTTGAGTAAATATTGTTATTGGAGTAATTCTCAAGGTTGTTAACCATTAGGTTCATCATCTACCACATGTTCTACATTAACTGCAAACACTTAATAAGAATGTTTAAGTCAATCTATTTTATGTGCAGGAATTAGCAGCAACGGTAAATGTTAATCAAGCCCTAATTCTTGTGGTGATTTTACTACATTCTATTAATGTTTTGGTTCAGTTGGTACTGATGGTATTTGCTAATGGAATCAAACTTCATTGAAATGTTAAGGTATCAGCAGTTGCAATATGATCAATACCTCAGCTTAATGTGAATTAGTACTTAATACTTGTTATTGGGGTAACTCAGGCAATGGAACTAATACGTGTATGCCATATAATTGCACAACTCTATATACATAGACTTAAAGTTGCAATTTTTATTTAAGCACTCCTAATTAAAATTATGAAGTAAAATATTGTTAATTAAATGGATAAACTTGTGCAGACGCATCTAATTTATCAAGTTTAACTTCATCTAATTGCTATGCTTCATCTGGAGGAACCGCTAGATGGGATGCAGATAAAGGAAATGGAACTTGTGTATAATGCTATGCTTAAATCATCAGTGTCCTTTTCATCATCTTAAGTTACATGTTTTGAGATATTCAATATATAAAGTCCATCATATTAAAATTAATTTCTTGAATCCCATACTTCCCTTTCCTTTTTATTTCAATTAATTAAATATCTGAATTTAAGTTTTAATTTTAAATTTTCATTATCCAACAGAAGATATAATTATTTATTTAAAATAAAAATAAAAAATATTCAAACTAATTCATCTATTTTTATTCAAAACTGATTAAAATTTCTAACATGTTCATTAGATTAATTTACCCTCTATTAAATTTTCTTTATCTTTTTCAACTTATACTCTCTTCCCATCTATATCGAAGATTCTTATAATATCTATTCTTTAACATACTTAAATTTCTTTTTGAAAATAATTTAACCAATCTTGAAAATTGTCTTCCATCTTTTAATACTGATTATAACAATCTTAAATCTTTGCTTATTTTGAATCTCATTTTATTTTTATTCACTTTTTTTAGAGTGATGACATTTCTTCTTTTTTTGATTTATCTAATCTTTTTATTAGATCTTAACCTTATTAATATAACTAAATCCACTTAACTATTCACTTTATGTACTGTAGAAAGCTAAGTATATTAATCATCATATCATTAAAAACTATTCATCATATATTTAATTGTATTTTCTATTGGTTGGTTGTATATCAAATAAAGATTTGATATTTATCATAGTATATATTTTAATAAGATATTTTTAATATTAAATTGATTTAATCAGATATTATTATTAAATATAATTTATCATCCATTATAATACTAAAGTTATTTTATTGAAATTTATTAATTGCCTTAAGGCATCAAATTTTAAAATATATTTTTAATAAATCCATTCTTAGAATAATATTATCAAAAATATATTTATTAATTTTTATTAACTGAATAAACTAGTTATTCCTTTTCAAATAATTCATACATCATCTCTCTTTTTGATTTAGAAGATTTGGATTTTATGTACAAAATATAGACAATCCAATTTTTTTAATATAATTAAAAGCTAGAAATAAAGAAATTCACCCATTAATTTCATCAGCAAGATTAACAAATTTGTAAAATAGACTTTTATATGGATAAAACACTTCATAAAAATTAAACAATCAATGATATCTTTATAATACTAACAAAATAATTTTTTTTTTATTTTTTATTAATTAAATAAGTCATTATTAATGAAATATGTCTCTATTTATCATAATTTCTTAATTAATAAAAAAATAGAGAAATACTCTTAAATTCTTTTGAGATCTAAAAAACTGAATTTATTAATAATGTTATAAAGTAATCTTCATATCGACTTGACTTTGATTCAAAAACCCATAAACAAATATAATAAGGATATTCAATATCTGATTATCATTCATTAACATAATAATATATTTATAATCAATAAATTTGATAATTCACTTATTTTTATTTGATTCAATATTTTATTACAAGATAAATGTACGAAATAGTATTTAATGATATTTTATATATAACTTAAAATATTGTTATTATATATACCAAAATAATGAACTTAGAAAAATAATTATTTATAAACCTTAATTATTAAAGTTTTATATGTTTGATAATTTTAATACTAATCATAATTATTACATAAATTTATAAAGTAAAATAAGTATTATTTAAATTTTATTATAATCTAATTCTTGTATATCAATATCTAATTCTAGTATATTTATATCTGATAAATTTCAAGCATATTTGAATAATTCTAAATATGATAAAATATTTCCTTTTTTATAATAGCCATTCTATTTATTTAAATGATTGAAATTGAATATTCAAATAATATAATTTATTTTAAATTAACATAGAAACCATTATTCTTCCAACCTTATCTAAAATTGAGATGGTTTTAAAAAATTAATTTATTAATACAACTATTTTTTTTAATTTTAATGTCATCCCTTGATAATAACCTTAGGAAAGATATCCTAAAGAAAAAACCAACTCTTATAATACCGAAGAAATCAAGATTTGAAAAAAAATGCGAAGTTTTGTAGAAACCTTTAGGAATATATAAGACCTATATAAAAACATTATTAGGATTTGAGTTAGAATTGGAGGAAGACTTTAATTATAATTGTATTCTAAAGAATTTCAAGAAAGATCTAAGTGAAGATATTGAAATATTTCCTGACTGCGTATTTAGGTTTCAATATGATTGATTATTTTAATTAGTTTAATAAACCCAGACTATAAATACAAGAACGAAAATTAAAATTAATGTTTAGTTAATTCAAGTATCGAATTGTTTGAATTACTTTAATCAGGATTAAGAATCAATTAGAAGTCTATTGATGATCTTTTATTATTAAAAGCAATTGAGTCAATATATTTTAATTTGCCATTATAAGATGCATGTTATCATTAAAAAAAGGATCCCACCATTCTTATAACAGAAGATAACCATGAATAAAAAAACACAAGGGATAAAGATTCGCAATAACAAAATTTATTACCAGAAAAATCAGACATTAGGTATCATCAAATTGATAAAAATGGTACTTTAACATAATTAGATAGAATTAATTAAAAATTACGTAACTTAATTAGAAAAATAGATTCATAATTTACTTTTAAAAGACATACATGCAAATATCATGGACTGTTTAACATTAAATTATAAAGAATTAAAATAGACTTTGCTAAAAAGATGGAGAGGAGGTTAATATTTGGAAAATTAAGATGATATATGGATGAGAAGTGGTAGTCCTACATAAGATGTTTCTACATTAATAAGAAATGCTTTAATAATTAAATTAAATAAGGTAGGTTTTAATATATAATCCTTTCTATCTGGTGAAGGGAATGAGATCTTTGTTATGCTTAATATGCAAGATTGTAATCTTAAAATAGTTGCTGATTAAGGTCATGTATTAAAATAATTAAATTTTTGGTTTACAGATTTGTTTTCCTTAGAACCTGTTGACAAATCATTTAGACCTTTAAGAATTAATAATAGAATATGGAAATCTTAAGATTATGATGTTTCAGAGTTATTCTTATATTTAAAACCATAAATGATTAGATTACTTCAATAGATAAATTTCAAAAGAATAGCAAGAGAAACAAATCAAAGTTCAATTAATTCATAATTATTTGAATATGGTAAATTAGATTTTAGTGAGAAAGATGATGGTCCTAATGATGAAGAATGGATAGCATATCATAAATATTTGACTCATTTAGAAAAATGTGTTAGATAATTTAGATAGAGTTAATTAATTGATAATGAATTAGCATCTTTACTGAATAAATAAGTAACTGCTCTTTAAATATATTAAAAAAGAAATTACTCTAATAAAGAAATTCAAAATTTAAATTATTAAAATTTATAAGAATCTAGAAATTATGAGCATTTAGAAATGATAAAGTAAATTGAATTATAAACAGAAAGAATAATGGATGAGTTTTCTAATTTCTAATTTTCATTATAAATTCCTAAAGTAAAAGCATTAAAATTATTGAAAAAAGAATCAGTTTCTTTAAATTATCTTTATTCTTTTTAAGAAGCTCTAAGAGTTGCAAATGGTGAATAAATAAAATTATATAATTTATGGGAAAGATCAGAAATGCCTCCTTTTGATATGTATCATCCTTATTAAATGCCTAATAAAGAGAATACAAAAACATAATAAGCAAAACAAGAATTAAGTTGGAGGAAATATGTAAAGAATGAAAATAATGAGATATCATTATTCTCATCTTAAGAGAGATTAAAATTAGTTTATCAAAAAGTATCACAAGAATTAGATCTCAGTATTATGCATTAATTAGGTATTATTAATTAAATATTCTGTCTTAATGATCATTATGAATTATTTGGATAATGTAGTAATTTATAGGCTTAGATAACTTTGGATACAAGATTTTTTAAGAAGAAACCATTTTAATTAATTGATGAATGGAAACTTGATTATTTGAGACCTTGGATTAGTCCTTGTGATTTAATATGTGGATATTATGGAGAAAAAATTGGTCTTTATTTTTATTTTATGAGTTATTTTACTGAAATGACTACTCCTATAGCTTTTTCAGGTCTTGCTTGTAGTTTAATTTAATGGATAATTTGGGATAATGAAAGTGATTTTTACATTTTAGTTACTATAATATTTGCATTTGTATAAATTTAATGGAGTAATGTTTTTACAGATTTATGGAAATAGAAACAAATTTATTTTAATTTAAAATATGGTTAAAATGATTAAGATTAATAATAAGTGTAAAGATCAAAATTTAAAGGTAAACATATAAGATCTTTAGTTAATGATTAATTAAATTCAATTGAAGTATTATATAGTGAATATTTGAAAAGAACTTTAGTTAGCTCAATGTTACTATTTTTTTTTATATTATTTTATATTGGTATAATAGTATCCTTATTTGTTTTTACAGTTTAATTGCATAATAAATATTCAGAGGAACTTAAATAACTTGATATAGCTACAATAGAAGTTACATCAGCTGCAGCTATGAATTTTATAGTTTAATTAATTGCAGACAATATCTTTGACAAAATTGCCTGTTAATTAACTGAATATGAAAACTATAAAACTGTTGAAGCATATGAAACAAGCTTTGTATTAAAGAAATTTATTTTTTAATTTTTCTCATATATAGCTCCTCTTTTATTTTTAGAATATTTGAATTAACCACTCAAATTATATTGTTCACTTACAAATTGTGAAAGACATGTTAAATATTATTTTTCTACTATTGTAATTTTAATTCTATTTAAGTAAATTGTAAATTTCTGTATATTTTTATTTAAACTAACAAAAATTAAAATAAAAAATTATGATTACAATGAAAATGATATTATGGATTTTGTTGAAGAATAATCATAAAGATAACCTTATTCCTAAGATTTTGAGAGATATGGTACAATGTAAGATTATATGGAATTATTCGTTCTTATTTCTTTTTTAAGTATATTTGGATATACATTTCCATTTAGCTTTTTTATTTTATGGATATCCAATATTATGTAAATTTAAGTCAAAAAAAATACATTTTTGTATTGTTTATAAAGACCATGGCCTAAAAATGAAAGTTCTTTAGGAATTTGGAATTATTTTCTTGAAATTATCAGTTTATTATGTTTATTAACAAATACTGGTGTAGTAACAATACAATATAATAAATAATTTGGTTATGAACTTATTATAGTATTTTTAGCTGTTTTAATATTTAATTGTTTTGGTAAATTTTTTATTGGTATAATATTTGGATAAATTCCAGATGCTTTGAATGACCTTATGAAAAGACATAAATATTTAATAAAAGCAACCCTTTAAAATAAAATTAAAGAAGGAAAATCTTAGGAAAATAAAGATGCTTTAAAAAGATTTCCTATTTTAAAAGTTTATGGTACTTTAAATTCTGCAGAATCTGGTAAATTTGAAACAGTCAGTTCTGATGATGAATTACATGATCATTATGAAATACCAGAAATCAAATAAAAATTAGATATTATTAAAGTTGAATAATTTACTAAAAATTTAGATAAACAATATTTAGGTGAATTTTAATTTACTAAAATTTTGGAATATTTTAATTAAAGAGAATAGAATTGGGCTTTTAAATGTGTATTTAAAAATTAAAAGGAAAAATAAAAACTTAGATTATTATTAAAAATTTATTCTTTATTATATAAAGCATAAATTTTAACTAAATATAGATAACTTTGGACAGATAGAAGAGTATCTTAAAGATTTGTTCATATGAGAAGGAAAATAATTTAATTAAGAAATTTAGATTATAGAAGATATTTGATAATCTCATCGAAACTTAATTTAATGAGAACTTATTATGATGAAAAGGCTCAATAAAGGTTTAGAAAAGATTTCTAATTGATTGGATAATAGGTAGATGAAAATGGAGAAGAAAATATAGAATATACAAATTTAGTTAAGAAATATCAGAGATATGTTGAAAAACATGCATGGTTAAATACAAGAAAAGTAATTCTACTTAAAATAAAAGCATTAACTTTTAAAGGATTTAGAAAATAAGTTTTTAAAAAACCATCACTATAATTAATTTAAGAGTTTTATAAAATTACATAAATTATTGAAGATCTTGAACCAGAAAATCCATTATAACCAGAATTAGACTCTTAAATTGATTATTCAAATTTAGAAAAAATAAAATTTTCTGATTTTATTGATATTTTCAATAATATTGAATTAAAGTAATTTTGTTATATTAATTTTAAGATAAAAAGTAGAATGGTTTTTACCACTAAGTTCTTAAAGAAATAATTCATCAAATTATTTTATTGAAGAAATGAAATCAATTGAATTCATAAATATAATTGATTAATGTAAAGACTCTTCCATTTTTCAAAAAACCAATACAGTACTTGAATAAATTATACTCTCATATTTTTAAATAGAATAATTCCCTATTCCTTAAATCAAATTCATCAAGCATATGCATGATAATATCTGGATAATTAAAATGGGTTAATCAGAAACAACTTATTTATTGTAATTTTTCTAAATAAAACATGGAGAATAGATTCAGCTATAAAAATATGCAGATAATCACGAAGGAATATTATATGCTGAAAGTAAGACTTATTTTAGAATGGTCAACACTGTTGATCAGATAGATGACTTTTATATTAAGGGTTATTGTATTTGTATTTATGAAGCATTTGAGACCAAAAGCTTTTTATAAGTATTAAAATACAGGAAAACTTATGGAATACCTTATACAGAGGCTGAAATCAAATAATTTCTCCATGCCTCCTTAAATTTATTAAAAGTTGCTGACTTTAAAAGTTTATCAAGTCGAAATATGTTCTTAATTAGAGGAGAATATCATATTTTAAATTCAATGACAAAGTTTAATTCATTTTTTGAATTGGGAAAAATTGTTTTAGAAATGATATATTTAGAAGAAATAGAAGACATTAAACAATATTTTGAAAAATTACAGCATCCTTTAAAATGGTTAATTAATGAATTATTATTTTTAGAAGATAATCTTCAAAAACTTTAAGATTTTATTTAAAAATAATATTGTTTTACAGATATTAAATTTGAAATTGAACATCAATAAAAACAATAATCAACTTAAGGATTATCATATTAAACATTTACTTGGTCAATGTTACATAAAATTAATTTAAATTTCAGAATGAAATAATTTTATGATGCTTTACTTTTAACTTAAGAATATGAAGATTATATAAAGAAAGAAGTATATTAAATTAAGGAAAATACTTTTTCTTATTTTTGCATATAATTAATAGAAGATTTAAATTCATATTTATTATCATCTCATTCACTTAAAAGAAATCTTGATATGATATTGATATACTACTATTAGATTGCAACTAAATTTTAAATAAAATATGATATAACAAGATAATTGAATTATTTTATTGACATCTTAAAGAAATTGACTATAGAATTAAGACTAATAATAAAGTAATTGATATCAAATATCAATGTAGCAAATTTAAATTAAACTGAATAATGTATTATTCTAAAAACAATATAAAATGATTCAGAATAATCTTCTTAATTATTATCTAAACAAAGATAATTATTACTTATGTAATTAAGAAAAAACCTTAATCTTATAGACAATATATTAGTATTTGAATAATAAGTAAATCGATTCCTTAATTAATTTTATGCTTTATTTACTTTATAATAATATTATAGTGGACATTATGAATTTGCCAAATTGGCAATCTCTACTATTATTGAAACTTAATAAAAAATCATGCACAAATAAAAGCTTCCTGAAATTTTGAGTGAAGCCTAAGAATTAAGTCCAAGTTAATTTAATTTTGATTAATTAAGTCCTGGTATGGAGAGGGAAGAATAAGAAATAGTTCATGAAGAAATATGGGTATTTAATATAAATTCAGAAATAAAAACCAATCCTCTATATGCAATATAGTATGTTTATTATCTCTACTTATAAGTAATAATATTACATGATTGTAAAAATGAATTGTTTAACTTAAAATAAAAAGAATTTCTTGATTATAATTTTAAAGATGTTCCAGCATATACTTATTTCCAATAATTAATTTCTTCACTTTAATTTAATTTTTAAATCACTCAAAAAAATGTACAATTCTTTTAATAAGAGTCCTAATGTGAATTAGGTAAATATAACATATTATGGATTAAAACTAATATGGAAAATAAATAATATATTTAGTCAGAATTAGAAGAATCAACTAATATGGAGTATAATTGGAGATAAATATTATCATATAATAATTTAAAATGTAGTTCTTAGAACAAAACTGTGTTACTATATATCCTCAAATAAACCTCAACCAATGAATAAATGAAAATTCTTTTGAATATAAGAGTTATTCATTTTCTTTTAAAGTTGTATGATTATTGTCCAATTAACTTAAAGTAAAAAGTCAATATATTAAATAAAGATTAATTAGGTTAATTAAATCTAGAAGGTACATCAAAAATACTCTAATTATAATAATTGCATAAAATATATACGTTAGGAGTAAAAATAGATTATTTTTCCAATCTAAATAATGAAACCTCTTCATGGATATTTCATTAGGGTTTAATATAATTAAGAATCTTTATCTATTAATCTTATTGTTATAGTTTTTCAAAAAGACATTTTGAAAATATTTCCACTTATATCAATTTTTAAGAGGAAATATTTACTTAAATTTCTAAATTAATGATATAAGGAGACACAATATTTTCAAAAGCTAAGAATTATTAAATACTTTAATATCCAATGGATAATATGTTAATTAATCCTTAATCTGATTATTTTGGATATCATTAATATTTTTTAACATAAACCAGAATTATGCTTCTATAAAAAAAGAAACTATTAGATATTTATAAATGTTTCGAGTAATATATGAATGAAAATTTTAAAAACTCAATATTCATTTTAGGTTTAATATAAATATATTATGAATTTGAAGAGATTGATATGGCTAATTTAATAGTTTATTTTACTAAGAAATTATTAGATAGTAATGCAATAATCTTTACTGATGCTCATGAAGGATTTAAAAAAGATTTATAAATAATAGAAGCTGTTTTAAAATAAAAAAGTTAATAATTAATTAAACCTCCATATAATAGACTCTATCATAGAAATGATTTTATTGAATATTTTGAAGATGAAACATTAAATGCAAGATATTTTCTTTTCAATTTACCATATTATTTTAATATTCAATTTTCACAATCAATTATAGAAGATTTCATAGCTGTTAGTCTTGTTAAATTGAGTTTACCTTTATAATAAATGTTGAAAACTGCTTATTGTTCAATTAAAGCAGAATGTGGAGATGAAGAAATCTTAACATTATTAAAGATGTATTTATTATATATTATAATAGAGTAAGTGAATATAAATTTTTAGAAGGTAGTTTGACTTGGGCATTCCATTTACATTTTATGTGCAGATATTATATATCTATGATAGATATGGAAAAGGCATACGATTATTCAATATTATTATTGTCATATTTATATTAATTAGATCTACAATAAGGTTTTTATATAAAGGAGAATAAAAATGGATTTAAAAATCATTTTGTAATATTAATTATTTTAAATTTAGATATGTTTTTAGTCAGAAAAGAATATAATCAAATAAATTTGTTAACCTAAAACTATCCTAATAACAGAATCAATTGAAGATACTTTATTTGATAATGTTAATGATGAATTTTTTGTCATGGAATGCATTATTAATCATTTAGAGATTTTATCTAGAAGCTAATTTTAGATTCCCCTTTTAAGTCTATTACTTCAATTTCAATTAAAATTATAAAATTAAAGACATAAAATCTACTTTTGGAAAGTCCTCTCTTATTTTTTAAATAGAATTGCTACAGAAAATTTGATTCCAGATGTAATATCACAACTTTAAGAAGTCAAAAAAGATCGTTTATAAGAATTGAAGGATATTAGAAGATTGAGTAAAAAGAAAAGAAATGCAAAAATTTTATTAAGAGAAATTACTTAATAGGAATTTGAAGAATTTGATTATTAAAACAATCTTATTACATTTTAGATGAATCTATATAAATTAGATGAAAATTCAAACCAAAAGATATTTATACTTTTATCTTGTTAAGCAGCTGAAAGAGCTTTAACAGGATATTCAAATTAGTGTAAAGATAAGAATAAAATAAACAAACATCAAATTAGTGAATTGAAACTTTTATTGGCTTAAAATTATATATGGATGAATCAAAATGGAAATGCTACATTAACTTTAAGTGAAGCTGAGGATGTAATTGTTGAATGGTTTGGTAAAATCAAACATCCAATTAAGGGTCTCTATTTTTATAATTTGGGATAAATAAAATTATCTATATATTAATAAATCCTTAAGATTTTATAAATATTTATTGAGGAATATGCATTTAATATGTTGGAAATGAAATTAATCATTTAAGGATTAGCAGTTATGAAACCTTTATTATGGAGATAAATGGATTTATTTAATGCAGGTTAAATTCAAAGTTTAATTCCTTTTTTTAAAAATTATTTATTAGATGTTGCTGATGAGTCTGTTTTTGATTGTCCAAAAAGTAGATATTCAACAAATGATGCTAAAATAATTTTAGATGAAGTTTTATAAAATAATATGGCATTTGATTTATCAGGAATCACTGAATTTATAGATGTATTTTTATATTTATATAATTTTAGGCTGAAAATTGTTTTAAATTGTTTGAGGCAGATAATTTTTTAACAAAAGATTTATCGAATTAGATATTCAGAATTTAAAATGAGAAATTATAAAATCAAGCTGAAAGAATATGAATTTAGTATTTGGTAGATTCCATTATTATTATTTCAATTGAGGAAAATAATTTTTTATATAGAAATTTATAATCATTAACATAATTAATATGGCAGGAGTTTCAGAAAGAAGGATTAAGTTTGACAGCTATGAATAAAGAAATAGATGAATATTCTACAGATCCCTATATTATCTTTTAAATTGAATAGGTGTTGTGAGAAATTTTAGTGTATACCCTGATTTAGAATTATTTAAGATTAAATATGAAACTTTTTATAATTCATTCAAAGAAAGTTATGAAAATGAAATTATATGGTCAAAAAAGTAGCTTGAAATAAATATTTTAGATGCAAATAAGATAATTTTGAAATAGTTATCTATACATATAAAGTTTAGCTGTATTCAAAAATGAATAATGATGATAATTAATAATCAGAAACTTTTTAAAAAGAATTAGAAGATAAATGGAGAAAAATAGAAGATTTTAAAATAAAAGAGAAGGAACTTAAAGAAAGAATAGTTTAAGAAAAAATTGAGATTGAAAGTGTATATTAATTATATAATTAATTAGTTAAAAAAATAATGTGATAGAGTAGTTGAAGATATAGAAGAATAAAGTTAGATATAATTAAATGATAAAAAAAGATTAATTGATGAAATTAAGAAGAGTATATATAATAATAAAATTTTAGATTTTTAGAGGACAATGAAGAAAAATAATATTATGATTAAATTTAAAAGATTGGTGATTTAGAAGATAAAATTGCTATAATTGATGTTGATTCAAAAGAATAAGAAAAAAGAAAGAAGAAAAAAAACTAAAAATGGCCGATATTAAATAAAAAATTGATTTAGCAAAAAAAGAAATTGAAGAAAAACAATCTAAAATACATGATATCAAAAAATTAATAGTTTCTACAAATAATACTATATTAACTAAAATCAAAGAAAAAGAAAGTTAACATACAAAATAAAAGTAAGCTGAAGATAAATATGCTGCTGCTTTAAAATATAGAGAAAATTAAGAGGAATAATTAAAGAGTCATAAAGAATAAATAAAAATTTAATAAGAATAATTAGAGAAATTACAAATTGATATCTAAAAAGAAAAGAAGGATGTGAAAAAAACTCATAAGGAATAAGAAATTACTGCTAAAGAAAAAAATAGAATTATAAAAGAAAAAGAAGAATAACTCATTTAAAAATTACAAAAGATATTTTAATTGAAACTGAAAAATTGAATTATAGTAGAAGAAAGATATTTTAGATAAAATTAATGAGATGAATAGTCAAAGAATTAAATTAAGAACATAATAATAAAAAACTTTAAAAAAAAGAAGAAGATGTTTAACATTAAACCGATGAAGATATTGTTAATAAAATTAATAAATTAAAAAAAGTAGAAAATTAAGTCATGGGATATGAAGCTAGTAATGAAAGTATTAATAAAATGATATTATAATTATAAAGAGAATAAGAAAAGTATGGTATTCAAGCATCATAAGCTCATGCTAAATTTTACTAGACAGTAGAGGAAGTTAAAATAAAAAATAATTAAATAGTTGAATAATATAAATAAATTGCTGAAGCTTAGGCTAAATTAAAACATTAATAATAATTATATGAAACTGTCAGAAGTGATAAAAATCTATATTCTAAAAATTTATTAGAAAGTCATAATGAAATCTAAGAACTAACAAAAAAATATACTAGAATGAAGCATTAGGTTGATTAATTGAAAGAAGAAATTAAAACAAAGGATTAATAACTTGTTAAAGAAGATCTTGAATTTCATAAAGTAGAGGAAGAAAATGCAAAAATTGAATAAGATAAAGCTAAAGTAGAAAAAAACATTAAAGCTGATGAGGATTTAATTAAAAATTAAGAAAGTCATATTTCAAGATTAAAAAATATTATATAAGGAGCTTAAACAGAGAAATAAAGATAATAAAAGGATTATAAAATGGTAGTTAATGAAAGAGATATTTTAGGAACTTAATTAATTAAAAGAAATCAAGAATTGTAATTACTTTATGAGAAGATCAAGTTAAATTAATCAAGTTTAAGTAAAGGGGAAATAAATTTTAGAGAAAGAGAAATTGAATTAAAAAGTTTAAAAGTTGAATTAACTAATTTAAGAAATGAATTAAAAGTAAAAGTTCTTTTTTTAATAAAAGTCTACTTAAGATCAAACTGCATGTATTGATGAATTAAGAAAAGAGATTAATAATATTGTAAAGGAATTATTAAATGAAAAGAATAAAGTTAAAGCATTATCAGATGAATTAGAAAATCCAATGAATCTATAATATTCAAATATATTGAAACTATACATAGATGGAGAAAACTTGAAGCAACAGACTAAGAAAAATTTGAGAGAATTCTAAAGATTTAAACATTATAAAGAAGATTAATAGCTAAAACTGAAGAAGTAAATGAAAAGAAGATTTAATTAAAGAAAAGGAAAAATTGTTTATGGAACTGAAAAATATATTATCAAGATAACCAGGTGTTGAAATACACTAATAACTTGCTCAATATAAGGAATCCTTAAAAGAAAATACAACTAAAATGAAGATAACATTAAGTTAATTTAAGCAAAATTAGGATTATGTAAAAGTATAACTTAAAGAAAGGTCGATATGCTAAAATTTGAAATTGATAGAATTAAGGGAGACTTATAAGACATTAAAAAAAAATACTTTTAAATGAGAAAAGCAAAGGATAATGTATTTTATCCATTTTAGTTTAGAATCTACTTAAAAATGACTAAAATAGAGATTAAGAAGCACTTCAGTATAATGGTGGTAAAAATTAAAATGACTTGCAATCCTATGCATTATTTGGAGTTAATGCCAATAGAATAGGAAATTGAATTTCTTTTATTTAAATATATTATAAATAATATTCAAATGTGTTTACCTTTTGACAATAAAAAACCAAATACTTTTTAAGGAAAGAGATCAGTTTTTCAATTATAATTGATTGCTTTTATATAATTGGCATTATTATTTGCCAGATAAGTGGTCTCATTCAAATTAGGAGAACTATTTGAAATTTTCTTTATAATCTTATTATGGTCTGCTTGGTCTTCTTTAGGAAGTTGTCAATGCCTTATTTACATTGTTATAACTTTATATAATGTATTCATTATAATTACCCAAGATTTTATTAAAAGGGCTATATTTTGCTACTCGTTTTTAGAATGAATTACCCTTATTTGGTGAAACAGGAACTGAAAAGATTCTAGGAATTTTACATTTGACAACACTTTTCTTCTACATTATTGCCCAATATATTGTCTTTCTGGCTTATAGAGAATTCATGGCTTTGGAAATTGAGAAAGACTATATAGTTGAAGATCCTGAAAGTATGGATTAATTTACATAAAGGGAGACCTCTACAATAAAATGAAAGAAACTAATAGACCCCTGCCATAAAAAACTCTGCCTTTACAGGAAAAGGAATAACAATTGGTTGAAGAAAGATTTATTTATTTAGATTAATAAATGTTTAAAACAAGTTGTATTAAATTATGTAGTTATTATTAATTAATTCAAAATTATTTGTGTTAGCTGAATAGTCTTTGGTTCTATTAAAATATCATATTGAATAATTGTGTAACTGAATCAAATTTTTTAAAGTTATTCATTATTTTCATCCAATAATAAGATATAAAAATATAAATTAAAAATACACTAAATCCAGTTATATATATATATAAATATTAAGTAATAAAGATAGCTTAATTAAATTTTAATTAATATTGTTAAGATCAATTATATGAGACATTGCTTAATAATTTTCCAGTATCTAAATAGCATTTTACCTATTAAATTATATTAAAATTATATCTAAAATATTAGATAACAACTTTTTAAGGAGTTTTATTAATTCAAACTCTTACTAATCAATTAAGTAAAATAGTATATCTATAGTGTATTTCTGAATTTTTAAATTGTATTAATGATTCCATCAATTTTTTTCAAGATATTCAGGAAAATAAAATTGCATTTTCCAAACCAAATTCAGCTTTTTATTCAAACTTATCACATTTCAATTAAATAATTATATTTTAACATGATCTAGTTTTTCAAATAAATTATTTAATATAATATTATTTAGATTCTAAATATCCAATCATATTTTTTAAGTAAATATGTTCTATTCTATCAACTCATAGAGATTAACAAAAATTAGAAAAATAAATTATTTTCAAATAATATTTATTACAATCTCTTAATATGAAAAATATAACATCCAGTACTATTATACTATATAGTAGTTTTAAATTTGAGTATCTTCTTTTTTTTAGAGGATTATTTTCATTAAATCTATGTTTAATTGACTATTAACTTAAAATTATCTAAGAAATTAAAAAAATAAATCTAATAGAAAGTTTAATTATCTTTTTTTTGGATCAGATTTATAATGATTTGCAAATATCCTTGAAAGAACTTTTCAATTTACATAAAATAATTAATTAATTTTTATACTATTGCTTTAAAGATAAATTATTTTATAATTCAATAGCAAAATCAATATATATAATGCCTAAATGTTTCTATTTACTTAAAAAAAAAGAAAATGAAAAATTAATTATTGCTCTCATTTCTTTAGAATATTATTTCATTTAATAATTCTAAAACCAACCCATAGAAGGTAAAAATAAATATATATATGTTAATAATTACTTTATATTTTGTGAAATTAAGAAAGGATTATAAATAAAGAATAATCTTTTGGCATCTTATTTAAAAATAATTTTTAAATAATTGTATTAATGAAGTACATTGCTGCTTATGCTTTACTCGTTTTAGGAGGTAACAATGCCCCAAGTATTACTAATCATAAATATTTAGCTGAGGATGATGTTACAAAATTACTTAAAGAAGCTGGAGTTGAACCAGTTGCTGCAGATGTTAAAAATGTAGTCAATACATTAAAAGGAAAAAATTTGAATGATGTTATTAAAGAAGGGTAAAAGCAATTGACAAGTTTATCAGTAGGAGGAGGAGCATGTAATTATAATTTATTATAATTAAGCATAAAGCTCTGCCCCTGCACCATAAGCAACATCCACTGCTTAAACAGCTCCAGCACCAAAAGCTGAACCACCAAAGAAGGTTGAAGAACCAGAAGAAGATGTTGATATGGGAGGACTCTTTGATTGAGCATTCATTAAGTTTCATGTAAATCCAATAATTGTATAAATTTTTTATTATTAATATGTAATTAATAAATACAATTTGTCTCTTTCTATTATTAATTTCAATACTCATTTTTCTATATTGATTTTTTTTTAAGGATTACTATAAACTATTTATAAATTTGTTCTAAAATATAAACATTTAATTATATATATATATAAAAAACATGGTATAATTTTTCCATCTCTTCTACTATTAGATATTAGGGTTTTAAAAAGTATAAGAATAATTAACATAGGTCTAACATTATAATTATAGCTAAGCTTTCTTAAAATGAAAATAATCTTTTTGAGTTTTTTTTTTTAAACCAAAATGGTTAAATAAATCTAATTAAAATATAAACAAGAATAATACCTTTAATAATATTTAAAAGATATTGTCGTTTTTACTATTTTATTGAATAGCTTTGTCTATTTAAATCTAAAAATTGGCGATATTGCTTTTTCTTTAAAATAAGTTACAATTTAATTATATAACTTGATGAACTTTAATATATATGTCTATAAGAATTAATTTTCATTTATCATTTAAAGATTCATAAAACTCAGGATAGGAATCAAAAAATAAATTCTGTTTTATTGTACTTTAGGATTTTTAACAAAAAAGATATTTCAATTCAATTTAATTTTATTTTAATATTATAAAGTATTATAATTGTTATTAAACCTTTAATTATTATTTGCATTGATTTAATGTTAGAAAGATTCTTCGTTTCTGATATATCTATTAAGAGAAATAGCTACAATTAAAATAGAAGTATTCAAAGGATAGGCAGATATAAATTGGAAGAAGTAAATTAGAGGAATCACTCTAATCAAAATTTTAATTTTTAGAATTTATTAAGTAATAATTCATTGGCTATTAATTGATACCTATGAAATAGTTATAGAATATTGGTTGATGATTTTGAATCAACATCTATTTAATAAGGATGTGGAAAAACATAAAAAAAATAAGATTTATTATAATTTAAGTGTCTCATGTTTGAGATTAATAAATCAGATTTATTAATATCTTAATTAAGTTCGATGAATATGACAGTTAAGCTAATCAGAAAATCAAAAAGATTCAACTTTTGCTCTCTTATTGATGAGGAAGAAAGTAATAAAGAATAAGGAAGACTTTAAAAGTAACACAAGTAATCACTTTAACTGAATTCAAATTTTGAAAACTAAGTTTATGATAACTATTCATCCAACATGAATAGTTTAGACAATAATTGTATGATTTTGTGTGTTATCTAGTAATTGGTGATATAACTGAAAATTTGGACAGCGTTTATTCGCATAAATTGATGAATAAAAATCATTAATAGATAACCAAAGCCACTAATGATTCAAAAAACAAATTAATACGCTATACTGTGAAGAGGGATAAGGATACGAAAAGGAAAAAGTAAAAGAATAGAGGAAAACAATTCTCATTAGAAGAAGATCAAAGATTGTTGAACTACATTTTAAAGAAGGGACCTAAGTTTTATAAGTTTTCAAGATACTTCCCAGGAAAAACAACTAACATGTTAAAAAATAGATATTATAAATCATTAAGATTTAAATGGGATCAAGTTCTTGGAAAGTATAACATTTAATTAATCATTTCATAGTTAATATTAATACCTGAACCCATAATCTGAAGAATTGATTCCAATCATGGGCTAAGAATCCTCTGCATTCATGTTTGATGAACTAATTTAACTAAATTTATTTCCAGAAGCAGAAGACTTGTTGTCAAATTTTATTGGCAATTTATCCTAAGCATTTAGTGATATTTATGCAAGCTTCCCTTTGGAGAATAATTGATCATAATATATATATATTATAATGCATCGAGTAATAAATTTTTATCCTTATATTTCAAAATAATAGTTGCATAACTGTGTATTCTCATTTATTTCCTTTCAATTAGCTTGATTATGTAGAATAGAAACCTTCCTCCCTTTATTGGATAACGATTGCTAAACTAAAACAAAATACAAATGACTTTTTCTTATAAATATGTTGAACTAACTTAATAGATCTTTATCCTAAGAAACCTATATGAAATAAATTATATAATAAATTATCAACATTGTTATGACTTACTATAATCATATTAAATGAGGAGCTAATTCCTTCAAATAAAAATTTTGCTTTCAGTTAGTTTAGAAAAATCAAAATAATTTTTTTTTTCCTACTTATTTTAATGTTAATGATAATCCGAATAAACAGAGCAAATTAATTAATTTTAAATCAAGATAAATCAATTTTTAAATTACAAAACAATTTATCTCTGAATATTTAGGAAAAAAAACGAACAAATATATAAAAATTATTAAACATCATATTCTTCTTACTCTAGTTTATTAAAGAACTTCAAGTATATTTTTTCGATTATTTTTACACACTAAATAAAAGTCTTTAAATCATTTTTAATATATAAGAATTATTTAAAATTTTTGTACTTATTAAAAATTTAATATTAAATAAGTATTAGATTAATATTTTATAATTCATTTATAATAAAGTTTTATAACGTTAGCTTATTACTTTTTATATTTTTACAAAAAAAACTAAATGCTTTAATAATGAAGACTTTGAAATACTAGATTAATTTACATTAGAAAAGGAAATATTAAAGGATCAAAAAGACGTTAATTCATACCAATATTAATTATATATTGATATTATTGTAATTTAGGCAATTTCATTTAGACAACAATAATATTCTAAATAGATCATTTCCATTTACTTATTTGATAAAACTTATTATTTAATTAAATAATTATTGATTAATTTGCTTATAATTATATTGAATAAGAGATAATCATAATATATAATTATTTATTAATAAGGAATTTAAAGTTCTCTATTTTATTAATTTATTTATTAAAATCATTAGAATCCTTAAATCTAAGTTTCAATGTTTAATAACAATTTTCTAGTTTGCTCATATTATAAATTAATGAAAAAAATATAGAAAATTATAATAATTTAATAAACAGACTTAAGAGAAAACAAAATTAATGAGTATTCAAAAGCAATTTTTGCTTTTTTGTAAGATTTACGAAACTACAATTATTTTGTTTCCATTAGGGTAGTTAAAGACATCTGTTTTAGTTTATGATTCATTTTTGTCCTTTTTTCTGCTTGCCTAAATTTTATTAAGGCATCTGTGTAATAGGGATAAATTAACATATAATACCTTTAAATATTCATTCCACAAAAATAAGGATGTTAAAGAGCATCTGAAGCAGATATTCTTTTGGAAGGATCAAGAGTAAGCATTTAATCAATTAGATTTATTAATTATGGAGACATTTTTTTTTCTAGTAAATTTAAAAGTATTCTTGGTTGTGGATCTTCATTTATTAGAGTAGAGTAATTTTTGAAGGAAGTCACACCTGTCCAATTTTCTATTTTATCATTTAGAAATATACCTTCGTTTGGAGTTCCACAATATTTTAGGATTGATTTAAAACTTGCGAGTTCAGATTATCCTTAAAATGGATTGCTTTTAAAGAGCAATTAAATAAATAGCACTCCTGCAGACCAAACATCAACCTTTGAGCAATATTTTTAACCTAATATTAGTCATTTAATAAACCAAGGAACACTTCTGGAGCCCTGTATGAATGATTTTGAATTCGGGTTGTTTGTGGCTTTTGTTTATTTAAATTTTGAGCCATTCCCAAATCACATATTTTAATTTCCAAGTTTCTGTATAAAATATTGTTAGCTAAAATAAGTAATGTATATATATACGTTTTATATCTCTATGGATAATTCCTTAATTGTGTAAGTAAGCCAAGCCTTAAAGCACTTAAAACATGATGATTTTGGCTTATTGTTCTGAGAAAGTATCTCTTCTTAAAGCTGTTAATAAGTCTTCTTCCATATATTCCATAATTATGTAAGTTCTATTTTATCCCCATGCTAAATCTTTAAAAGAGACAATTTGTTGACATCTGATGGATTTAAGTATTTCAATTTCTCTTAAGGCTTATACATTAATCTTGTATAAATAATATATCAAACCCCTTAATCAGCATTGCTATGGCGTAATTCTTTAATAGCAACTGTTTCTTGGGTGCGCTAATTTACACCTTTATATACAGTTCTAAGAATAAGAATAATATATACCCATATTGACCATAGCCTAAAATCTTTTAGAGAATATACTTTTTTTTTAATTCATCTGTTTACATTTAAGAAGTAGATATTCTTTAGAAAGTAATTTCCTTATACATAGAAATAGAGAAATATTTTAATTGTATAAATTAATGAAATCAAAATAATTATGAATTTACAATATAATATTGATAATAAAAAAATCGATAGAAAATTTATATAAATTAATTAATTAACAGAATATCACTCTAATAACATATATTCATCAGTAACAATTGAATTTGTTGCCTTTCTTCCAACAAATCCAAATATCCACCAATGCATCAATCCAAATATAAAAGATTCTATTATTAATTGACTCAATCCCATTCTATGTAATATATCAATTTCAGTAACAAAACCTTATAAAAACATAATTAACCATCCTGGAATAAATGCTAATTATATAATAATAAATTATTTTTAATTAGCTTTGTTTTTTGGCAATTAAATGAAACCCATAACTACTAAACAAATAAGAATTGTTATTTAACAAAATGTAGGTTCCAATCCTAAAATTGTATTAAATCTATAATGTTAATCTAAATATATATATATATTAATTTACAATCTCCTACAGTGAATTATCTCATATAACAAGTAAAATAATTTGTAATCCAATCAATATTATCATTATAATCTTTTAATGTATAGTATATAAGTGCTATAATAAATAAAAAAGACACTACTCCTAATACTTTCATTCCAAAAAGTTTATCATTGTCTTTTGATTTTATAAATGTTGTTATTTTTTTATCATAATTTATTACAAAAGCATAAAAAAGCATAAAATAAACAAAACCTAGAACTAGATCCATCAAAAAAACTTAGGCTGAAATATAAACAGCAAAACAATATAATAAAATAGAAACTGAAGCTATTATGTAAGCTTTAAGTTAGCATTAATTATAATAGAGTAATGTAAATATAAAAAGTGCAGGTAAGTAGATTGAATCTCCAGGGCCACCATATTTTTAATCACAAAAATATGTATCAATATCAGAATCAACCCAAAAAGGTTATGGCAAATTATAAATCATTTGTAAAAGCATTAAAAAGTACCATCCAAAATATAGAATAAACATACATTTTATAGCAATAAAGCGATCATGTAAAAAATAGATGGTACTCAATACATGCATTGTAATCAATAAAAATACATATTATTCTTAGATATTTGCAAGTAAGAAAAAAGGTATAGATTCAATTATATGACCATTAATTCCCATTCCATTTTATATTGATATAAGTGCTTAAACTTCAAATGCTTATAAGGGTTCTTTGAAAAACATATCCAGAATAAGAATGAAAGTACAAATTAATAATAATGTTGTGGCTTTAAGTATTCTTTTCTTATATGGTATTATCATGGATTCCATTTTAATAAAAAAATAAATTAATTAAAAAACAATACTTTATATGTATAATTATATTAAATATATTTTCTAATGTTTATCTTATATCATATCATAATCATAAAAATAGCCATGATTACTATGTAAATTATTTTTCCTGCACAAACATCACATTTGTTTGAACTACTTATCCATCTATATGTTTATAAGGTTTAATTATAACAAGTATTTATGTTGAGTTAAGATGTGTCACTAGCAGCAACACAATTGTTATTTGCAGAATTCCATTAACACAATTAATACACAAATTTATTGAGTTGGGTTTAGAAGTAAGTGCAAGTATAATTATTTCCAAATTAAGCACAACTTGCTTATGTACAATTACTTATTGTTGCATTCCATTAACATGCATTTCCAATTGATGAACAAGTATTTGGATTCAATTAACCACAACTTGTAATTTCTGAGCATCCACTGGTACTCCAAAAGCAAATTCCATTAGAAGAAATTGTTAAATCACAGCTAGTTTAATTTGAATATGATGAACAAGATTTTAAGGCTTCTTTGCTTGCACAGTTCTTACCATCAGATTATGGACAATTATTTGATTATGCATAGCATTCTGCTTAGTTGACTCCTGTTAATTAATTGCAAAGTGTAAAATCAACACATCCTTTGCCATTCCACATACATTTCAAATTTTTGGCACAACTTGTTTGATCACCAATACTTGAACAAGATACAGTTGAACATGAACTACCTTTTGAGTCCCAAACACATATTGGAGATGATTGTGCACAATCCTATTATGTTGTTAAATCACCACATGTGCATTTATTATTAGCATTGAAAGTTAATTGAGCATAAGTGATGGAGATCAATGCAATTACTAGAATCATTTTGTTCATTTTAAATAAATATTAATATTCCACATTTTAATATTTTACACTTTAAAATCACCTAATTTAGTGTATCATATATTCTTTAAAGTATTAGTTTATTTGATCATTCATATTCAACCATTGTTATGATTGATCTACTCAAAATAGAAAACTAAAGTATTATTTTAAATATAAATATACCATTATGTATATAAATATACAAATAATATTATTACATGTTTGATATTATGATCAATAATAATAGAAATTGTTATTATTTTTAGAATTGAATTATTAATGATAATATAATAACAATAAACTAAGAATATATGCTTTTGGGATATTCAAATTTATATTATGATTAATTAAAAAAATGCTAAAAATACATATACAAATATTCAATATTAATTAATATAAAATTCAATTTAAAATCAAATTAAGTATCTATAATCATTAAGTTTAGTAAGGTGATGTCCATTTAATTCTTTTTCCATTTTCCCATTCACCTTCTCTAAATAAACCACTCTTAGAGTAAAATGTTCCTTATCCATGTTCTTTTCCATCCACCCAATTTCCTTTATACATTGATCCATCTTAATATGTAAAATCACCAAAACCATGCTTTTTATCTTTAATATACTTTTTATTATTATTATTATAAATTACATATCCATCATAAGATCGACCATCAGGCCAAGTGAATGTTCCATATCCATCCATCAAGTTTTCTTTCCATTGTCCATCATATTTACGGCCATCAGAAAAATAAAATGTTCCTTTTCCATTAAATTTATTATTAACAATAGATCCTTTATACCTTGTTTTAGCTGAACTAATACTTGGATCCATCTGAGAAATTAAATTCACCAAATCCTGTTTTAATGCCATCAATAAATCTTCCCTTAAAGTTTGTACCATCAGGAAATCTCTCAATGCCTTCCCCTTATTATTTATCATTAATCCAGTTTCCCTCATATATGTATCCTTTGGATGTAATTTATTTTCCATACCCATTTGCCATGTTTCCCTTGAATTCCCCCTAATAATAATCTCCATTTTCGAATATAAGCCTTCCTTAACCATTCATTTTATCATCTTTCCAAAATCCTTCGTATACACTCTTATCCTTAAATATTGCCCTTCCTTTACCATGTCTTTTACCTAATTTCCATTATCCAATATATATAGATTCATCTTGTAATTAATATGGATCTAAAAAGGGAATATTTAAATCATCTTCATCATAATATTAACTCTCTTGTTTTAAAAACTCTTTATAATTAAAATTTCCAATCCGAAAAATGATTTAATGTATACTAGCAGGATAATCACTTTATTTTCTATCTAATTTTAATCCATTTACAGGAGAATGATCCACTGTAGCAACCATTTCCTCTATTTATTCCATTTTTACACCTTCTTAAGAAGGTTATGGATGAATTATTGTATTTTCAATATGTTCTTAATGACTTCTTTGACTATCATTTGTTATTGAGATAGGTACTATCGATCTTCTCTTTCTTTTTTAATACTCTATTTTTATAAGTATTAGAATACATCTATATGCTCTCTAGATTATTATAGCATTTTTTGTGTAAACAGTTAAAAATGAAAATTCAAAACTAGGCATAAGACTTTGAATAGTTTATTGAGTATTACAACATGCTCCCATTATTAATTAATATTATGAATTTAATAGGATAAAAAGTATTATTAGATGGTCAAGTAATTGATACTTTGTCTAATTAAAAGTTCAAATTACCTGATACTAAAGTTTATGCTTGGTCATTTCATAAATAAAATATTGTTGCACTTGGAATAGCAAACAATATTTAATTATGGACAGAAAGAAAGCCTAATGATTGGTAATTAGCTATTACATTTTAATCTCATCAATATCCTATCATTCATTTATCATGGGCACCATATGATGTAACTTTTGCATCAATTGATCAAACTGGATAAGCATTAATTCATAATAAAAAATAAGATAATTGGGATTAACCAATATCATTAAATTAAGAAAAATATTAAGTAATAGCATTTGCATAAAATAAATCTACTATAGCTGCAGGAGGAAAATGTTTGGATTGTATTAATTAAATCTAATTTTTAGTTTATGAAAATTTCAAATTAGTGCATAGAGTTAATTTACCTGTCTAATAATTAGCATATAGCTTCACAGATCGATTGTTAGCTGTTAGTGATAATTCTATCAGTATTTTTGAGAGGAATATATTAAAATAACACATATTACTTGAATAGATTCCATCATCTGTTTAATGGTCATTAAGTGGATCTAAAATTTATATTTAAATTCTAAATGAAACATTTCAGTATGTGGAAAATTTATATAATGAATTTGTATTATAAGATTGAATAATATTTAACAGATATATTTATCTAATTATTTAAATATATTTCAAATACTATCGATAATTACTTATTCATATCATTTCTATATTATTTGTTTGTTATCTTGATGATATAATATTAAATTTTATGCTTATACTATAGAATTATAATTATCTCTTGTTTTTATACTGGCATTCTTAAAATCTATTTATTATATTTACTATTATTAGAATAGTTAAAAATAAGTAGAAAATTGAAGAGAGTTCTAAAATTTTAATAAATGTTATGCTTAAAATAATGTATAATATATATATCATACATTATTTTAATTATTTATAAAATTGTATCAAGAAGTGCAAATTAATTTTACATCAATCTAATTATAATCAATATTTATAAGGAAATATAAATTAAATCAAATTTTTAGTGATGATTATCATTATTTATAAAGAATTTTTAACCAATAAATATAACTATCTTTCAAGAGTAATTATCAGATCTTTTTTATTACACATAACTCATAAAAACAAATCAAAATTTTTACAAACAATTTGAAGAAGAGATAGATATAATTCTTCTATTTATTTTGTTCACATAAATCTTCATATCCTTTAATTTAAAAACAAGCTACTTTGTGTAAAATTAATCTTGAATTTTTGATTTAGAATTTCTTAACATATTTTTATATGAAATAACTTAATGGTTGTAAACTAAATACTTACTATTTATTTTTTAGACAATAGGCAATTATAATTGAATAAAAATAAAAAAATTAATAATTTTATTACTAACTTTCAGAGTTTAGAATTCTAAATAATTATTAAAAAGTAAATCTAACTATTAAAATCTATATAATCTTATAATTTAAAATATTGTTGGAATAATGGAAAATTAAATTTAGAATGATTTTTTAAATTCTTATTTTCCTAAAAAAAAATAATATTTTAAAAATTTAAAATAGGTCAAAGGACTTTTGATTTTTTAAATCTTAATAAATTGTATTTCTTATTATAAATTATTTGATTTATTACAAAAATTATATATGTGGTTGAATAATATATTTATTATTATCAATTTAAATGCTTTTAGTTTCAATAATATTTATAATTATAATGAAAAAATCAATTAGTTCAATCTAATAGGTTATAAAGACAGGAACTTAGATAGTAGAATATACTTAGTTTTAAAAGCATGAAATTTTCATTTAGCCTCCAATAAATTAATGGAAATAGCTAATAATGGATAATTTTGAATGGTTTCTATTAGCAATGTTTCTGGTCTATTGTGTGACATTCTTTTTCATGTACAAGATATTTAGCAAAAAATCTAATTAATTAATTGCTAAAGCTAGAAAAGAGAGTGCAACTAGTGATGAATTATAAAAGTATTACGTGTATACTAAAGATGTAGTTCAATTCGTATTGGTACTGATCAAAATGAAAAGCAAAGGAAAGACTAAACATCTAGTACGGATTCCTCACCTAGGATTATTTAAAAGGAACCTGAAAATAATTAGCTTGCATTGCCTGATCATGGTATCAAACTTTAAGGGCGTTAAATATCTGAATAAAGAGAAAAAATCATTTAATTGGAAAGAAATAAAGATGATAATACAATAAAATATATAGANGTAATTATCAGATCTTTTTTATTACACATAACTCATAAAAACAAATCAAAATTTTTACAAACAATTTGAAGAAGAGATAGATATAATTCTTCTATTTATTTTGTTCACATAAATCTTCATATCCTTTAATTTAAAAACAAGCTACTTTGTGTAAAATTAATCTTGAATTTTTGATTTAGAATTTCTTAACATATTTTTATATGAAATAACTTAATGGTTGTAAACTAAATACTTACTATTTATTTTTTAGACAATAGGCAATTATAATTGAATAAAAATAAAAAAATTAATAATTTTATTACTAACTTTCAGAGTTTAGAATTCTAAATAATTATTAAAAAGTAAATCTAACTATTAAAATCTATATAATCTTATAATTTAAAATATTGTTGGAATAATGGAAAATTAAATTTAGAATGATTTTTTAAATTCTTATTTTCCTAAAAAAAAATAATATTTTAAAAATTTAAAATAGGTCAAAGGACTTTTGATTTTTTAAATCTTAATAAATTGTATTTCTTATTATAAATTATTTGATTTATTACAAAAATTATATATGTGGTTGAATAATATATTTATTATTATCAATTTAAATGCTTTTAGTTTCAATAATATTTATAATTATAATGAAAAAATCAATTAGTTCAATCTAATAGGTTATAAAGACAGGAACTTAGATAGTAGAATATACTTAGTTTTAAAAGCATGAAATTTTCATTTAGCCTCCAATAAATTAATGGAAATAGCTAATAATGGATAATTTTGAATGGTTTCTATTAGCAATGTTTCTGGTCTATTGTGTGACATTCTTTTTCATGTACAAGATATTTAGCAAAAAATCTAATTAATTAATTGCTAAAGCTAGAAAAGAGAGTGCAACTAGTGATGAATTATAAAAGTATTACGTGTATACTAAAGATGTAGTTCAATTCGTATTGGTACTGATCAAAATGAAAAGCAAAGGAAAGACTAAACATCTAGTACGGATTCCTCACCTAGGATTATTTAAAAGGAACCTGAAAATAATTAGCTTGCATTGCCTGATCATGGTATCAAACTTTAAGGGCGTTAAATATCTGAATAAAGAGAAAAAATCATTTAATTGGAAAGAAATAAAGATGATAATACAATAAAATATATAGAAACAAATAAAGTGATTCGCAAAATTAAAGCTGATGATGAATAATTAGAGTTTGTGACTCATTAGTTTATTGATTTTAATAAAAAAAATGCTATTGGTGTACACATGATAGAATAAGATAATGGAGATGGAAAACCAGAAAGAATTATACACATTCTAACAGATTGGAGTAGATATTGTTTAAATGGAAAGTTCCAGAATAACTACACTTCTCATAAACTTATAGGTAAAGGGACATTTGGAGAAGTTTATAAATGTCAAAAAATTATTGATCTTTAAGAATATGCTATTAAAAGAATTTTTTTTAAAGTTAAAAATGAAAAAAGTTTAAGAGATCATTCAATTTTTAGAGAAATAAAATCACTTTAAGAAATTAATCACAAAAATATAGTTAGATATTATACTAGTTGGATTTAAGAGGAGACTACAGAAGTAATTGCAGAAATTAAAGAATTAAATTAACTTGTAGCTGAATAACAATAAGCTTAATCTAAAGAGTCTTAGAATTCATATCATCCTTAATTAATGGATGAAATGTCTTATATGAATGATTATGTTTAATTTGTTGGTGGTGAAAATGATGCAGAAAATGAATAATAAATTTAAACAATTTCTAAATAATCAAAAACTGTGCAGAGTTTTCATTTATCAGATTTTAGTAGTTAAATTCAATCTAGAATGCGTAGATTGCATTTTAATCCAAATTAAAAAGATGAATAATACTAATTATTTACATTATACATTGAAGTAATTATTAATATATTAATGTATTAGATGGAATTATGTAATTCTACATTAAAAGATTTCATCGATGAAGTTGATAGAAAAAAAGATTATCCTAAAATTAAATCTATATTTATATAAATATTAGAAGGAATCATTTATATGCATGATAATTTATATATTCATAGAGATTTAAAGTAATCTTATTTAAAATAAAACTTAGGCCTTAAAATATATTTATTAATTCAAAAAAAGAAGTTAAAATTGGAGATCTTGGATTGTGCAATTCTATTATCAATAAACGAGATGATGATCTATCGTATTCTTCTAGTGAATTTACAAATAATGTTGGAACTCCTATGTATATGGCACCAGAGGTCAAAGAGGATCAATATGGTCCAGCAGCTGACATCTACTCTTTAGGAATAATATTATTTGAAATGATGTGGAAGATAAAAACTCACAGTGAAAAAACAAAGTATCACTTAAAATTAAATTTAGATTGATATAAGCTCTCACCAAAGATTCTATCATACCTTTTGATTTATAAAAAGATCACCCTGTTGAAGCAGAACTCATACAATTAATGGTAAATAAAAATCCATAAAAACGACCAACTGCTTAAAAAATTTTAGAAACTTTAAAACAATAATGATAATATAAACACTATCATAATTTTTTTCTATATTTTATAGATTATATTGATTATATTATACATAAAAATTATATTGAAATGAAAAATATTCTACTCTCAAAATTAGAGATTCGATTTAAAAATAATTTATTTAATAATATTGGTTAATAGGAGCTTTTGTTTTACTTATGGTAAATTAGAACCATTAATTATAAATTTACTATTTAACTCATTGAAATTAATATTTAGAATGTAGTATAGATTCAGTAATAAATGAAAGAATTATCTAGTTTAAAGGATGTAAAGCTAAAATGTAGTATTGATAGTTATCCATAATAATATTTTGTGATTCTAAAATGTTAATGACATCCAGATCATGAATATTTAGCATAATAATTATGATACTAATACATATTATACTTTAAGATGGCTTAAAATTATAAAGGTCAATCTAATAAATAATTCTAATACAATATAATGTTTGGAAATTAAAGACTTATAGTAAAACATATATTTCTCAAGAACTTTAAAATATCTGCTGAATCAAATTAAAAATAGAAAATGCTAGAAATAAATAAAATTTAGAAATAATCAATGTTATAAAAATAAATAAGATAATTAAGAAAGAAATTAAAAATAAAGAGTTAGATGATCAAGTAGAAACAAGGGAAGCAAAAAATGAAATAGTTTGCTTAATTAAAGTAGAAGATATATAAAATTTAGTAACATAGTTTAATTTAAATTATTCTAAATTTTAATAGAAAACCTTGAATTAACTTAGCTAACTGATATCAATAATGTTTCATAGACAAGATTATTAATTAAATTGATTTAAATCAGTTATAAAAAGGTTTGTCAATATTGAATTAAATTTTGATAATTATAAATTAAATTTAGAATGAATATGCTGGAAAATATAGGCTTGAGCATTTAAAATTTACTAGAAAAGTATTTGGGTTTAATTTAATTTCGTTTGATGCTGACATTCCTTAATTAAAGATATTTATTGAAATTCTTATAAGTAGGAATTAAATATAGATATTGAAGAAAATGACAAATATAACTTTTTGGTAATTTATCTAACTCCATAAATTTTACATAAATGGAAGTCTCAATGTAATAAAAATATAAAGGAAAAATTGGATAAGTTTAAGGTGGAAAGTAGTATTATTCACCTTCAAAAGTTAAATAATTAAACAATAATTGTGGATTCAGAAGTTAATTTTCGAATATAAATTCTTATATTTTGATTTTAAATATAAATATTTTAATAGATATAGAAGTGTAATTGAGAATAGGTTAATTTAGATGGGTTTGATGATTGATAATATGGGAATAGTTTAATTTTTGATTTAATGAAAGCCAAATATTGGGATTCTGATTTAGTATTCCATGAATAAATGTTAAGTGAAGTTTGATTAATTTTAAAAGGATAAGTGATTTTGTATATAATTATTTATAAAATATATAAATTAATTGGAAATGTTACCTAAAATGTTAGGTAATATTTAAATTTGATCATCATTAGATGCTTCCTTCTTGTATGGAGAGAAGAGATTCTTGAAGAAGCTTAATAGATAATAAGATGAAAAGTATTATGTTATTGATTAGTAATGAGATTAATTAAAACCAAGAAATGACATTTGAGGAGGTTCTATCTTCAAATATTGATTGCAGAGATAAAATAGAAAAGTTAGTTTCTGATCCCAATTTATAGAATGATTTTCTAATAAAAGCACATAATATAAACAAAGATTTGAAAGACTTCTATTATCTTCCATTGGTTGCATTAACTTTAGATCCTCCTAGTTATTATCCAGTTGATACAATTGATATTGAAACAATATTTTAACATTTTGGATAAGTATTTAATTTATTAAATTATTCGAGATACTCAAAGTTATCAATAAAGATAAAATAGCTTATATTTTAATGAGAAGTATAGTTGAATGTTGGATTGCAGTCAAATTACTTAATAATACACCAATTGAATTACCTGGTAGATTTGGAACTAATTAGATTCATACTCTTAAAGTGTAATTATGTTTTGAGGATTCTTCTGTTCATCATATTTATCAATTTAATCATCGAAGTTTAACTGAAGAAGGTTTAACTATATAAAAGGTAAGAAGTATTAATTTTTAGGAAGACTCCAGATTTATTTGATAATTTAGAGAAAGAATATAAATATATATCTATATTTGAAATTGATGTAGATGTATTTTAGAAAGATTTCAATATTAAATAAAGAATATTGGGATTAAAGGGTTCAAATATAATTAGAATATTATATTTAGTAGAGAAAGCATTTGCATTTTAAACTAAAGAAAATACAAGTACTAAATAAGAATTAGATGTAAAATTATTGGTGGATGAATGTAAATTCCTATATTATTTAGAGAATCTGAAAATTAGTTGATTTTACTTGGAAACTAATGGAATAAATTTGTATTAGCATAAAAATATGCAAATGAATTATTTGCTTAAATTAAAGAAGAGTTTAAATTCTTCTAAGATTTCCAACTTTAAGGATTAAAAGAGTCCAGAGTTAGAAGAATTGATAAATTTGTTTAACCTGTTGAAGTTTAATATTCATATGATGCAGATTTGTGAATAATATATATTGAGTATTTTCTATATTAATATTAAATTGTTATAGATATATAATATATCTGATATTAAGCTCAAAAAGCAATTAAATATATTGCAATCGTAAATGCTATCAATAAAGAATAACATTCTTAACATCTAGATCCATGTCCCTCATCTGAAACCCAACTATATGTATGTCCTGAATTTTAATAACATGTATTTTCATCAAATCTAAAGTATTTATCAGTATATTATTAACACACTTTATTCTACCATTCGCATAATTCAATATATGAATTTTTGAAATTTACAATCACAAATGTACATTAATCTTAATTCTTATAATCCTGACATTTAAATGGAACACATTTATTAAATGAATTACTCCATGTGCATATTCTATAAAGTGCATCACATTAGGTTAATTAAGTTATTGCATCACAATTAACCATCTATTAACATCCATTATTATTCCAGTAACAAAATCCATCTGATGATGGAATACCTAATGTACATTAACTTGCTGTTTGATAAGAACTACAAGAACTTAATTATGATTTAGATTTGCATATACCATTTGACAAACCTGGACAATTTGTTGATTAGGCTAGACAATCCAAAGCTGTTGCTCCTGAAAGATTAGAACAAGATGTAAATTATACACAAGCCTAATTTGACCACATACATGATGGTAGAGTTGAACAATTACCTTAATCAAAGATGTTTACACAATCATTTTATTTACAACTACCAGAATCATTTAATTTACATTTTGGCACAGAACTTAAACATTCAATATTAGTTAATTAATCACACTAACAAGTCTTAGGTAATTTAATAAGATCCAATGAACATGATATACAATATCCTTTATTTTAAGTATTTGACCAATGATAAGTTCCTCCAGTTTCTAAATGACAACTATCAATTGTTTTATTAGTCAAAGTAGTTGATGTAGCATTTTGACATTAAGTTGTAGCTGCATTCCATTCACACAATTTGATTGAAGAACTATTTAAATTTTCAAATATGTAAGTACAATTTTCTTTTTCAGATATACTAGAACAAGTTATTGTAGTACATTCATTAATTGTAGTATTCCAAATACAAAAATGTTGTAATCCAACACAATAATTATAAGTTTAAATTGAAGAACATGAAGAAATTACATGACATGCTTAATTATTATATGTACAATAGCCTTCTTATCCAATACTATTAGCACATGCTGCTTGAGTGGTTATACTACTACATGTTTATAAATATGACCTATCTTAACATACTCCATTCAAAGTAGTTGGACAATTAATACTTTAAGCTAAACATTCCAAAGATGAATTTCCTTTTAATGTTGTACAGAAATTCAATTATATCTATATTTGATTACATCTATTTTAACTAATCTACCAATAACAATATCTTTATTATGAACATTCAAATTAATTTTAAATATTTGTACATGAATTTTGAACACATTAATTATTTGACCAATTACAAAATGGATATTTACATTCACTTTAATTAAGTATTTATGAACATGAACATTTATTTTCATATTGAACAGCATATGATGGTAAATTGCAAGGAACACAAAATCCTGTTGTTTAGGAATCTGAAGTCCAACGACTTGTTCCATTTGAATTTGTAAAACATGTATTAGCATCTGTTGCTTATTGAATAATGATAGGTTGACATACACCATTCTACCATTAACAAGGTTAAATTAAATTTGGATCAGTTATGCTTAAAACATATGTACAAGAATATTTTGTTTTATAATTAGCACATGTTCTCTCTTAACAAAAACCATAATAAGTAGTGTTAATCCATGCACAATATAAAGAAAATTATTCACAACTTAATTAACCCAATCCTCCACAAGAGTGAAATTTAGTACATCTTTAAATTCGATAGTCCCAGGCGCAAATACTTTTACCTGTACCATACACACCAACACAAGTATCTTATGTTTTATGCTCTTCACATTCAGGAAAATCTTTTAAACTTGAACAAGTCTTTAATCCAGGATTATAAGGACAGTATAATGAATATGATAAACATTCATCTAATGATTCTCCTTTAATTTGACTACATGAAGTGAATTTTGTGCAACCTTTTGTTGTCCACATGCATTTCATGTTAGTTACGCATAAGTTTTCAGGTAAGGCTGAACATTCATATTCTTAACAAGATTTTGAGGTTTGACTCCAATAACATAATGAATTCTAAATACAATTTATTTATGAGATAAGTTATTGACAACTGCATTTAAAAGGATTAGGTATATATTTAACTCCACAACTAATACAAACACCATTATAACTTAATGTTTAACTCCATCTAGCTGTTTTAGCAGTATTTGAATAACAATTAGCACTATTATATGCTGTTAACATAGAACCTATTTATTCACAAACATTAGTAGTTATATTCCATTTGCATCCAATAGGAGTAAATGAATTAAGAGATTAATAATAAAATTTGCATTATTCTGGAGTTGTAAAAGTGCTACATGTAGATTAATTACATTAATCTTTTGACCAATTACATACATATTCATATATTCCACAATAAGTAGAATTTAAGATTTGGTTGCATTTTGATAAGACTTAACAACTACTACTTGTTTTATTCCAAATACAAAGACCATCACTTCCCAATTAATTAGTACATAATGAAACCTATGTAAAACTTTGGCAAGGAGAATAGTAGTATTTATTTTAACATCTTACACCATCACTATAGGGACAGTTAATTGATTGAGATATGCAATCTTTAGGTGTTGATCCAAATAATCCAAAACATGTTTAAAAGTCAGAACAACCATATTCTGTCCATTGACAGTAAATGTTTTGAACACATAATTCTTAATTAGTTATAGATAAGCAATTTTACAACTTACAAATTTAACCATTCCAATTACATAATGGATTAGCATAACAATCTTATGCTAAATATAATTAGGAACAAGAACATTATTCAGGTAATATGATAGATGCTTAAAAGCATTTTACACATTTTGATCCTGTATACATATAAGTAAATTGAGAATTAGAACTACATTGTGCCTCATTTAGATTTAATATATTTTTAGCATTGGAACAAGAATTATTAGTCCATTCACATATTTGTATATCTGTTCCATTCAAATTTTTGAACACAAAAGTACATTATTTTTACTATTTAACATTTGAACATGTTAATTGTTAACACTTATTATTAACTGTAGACCATAAACATAATCTTGAAATTTGATTACATATATTTTCATCAATTATATCTGTACAAGATTAAAGACTTTAACAAACTTATTTGGCTTCATTAAAATAACAAATTCCTTCATTTGTAATAGATCCATCACATTATGATTAATAAATTTAACTACATAAACCATAAGAAGAATAACAAGTTTAATACATATAATTTGGACAATTTCTAGATTAAGTAATACAAGTTAATAAATTTACTGCTATTAATTAATTACAACTATAAAAGTTTTAACAATTCTATGATTATAAATTCCAATAACAATTTTTATTCATACTACATTATAGTTAATTATTAATTTAATTACATTGAATATCTTAACAACTATTTTAAATCCATTAACAATATTATGATGAATTACATGCTGTTTCAAGCATGAATTATTCACAAGCACATTTATTAGCAGGTTCAAATAATTATTAAGTACAACTTACACAAATACCATCTTTCTAAGTTCCTACCCATCTGTAATTTAATAAAGTATTAGTCTAACATTAATCTTAAGTTTAGAATAATGTTTATGAAGCATCTACACATTAATTATATTAATAAAAACATGGATAAATTTGATTTGGATCCAAGTTTGCAACAAAAAATTTACAACTTTATTAATCTTATAATTAAGTGCATGTAGCTTAAGTACAAACTCCATTATTTAAATCCCAAATACAAGCATTTTAAATATAAGTATTACAAACCTATTGATTTAATAGTTAACTGCAATTAGTGGCCACAATACATTCTTTAAGATTAGTATCCCAAGTACATAATCCATCCGATCCAGCATAACCTCCTTATTAACCACAAGTTCCTATTTGAAAAGTTATACATTTTGGTAACGAAGATATACTTTAACATTAATTAGTATTTGATCCATAACAAGAGATATTTTATTATGGACATATCAAACCAATTTTGGAAGTTAATTTAGTACAAGATGTAAAAGCAGCACAACTTTGACCATTCCAATAACAATTTTTTTTAGAAATCAAACAATCATTTTATGATTAAATATTTCCACATGATGCTTATTAACATATCTAATTCTTTTGATTCCATTAACATTATCCAAGTGTATTATTATTACATCCATTTTCGCTTAAAAATTATTAGCATTTACATGCTGTCGAAGGAGACACAACAATGTTTTGACTGAATACTAATGGCAATAGGATCAATATTGCCAAGGTAATTTTCATCTAATTATTTTATTTATCTTCTCTTAAATTCTTACGAATCCCTTATAAATCACTTAATCTTATTCTAATTGTAGTGGTGTTATTAAAGATATGGAATTATGTAGAATATAGTAATTTAGGTTCTTTTCATTTAGAATTTGATCTTGCTCTTTCATCTTAATATTAAAATTTGCTAGATAGATTGAATTTATATTGATTTGGAAGTATAATTTGGATGTGAGTAGCCTTTGTGATCAAAAAATACAAAAAATGTACAAATTTTATTATAATGTGGAATTATTGATTCATAATATAGATATACACTAACTTAATAACAATAAAAAGGTTAGATGTTTAATACGGGTGAGTCTTTCTTGTTTCTAATATTAATAATAATTATAATAATTATGAAAATCAAAATCATTAGCTTGTTGATTTTACTTCAGATAGCAAAATCATAAGTTGTGTTATCTTTCAAAAATTCATGTGAATGTACTTAAATTGCAGTAGATACAGAATGCAATTTACTTTACCCTTATTGCAATTGGTAGGTTAATGAATAAAATGTTGGATCATGTGAAACTACAAATTGTTATAATCTTGATTCTTCAGCAGATTGTGTTCTCTTAAGAAATTGTATTTGGAATGGGAAACAATGTTTATCTACATATTCAGATGTGCAATGTAATTAATTAGAAGGGGAAAAGGACCTGACTTGTCAATAACAGAATGTATCATGTTATGGTATAACGGGATAATGTCTTTCAATTAGTGAATTACCAAGTTGCAAAACATATTAATCTTAGATTGAATGTACAATAGGATAAGAAGGAAAGTGTTCATGGTCTACAACTACAAATTAATGTGGATTTTATGTTACTTGTGAACAAATTCCTTTAAATATCTGCAATACTTATAGACCATATGAAACAAATTATTCTTAAGGACAATATTGTCATATCAATAATAGTGGATAATGTGTTTAAATGACATGTAGTGATATTACTTCTTAAATAAATTGTACATTTGTTTAGACAGTATTTAATCAGGATTAATTTTATTTATGTTAATGGAACTCTTTATCTAAAACTTGTGAATTAGCACCAAGTACATCCAATTTAACTGAAAAAAATTGTTTTTCAGATACAATAGGAACATATCATTGGATAGCTGAAAATAAATACGCAGTATAAGGCATATGTTTTCCATGCTCTTTGAGAATAATTAAATAATCTGAACTTTGCTTATGTGAATAATTAGTGTCATAGTTAGATTGTATATATGCCAAAACATGTACATGGCAATAAAATAAGTGTATAACAAGTTAATGTAGTTAATTTAATGAATAATAATCATTATGTGCTTAATCACCTGCTTGTATGTATATTTTTGGCAAAGGATGCATTCCTTTTACTAAATGTTCAGATATTCGTGGTAACAATTAATTCTAATGTATTGCATAATCATTATAATGTCCAAGCAGTAATGGACAATATTGTACTTCATTACCTATTGATAGTTCAATATTCTGTTAATAATAAGGTAATGCATATAATTGTAGTAATGTTCTTATTGGAAATGGAAAATGTTATTGGAATTCTTAAAAAAATGAATGCCAATATTCATCTTCATGTTATAGCTTTAATATGTAAGATTGTTAAAAATTAAAACATGCATGTTATTATTCTGGTAGTTATTGCTATCCTATCTATTGTTCGTATTTTTCAACTGCATCTGATTGTACCTTTTATTTTGATTATTATTCTGGATCCTATAAATATTGTTATTGGAATTATTAATATGGTTATTGTGATGATTAAAAACCATATGAATTAGATTTCTAATCTTGTTACACTAGCACTCAAGGAAAATATAGATGGAGTAGTTAAGATTCAAAAATAGGAGCATGTACTTAATGTGCTGCCATAATTGTTCCTAATAAACGAAATTGGTGTTCATGTGATTAATTAATATACTAAGGAGACTGTGCTACTGCATATGATAGTTGTCTATGGAATCCAGAGAAATCATAATGTGTACCATTAGATTGTTCAATGTTGACAACTAGAAATCTTTGTGTTCAAAATTACAATTGTCATTGGATATAATATCAAAATGTCATGTAATGTTTACCTTTTACCTCATGTGATAAATTACCAGGATCTAATTCATATATGTGTATGCTCTATTCATAAAGATGTACTTAAACTGATGGCAAGTATTGTAAAGAACTCTCTTATACAGACATCAAACAAAAATGTTCATCAATCGCAGACTACACTAATTGTTATTTGACTGTTGCTTCTGATGGAGTTTGTAGATGGAATACTTAAACATAAACATGTTATGCATTATCAGAATGTAGTTAAATTACAGAAATGTCTTTTTGTGGCATCAATAATTATGCCTGTTACTGGAATTTCTAAACTAATACATGCACTTCTTTAACTTGTTCCATGGTTACAACTTCATCAGAATGTACTTATTTTGATCAATATATCAATTTCGGTTTCTAAATCTAAATGTGTCTATGGAATACTACTTGCCAAAATGCAACATCTACAAATTTAACATCCTCTAATTGTTTTACAAATACTGCTAAAACTTATAGATGGTCAAAGAATAATCAAACAGATGGTTCATGTTAATCCTGTTCACAGTCGACCATTTTTACCCTTGGATTCATCATCCTTATATCCTTGACATAATGAGTATTTAAACAAATATCAATATTCCTATTATTCATTAATTTCTTTAATAGTACTTAAAGTAACTCTTCAAAATTATTGCAAATTTAAATATTTGGTTTACAAACTTAATCTTTTTTTTCTTGAGAACCATTTTATTAATAAAAATTGTCTTTATAACTAATTAAAACTCTTCCATTTTTTAATAAATATTTAATCAATATCTTAAAATTATAACCTATATAAAATCTATTAAACATTTATTTTATTTAATATTCTTAGGGTATTATATATTAGTATTACTATAAATATTTAGATTTTATTTATATTTAATGTAGTAAGTAAATAAGGTCTTCATTTAAAAATTTACTATAATTTCATCTTAAAAATTGAGAATTTAATCACTTTCTTAAAAGTTTAATATTTTTAATTTTTAATAATAATTGTTTTCTCAAAATTTACATTCAAATAATTAAATAACTTTATTTAATGGAGCTATGTAATACAGTATTAAATGATCAATATAATATTTTTAGGTTAAGGCTTAACATAATAAGGTCACCATACTAAAGTCATATTATCCTAAAATTTAATGATAAATATAAATTTTATAAGTTCTATCAACTTGAGAATAATTTGTAATTTTCATTTTTTAAAATTGAATTTCTAAATTAAATTAGAATAGACTAATAAAAGTTATTTTCTTAATAAAATATTATCGTTTTAAGAAATCCCAGTCTTTTAGAATTCAGATCCTATCTCTAAATAAGAAGAGTAAATATAAGAATTATAATTTCATATTATTGATGAAATGAGAGTAAATCAAACTCCTATTTCTAAAGCCTTAAATAGTGCTTCATATACTGTTCTCTTAATTCTTCTTAAACTCTGAAGAGAGCAATTAATATCTAACTTTTAAAAATGAATTTTAATTTCCATGCCAAAAATTTAAATTTAAAATAAAATAAAAAACTTTGGAGTAATAATCTTGGTCTTTGAATTTTGTCTCATAAGTTAAGATTTAAGGTCATATAATCATTTATTCTCTCAAGAGAAACTAAAATATATATAAAAGGATCAAACTCTTATCTCTTAATCTTTTTCTCACAATAGGATTGATAAAAGATTTGCTCATCAATAAAAGGAGCAATATATATAATTTATTCATTAAGGATTTCATGAAGAGCATATAGGAAATAAGTATGGAGAACTAACCACTGATAAGAGCGAAAACAGTTTAGAGCAGGCAAGATTGTTAACATATCTCCTCTTTTTAATATCAGAGATTATTAAAAGATTTAGAGAACAAGAAGAGGAGCATTTCTGAAAGCTCTTGAAATTTGGAACAAGAACATAAATTGCTCTCATTTCCTCAATAATTATATAAATAATTATTGTCTTCCTCATACCATTTCTCGGAGTGATCTCATTTAATCTCATAAAAGCAATTATTTAAAGAAGAACATGATTCTTTGTCTAAAACTCCCGTTTTACTAGGAAATTGATTAGGGAGAAAAATTCTCCCTCTCTCCTCTTCATCATGAGCAGGGGGTATTCATTCCCTACTATCGAAACCCAAATCCTAAAATTTCATTAATGATGGCACAAGACACTGGGGTCCCTCAACTAAACCTTAATCTTTTGATAGAAGTTCATTTTATAATGTGAT